CCCCCCCCAAAGCTAATACATCAACGTCTCCAACACCGCATCAAGCACCCTCACCTCCCCCGGCCCCCAAAGTCCTTCCCAAGCCAACGGCACCGGCGTTCCCCAACCCGTCACTCTCCTCACCGGCGCCTCAAGCTTCAAAAACAAGCGTTTGGTCACTTCGGCTGCGATTTCGGAACTTATACTGCCGAGGGAGGGCGCTTCGTGTACTATTACCAGGCGGCGGGTCTTGTTCACACTCTCGACTATGCTGGCGATGTCCCATGGTACTATGGTGCGCAAGTCGATCAGTTCCACTTTCGCAGACCGGAGAGAAGGGGGTACAAGATGTTCCAGCTCCGGGGGTGGAGAGCGTAGGAGGGAGAGAGCGGTCTCACAGTGATACAGCGGGGTGCCGTAGGATAGGAGCGTTAGCGAATCGCCGGGGATGAGGACTTCGGCAGAGGAGAGCGGGAGGTGGTAGTCTTCTGTTGGGACTTGTTCGACTGCGCATGTGGGTGAGCGGTGCGGATGCGAGTGGGAAGGGGTGGGGCAGGGGAGAAGGGGGAGGGGGGGACGTACTGGTGGAACGGTACAGGATTTTAGGCTCGAGGAATATGACAGGGTTGGGATCTCTGATCGAGGCCAACAAGAGTCCTTTAGCCTGCAGCGGCGATCGAGGGATCACGACCTGCGGGCGTGCGTCAGTCCAGGAGGGAGTACGCACTCGTGGGGGGGGGACGCACCTTAAGCCCCTGAGCACCGAGGAAGAACCCCTCCGGGCTCTGGGAATGATACAACCCTCCATGACCTACGCTCATACACGGTGCACGGAGGGTGACTCTTCCAACATCATACGCCCCTCCTGTCCTGTACCTGATCTTCGCAGCTTCATTCACAAGCTGGTCGAATGCCGGGAATATATAATCACTAAACTGGATCTCTGCGATCGCTGTGTGCCCCATCGCTGCTAACCCTAGTGCGAACCCCGCGATGCCTTGTTCTGTCAAGGGGGTGTTGAACACTCTTTCCCTGCCGAACTCTTCTGCTAGGTTGAGGGTGCACCGGAATACCCCACCGAAGGCGACGTCTTCCCCGAATACGAGGGAGGTGTCGTCTTTGATGAGCGCGGTGGCCATTGCGTCGCGTACTGCTTGGTACATGTTGAGTTTGCGGGTGTCGCGTGAGTGGGAGTGGGAGTCCGGGTCCTGCCATTGGATACCTGGAGAGCGAAGAGCGGAGTCGCGGGAAGTACGTAGGAGGGAAGAAGTTGCTATGGTTGGTAGATGACCTCCTGCTGTGGGTGGAGAGTGATGAGCATGTGTACGCCTGTAAAGAGTAAACCGAGGAGATATGCGCTGTGAATAGATTAGGAATGAGTGAGAATGTTAGAAGGGTATTTACTGGTATATAAGGGAGAGTGCGAAGAGTCGCCATCGATCACAGTGCTGTCTCACTCCACCCGCTCCCCCACTCCCCTCTCACACCATTTATACTCCCCACAATGGTTTATGCCCGACAATCGGCGTTTACACACAGGCACCCGTCAAGGGTCTCCTCTTCCTTCTCCACTCCCGCATACGGCGTATTCCCTCTCACGATATCAGACCAAGACGCGGATTACTGGAGGCACAACCTAGGCATTATGTCTACTCCTGCTCATCAGCCTGAACAAACGAGCTTCACGGCTCCTGAAGGCGTGTATTCCTTGACGGACGACTTCAAGCCACCTGTACTACATACCCAGATCGTCAATTCCCCTAACCTCTACCCCAGCATGCTTACGACTGTCACTGTCAACTTTCAGGGAAAGGTACAGGCGCAGAGGTTTGCCGCTATTCTCAGGAGACAGGACAAGGACAAGCAGGACGAGGCGCATCATGATGGGGAGAGCGACGTTTCCTCCGAAGGCGAGGAGGGGGACGCACCCGCAGACCCGGACATCCCCCCACCCACACCAGGCATCTTCTCCCCCTCCCCCGACCCATTCCAAGGAAAACGCAAGCCCCCCCGGGCAACACACAATATCCGTTCCACCTCTTCCTCCTTCGTCACGCGCATCCACACCGCCGAAGGACTGACGAAACACCTCAGCTCAAAGTCTGGCGAAGTAACCTTCGTATTCTACACCGGGGGGAAGAGTTTTTTCTGGTGCGAGCTAGGGGGGCAGCAGAAGGAGCCGTTAGCGCGAGTGACGTTTGCTGCTTTTCCCACGTGTAGCGACGTTAACCGGTCCACATCTGGGAGTGAAGCGCTCGATTTGGTCATTGGGTTCAATACGGGAGACCTGATGTGGTTCGACCCTCTCTCTTCGCGGTATGTGAGGATCAACAAAGGGGGGTGTATGACCACTTCCCCCGTTACCTGTGTCCGGTGGGTTCCCGGGCATCGGTCCATGTTCCTCGCAAGTCATGCAGACGGGACGATACTTGTGTATGATAAAGAACGGGAAGACGGAGCGGTCGTTCCTGGTGCTGGAGTGCTGGAGAGCGGGTGGAACGCGCTTGAGCAGATGATCGTACTCCCCACGCAGCAGGAGAGGGAGAGGGAGAAGGATAAACTCAGGAATCCGGTTTCATATTGGAGGATCTGTAGGCGGGCGATCACAGGTGCGTCCCAACTTCCCCTGCCTGCCTGCCTGCCTGCCTGCCTCCACTCCCTACTCCCTACTCCCTCCCCTAACACGCCCGCCAGACTTCTCATTCTCCCCCGACCTCCGGTACATATCCACAACCTCGGAAGACGGCTGCCTGCGCATCCTGGACCCCTCAACCCCAACGCTACTGAGCACATTTTCAAGCTACTTCGGCTCGTTGACTTGTTGTGCCTGGACTGGGGACTCGAAGTATGTTATTACGGGGGGACAGGATGACCTCCTTTCAGTGTTCTCGATTTCCAGGTCCCTATCCTCAGGGGGCGGAGCTGGGGCTGGGGGCGGGCTGGAGCTGGAGTTGGTAGCCCGATGTCAGGGACATGGGAGTTTCGTAGCTTCCGTAGCCGTGGATATGGCGAGGTGTAGGCAGGGAGAGTATAGGTTTGCGAGTGTGGGGGAGGATAAGCAGGTCGTTTTTTGGGATTATGCGCCGTTTGGCTCGGGGGGAGGGGGAGGGGGAGGGGCGGGCGGAGGGGGAGGGATGGAGGCGGGGATGGGGGGGAGGGGGAGGAGGGAGACGTTACGTGGGAGTGGGGCTGGGGCTGCGGGTGCGGGTGGGGGTGGGGAGCGAGGGGATAGGGAGAGGGATAAGGGAGAGAGGGAGAAAGAGGGGAGGGAGAACGCCGACCAGGGGGAGAAGGAGAAGGAGAAGGAGAAAGAACGGGAGAAAGAACGGGAGAGCAAGTATCATCCTGCGCCTGCGAGGGCCGTAGTCCCTGTTATATATCCAACGATGGTGCGCTCTTTTCTCTTTCCTCTTTCTGCCTTCTCTTGTGCTTCTCTCTCTCCTTCCCTCCCTTCCCCTTCCTTTCTCTTCCCTGCCTTTGGCACTCTTTTTCCCATTCCGAGTTTCACTCTTTCCCACTTTCCTGCTCCTCACTCACTTGTACTCCCCCTCCCCCTCCCCCTTCTACCCCCGCCCCCGCTCCCGTCTCCCCCCTTATCCCCCCCCCTCTCCCAGCCCCTCTAACCTATTCCCATCCCGCAGGCCATACCCCTGCAAGGCGACCTCCTCTCTTCCCTCGCCTTCTCCCCTCTCTACCTCCTAACCGTAACCCGGCCCGGGTGGGTCAAGTCCTGGGCCAGGCCGATGGAGAGGGAACGGGAGAAGATGAGCGACCAGAAGAGGGAGTTGTTGGCTAGGGGAGGGGAGGAGGGGAGGGGTTGAAGGGAGGGGAGGGGTTGCGGGGGTTGTGAGGGGGGGTTGTGAGGGGTAGGTTTGGGGGAGGGGGGGGGGAGATCTGATCTATAGCGAAACGCAGGTGTATAATAGCGCTGTTGGCAGGGGCATGCGCTGTATGCGCAGGAGTCAAGGAGATTCAACCTCAACGTTAACACTTCAGCTTTCAGTAAGTTGGGACCATCGGGGTTTGACAAACTGTTTTTTTCTGACGATTCCCAGAGAGAGAGAGAGGGAGAGAGAGAGAGTGTGTGTGTGTGTGTGGCAGGAGTTAGACAGCCCTTTACTCTTATGCTTGTGGGAGAACAAGCTGGGTAGAGGATATGGATATGGATCTGCAGCTGCGCCAGACGGAGTGCACGATATTAGAAGTACAGGAGGTGCACTCGGAATAAGTATGGGAACAATTGCAACCGGACATGTACATTCGGCTCTGCTTTGTCTGGGAATTTTCTGGGGGGATCAGATTTGTAATGCATATATCACAATTACGATATTGGCCGATCTAACTTGCTAGTGTACATGTGCGCAAGAAACGAACTTTACCCGCTCCTTATATTATACGGGCACGGTCGTTCTGGTGTGAACACGTCAAGGGTCTCTCTCGGCGCCTAACGACCACGACCACCCACCCTATGCCTCCCCTCCCCCTTCTCGCACTCATCCTAACGTTTCTCCTTCCCGCACTCGCCGAAGTAGGACAAGAACGCGGACAAAGACAAAGACAAGGGAGAGAACAAAGAGGAGAACAGTTCTCAGAGTCTCTTACCCTTCGACCGCTGCTGGACGGGAAGGTACACACTAGGTTCGCATTTGAGTTTAGCGCTGGGGCAGAGAGTGGGACTGGGAGAGAGGGCCAGTTAGCAGATGGGGATGAAGATGGGGATGGGGATGGAGCAGATGCAGGTACGCAATCTTATTATCCAGCAGGTCATCTCTGACCTGTCACTCAATCACAACCTTTCGTGCACTGCCGTTGCTCCCATGCTCGACGTGCATGTGTCCAACAGCACTCCACACCACCCTCCTCCCGCTGTCACTCACCCAGCTCCTGAGGACATACGACGCCCGCGAGCTACACCTGTCGCTCAACGCTGGGAAATGGGACGCTTTACGCTGGGGGAACCCGAGTGGGGCGTTACGCACTGGGGGGGAGATGTGGGCTTGGTTTGCCGGGGAGTCGGCCTTGGCAGAGCAAGAACAGGGGAAAGAGGGGGAGAGGGTGAACGCTGGCGAGGGGGAAGGAAGCCCCTGGCAAGGTCTGACTAACGGACTTGCCGGATTGTTTTGCGCTAGCTTGAGTAGCCAGACCGTGCAGCGGACTACGGAGCCGCTCCACGCTTTCCGCCCCGAGGGGGACTTGCCTTCCCGTACGCTTACGCTTCCTCCTTCTCTCACACTGCCGCTCACCTCTCGCAGATCCAGGGTATAGGCTGTTTCACGCAGCCTTTCCCTCCGAATCGGTCTGCACTGAGAACCTCACGCCCTTCCTCAAGCTCCTGCCTTGTAAATCCCGCGCTGGGATCGCGCAGCTGCTCAACCCGCACAAGGTGTTCAGCGCGGATTGGCACGGTGTAGGCGTGCATGTTTTGTGGAAGAACGATACCCTTGGACTGGGGGGGAGGACGGAGTTACGTTTGGAGGTGAACGCGGTCTTTGACCCTGTGAGAGTGTCGGGCAAACGCGGTGCGTCTGCACTTGTGATGAGGGGGAAGGGCTGACGAGCAACAGATTGGTCCCTTCGTACGCTGTTTGACAGGTCTATTACCCGCTCGTGCCCTGCCGCTTCGTCCTCCTTGCTCAAGGTGCACATGCCAACAGGATCGGCTAGCGGCCACCTGCTCTCCCCTCCCCTGGAGACGCTACTCACTGATGGGGTGCCCGAGGTGGTATACGACCTCTCTCAGGTAAGTGAGGACGTGGACATCAGCATGCGATGGGAGGAAGACAAGTTCGACCACTGTACGTTTTACCTTCTCTCTCTCGCACGCATGCGTTGAGCATGAAACAGCAAAAGCCCAATTCAACCCCCCGGAACTGTCGATCCGCCGCTCATTGAAAGGCAGCTCCGGTCCCTCCCAGCTCAGCGTCATTCTCTCCAACACGCTTCCCATCCCGCGCAGAGTGCTCTACGTCGAGACACTACCCTGGTTCCTCAGCCTCTACCTGCACACGTTGCACGTTCAAGTCTCCGGCGTCTCCCGAGGTGTGCCCTCCCCTCTCACCCAAGACACAGCTAACAACCCCCAGACGACCTCATCCAATCCCTCTCCTACCTCCCGCCCGTCTCCCCCAAACCGACGCTCCTCGAGCTCACGCTCCTCCTCCCTCCTCAATCTGAGGTGCACATCACGATGCAAGTCGAGAAGGGATTTATAAGGTATACGGAGCACCAGCCGGATGCGAGCAGGGGATGGGACCTCCCTGCCGCAGTAGTGTTCCCTCTCCCTCCTCTGGGGGCTAAGGACTCCCACTCCCTCCCCGATTCGGCAGAAGGCTCGCAGCAGAGAATATACTCCTCGACGCTGCTCGTCGACCTCCCTACACCGGACTTCTCCATGCCCTACAACGTCATTATCATGTCCTCCACCCTGGTGGCGCTCTTCTTCGGGCACGTCTTCAATTCCCTGACGAGGAAGTTTGTGCTGCTGAAAGTTGATGCGGTGGAGCCGGAGAAAAAGGCCGAGGGGTCATAGGCTGGTGCCGGTGGTCGGTTGGAAAACTATGCCGGTCACAGGGGAGGAAGGCCGTTCGTCGGAGGCCGACCGAGGCATCACCGAGGACGTCCGAGCTGCATTTAGAGAAGCAACGGAGGTTTTCATTCTCATGACTCCGTCTATAGAGTCTTATATTATTTCATATACCCATTGTAGTGAGGACTTTGAAACGTACGATACCCTGCAGCATTCGGATGATCGAGTTTCGGCCTGGACGAAGGTAGCGCCCGTCAGATAGGCGCCCGCAACACTTTGTCTCCGCGACTCGCGTCATCTTCCCTTTCCTCATAATCCTACTCAGGAGCGCGGCGCTTCCTTCACGGCAGATACTGGACGGACCGAATCTGCTCCGAGATTGATACCTATGAGTGACTTGATATGTCCTTATGGAAAGAGAACAACTCCGAGCTGTACATGTGGTCGCACTATTACTGGAGGAAAATGCATTCCTTCAGACGCTCTCAAATGAATTAATGATAGGTATACAAGCATAAATCAACATGAGGGGACGACAGGATTTCCCGTACCCGAAGGCGGGAGGTATCAAAGGGAAGAAAGAAAGACGCACTATGCCATGACCCGGAGAATAGGAGGGCATGCCGCACCCTTGGGCGTTTCTCCACTCGGCAGTCAAATGGGTGGAGATTGAATGCATTTCCCTTGACCGGACGAGGATCATCTGTCTTCGTTTTATGTGGCCTTCATCTTCTTGAACTACCTTGATTGCTCGATTGTGCCTATCCTCTCCGCTGGGCAGTATCAAGCATCTTGGGCCTATGGCTCAGTCTCGCACGGAGGTACCAGGGCATCGGCTGTGGTGAACGACGATGGCATTGAGCATAGGTCCGCGTGAGCGGACCCTCGATCTACATGGCACGCTCAGATCCCTAGGTGCGCAGCTTGCACACCGACCTAACCCTTGGCTCACGATCTAGAGCTCGACATCGGCAGTGCTGTTCCGACTTGTCAAAGGCCGACTCCCATGACCCGCCAGAGAAACGTGCAATCCTTCGATCCCCAGCCGACTACCAACGCTTCCGGCCCTCTTACCACCTCCTCCCTCCCTACGGGTGGATGAACGACCCGTGTGCTCCGGGGTACGACCCCGCCACGGGATTGTACCACCTCGCCTTCCAGTGGAACCCGAAGAGCGCAGCATGGGCAGATATCTCCTGGGGCCACTGCGTGAGTCGGGATACGGTACACTGGAGCACGGGGGATTCAGAGAAGTGGAAAGAGATGCGGCCGATCTTGACCCCAAGTCACACGTATGATCGGAAGGGCATATTTACGGGGTGCTTTGTCCCTGAAGGTCTCAAGGGACAGCAGGGTATTCTGACAGTGGTATATACCTCGGTGAGCGTTCCGGTAGGCTGAGTAACAAGACAGAGTTGACGGTCTCGTAGGTCAGCCATTCTCCGATTCACTATAGGCTTCCTTATGTCCGAGGCAGTGAGTCTCTCGCTCTCGCTACTTCTCACGACGGTGGACGAACCTGAGAGCGCCATGACTCAAATCCCATTCTAGACGGCGCACCTCAACAACTCAATGTCCGAGCATGGCGAGACCCGTTCGTAGACACTTGGCCAGCTCTATCCCGGTCCGTTGGAAGGAACGAAGGAACGAAATGGGGGATCATATCTGGGTCTGTGGAAGGAGAAGGACCGAATGTGTTCCTGTATGAGATTGGCGATCGGGACTTGACGAAATGGACGTTTGTCGCGTCTCTTGTGAAGTTTCCATGTGGACTGCCAGCCTCTTCTGCGTGGACCGGGGATATAGGCAAGAACTGGGAAGTCTGCAACTTCCTTTCGCACCTATCCTCGTCCGGCCATAGAGACAGGGTGTGGCTGACGATGTCCGCCGAGGGCACCCAGCGATGGGGCTTACAGACGGGCGGTATACTGGCCAAAGACGAGCTAGTTCGTACGCCTCGGTGGAGCCTGTGGATGGCCGGTCGTGTTGAGGCTGACGTGCGGGGCCAACCGAAAGTGCAGCATGAGTATGGCGGTGTGCTTGATCATGGGTGTTTCTATGCCAGCAACAGTTTTTGGGATCCGGTTAGAGAGAGGACGATCGCGTGGGGTAAGTTCGTGCTGCCATATCAGTGGAAGTTCAGGTTTGACGAGACCGCAGGCTGGATCTTGGAGGACGATTTGCCGCCTGCTTTGCGGGACGCCCAAGCGTGGGCAGGTGTCATATCGCTCCCACGCGAACTCTTCGTGCTCCGTATTCCAAACATAGTCGGCACCCTGCGCACGTCTATCCAGGAAATTGGATCTTTCTCCGCTCAGGAGAACGGAACTAGAGGGTGGGAGGTGGAGACGCTCGGCATCAGGCCAATTCAAGAGGTGGAGAGTTTGAGGAAGATGGCGAAAGAGATGAGAGTGGGGCAAGTGAGGCTTGGGAAGGGGAGAAATATGGTAAGCCTGGGACTGGTAGAGAAGACATGGGAGTTTCAAGGGGATGTGGGCGTCTGGGGAAAGGTTGCAAAGGTTGGACTCTATATGCGGCATTCAGAAGGTAGGAGGTCCGCTCGATGTTGATTCCCGGCTGATAAGAAAGACTTTCAGACATGCGACAGTGCACACGGCTCTCTTACAGCCCACTCGAAGAGATCATCTGCGTATCCCACGCGCAGTCATCCTCTTCGCCAGTTCAGGCGATGCCCGTCGACTCCGGGCCACATACCCTGTTCGCCTTCACCGACGATTCACACGAGAAACTTCATCTCCAAGTCTTTTGCGATAACTCAGTGCTGGAGGTGTTCGCTAATGACCGATTTGCGTTGAGTTGCCGTATTTACACCGCGGAAGGTGCGGACGGGTTGAGTTTGTTTGTTGAAGGCGAAGAGGAAGTTGTCTGGGAGGACGTGAAGGTGTGGGTGGGGCTGGAAGGTGGTGCGGCGTGACAATTCAATACAGTGTATCGCTGGATTCAGTGGAAATGGTGAGCCAATGGGAGGTTCTACCCATAGACATTGTTGCACATCAAACCGCTAACTCGAATAGGACTCCCTCATATGCACTGAGCCGCAGAGGCGCAGTCGAAGTCACCTCCCCATAGTTCCCGATAATGAGGTTTCCCAGTTTGAAAGAGAGCGGTGCGATGTCGAGGACCGCCGTTTCCTCCTTGAAGTTGACGGCAACAAATGCTGCCTTGTCATCCAGTCGTCGAATATATGCGAAGACTGCGTTTTCCGCACCCGGAAATTCGATTTGCTCGAAAGCGCCATACACTAGAAGTTGGCTTTCCTGGCGTAAGTGTATCAGCTTTCGCCAGAAGTTGAGCACGCTATTGGGATCCGCTTCCTGCTTCTCGACATTACACAGTTCCGCATCCTGGCCAGCACGCATCCAAGGTTTGCCGGTGCTGAACCCTCCGTTGAGAGAGGCGTCCCACTGCATCGGAAGGCCGGAATTGTCTCAGGCGACACGGTGAATACCAGCCATGATACCGGACATGTCCGGACTGGTTTCGCCAGTTTCCTTCTGTCGCTTGACCAATTGTCTGGCATGTCGTCAGCGTATGCTCTGAACAAGGATATCAACACCATTAGCGCACTCTTTGTACCAGTTCTGGGTGGCAATGTCGAGATACTCGTCGATCCCCCATTCCCTTGGCAAGTTGATCATGCCGATTTCCTGTCCCTGGTAGATGAACAGGGTTCCCGATAATGTGCACAACGTTAAGGCAAGCGCCTTGGCACACAACTGACGGTACTCCGGCACTTCAGACATGAATCGAATGAGGCTACGAGGGTGATCGTGGTTCTCAAGGAAGAGGCTGTTCCATCCGCCGTGCTCGTGCATCCAGGTCTGCCAGGTGGAGATAGCCGTCTTGAACCGTGGTAAGTCGCGTGGAGGTGGTGTACCAGTGTCGAACCCTCCGTAGAGGTCAAGATGCTAGAGGTATATATCAGCGTCGCCTTTTGTTACAGGAGTAAGAATATAATACTTCAGTATTGAAGATCATTTGCAACTCCTTCGAGTCCTGATCTTGGTTAATGTACTTAAACGCATCTTCTAAAGTGCAGAGATTGACTTCACCGACTGTGAACAAATCGTGCCCTGTAAAGAGTTGCGGAATTTAGCCACAGACATACTGCGACGACACATACCATCCAGAGTTTTAGCATACAGTTCTTGCAAGTAAGGGTGTAGCATTGGACCGTTAATCATATGCTCTCGAGCAAGTTGGTATTCTTGATCTGGCTCAGTAATGGCACCATCAGGCAATCCCGGGGTCTTGCTGATACATACGATCGCATCCAACTGCACTGCCATCAGTTGGGATACATCGTGGTAGAGATGCACTCACACGGAAGCCATCGATACCTCTCTTAATCCACCAGGTCATCATGTCCTGGATGGCATGGCGCAACTCAAGATTACCCCAGTTCAAATCGGGTTGCTCCTTAGCGAAGACATGCAGATAGTACTCGTGTGTGATCTCGTCCCATTCCCAGGCAGAACCTGCAAATGTGTTCAGAAGGTATTACAGCAGCGGTAATAGAAGCGTACCTCCAAAGACTGAGCGCCAGTTGTTCGGTGGTTTTCGGACACCATCAATATATCGGGCAGGTCGCCAGTAATACCAGTCGCGCTTTGGGTCTGCCTTTGAGGATCGGGATGCCAAGAACCAGGGATGCTCGTCCGAGGAATGGTTTACTACCAAATCCATGCTGTCAACAGTCCATACAGTCAGCTTCTCTGACGAAAAGGCCGCAGACAAATACCTACACGATCTTCATCTTGCGCTTATGTATCTCGTCGCGGAGGTCTTCCCAGTCAACAAGTGTACCAAAGGCAGGATTAATATCTTGGTACTGCACTAGGAATTCAGAGTGTTGACAGGGGAAGAACAGGAAGATGTAACATCGGTGATATCATACCCCATGTCGGCTAGCGGAGACTTGTAGATTGGACATAGCCAGACGATATCCACACCCTACATCGACATTGTTAGAATGGTGAACGGAAAAGCGCATTTACACCTACAAGAGCCTTCAGATAATCCAGCTTGGAAGTGATGCCGCGCAAGTCTCCAGAGCCATTTCCGGTAGAATCTTTGAAGGAAGCGGGATAAACTTGATATACGATTGCGGACTTCCACCAGAGCGGTGTGTGGCTCTCAGTCGTCTCCGTCATCTTGTAACAAGGACGAGCAGCAATTGCAACAAAACCGGTAGAGCTCCTCTAGATGCCAGGAAGATTGCTGACATAGAAGCAATCAATGTCCATTGTGCCCCATGACACGGAGCATGGTACCTCGTAGAGCGATGAATAGACTCACACGGCATGATGATGGTCAATTTCGGGGGTCTTTCGGTCAATTGATGATGTGTCAACATTCCGGAGCCGGAGACGAATTCTTCCGAGGCGCGGTCGACGCGTGTTAGGGTCCACAACGCGTCTCGACCTCGAAGAGCGCTCTTGCTTACCAGTTCAAAGTACTAATGGCGGCACCTACTATCAGCGCTCTAAGATCCAATGGCCTGCTGGATATGGTCGGCGATTCTGGGTATATGGACACTGATATGATGACAACGTCTTCGATTAGACATTTTGGTATGGGGAGAAGTCTACTAGATGACGATGAAAACGATGTCGACATGGATGAACCGGCTACTTCTACCGCGTCTCCCCTAACTTCCTACGCTGCTTTTTCATCGACTGCTTTCTCGACAACCCGGGTAGAAAAGGGAAAATTGGCATCTCGCGCGGAGATTTCAGAATCAAGAACTTTGGCTGCTCACGAAACGTCGGACCCGACTTTGACAAGTCCATTAGTGTCTTCATTCGTTTCCAATGGCTTGCTGGACGAAGCCAACATGGAAATGCGAGATGTCGACGACCAAACCTCGAGGGATACAGTTGATGATGCTCCGTGCCAAATATCTACTGCGGCGGGGGTGTCTTCTCAATCGAGCTCCCTGCCACGATCGAGCCTCGTCGGCAATGGTTTGCTGGACGACGATGATGCGGGCCCCAGCTCACGGATCATACTTGACGATGCTTTGGAAAGTGCGGCTGATCCATTGAATCCTCTCACGAATCCCTTGCTGATTCGAGGATAGCTTCATCGCAGGAACTTCCATCCATATCTTCGTTATTGGGCATATCTCCAAGCTGGGGTCCGGCAGTTGGCACAACTTTCTCCAACCACAAGGTCCGCTTCCCACGTCGCAAGAAAGCTCGGGCACAGACGGTCTTGGTGAGGATCTCAACAGTCGAGCAGCCATTCCCGATGTTAAGCTTTGGCTAGCAACGAAACGATAAAGATCATCTGCAACTGCTGGAGCGACCCATACATCGACTTATGGAGGATCTAGCCTTAGCGGTAGTAGATCCTGCTGCAAAGTATGCTCTCCAATCATAGCTGTGGTATTTTCCTCACGCATATTAGTGTTGATCAAATGTGCCGACAGACCGTCGTTGAGAAGCATTTGTGGGTTGATCGGTACCGGCCAAAACGATACCTCGACTTGCTCGGAGATGATGTAGGTCGGCGACCAGTGAGAAGGCGCAAGAGTTAATCATTGTCGTAGCGCATACATCGTGACACGATGTCATGGCTGAAGGAGTGGGATCATTGCGTGTTCGGACGCAAGACCACTAAGAGGCGTGGGAAGCAGGATGATCCGGCGCAAGAAGGATACGAAGATCCATATCATCGACCTTACGAGAAGGTTCGCTAATTCCTCGCATATAAGTAGAGACTGACTGATAGGGATCTATCAGATCTTGCTAATCTCAGGTCCGCCGGGTCTGGGAAAGACAACGTTGGCCCATGTTCTCGCTACTTCTGCTGGATATTCCGTCTATGAGATCAATGCTTCGTTCGTATTCCCTTTCACCCTTTCGCTACAAAGCTCCAATCATATTATATAGCGACGAACGTGCAGCGAGAGTGGTAGATGATCGTATCCGACCTGCGCTTGAAGCTGGATCCGGGGTTGGATCAAAGAAACCTGTTTGTGTCGTCATCGATGAGATTGACGGTGTTGGCGGAGCTGGCGTAGATGTGAGTTCATCCTGGATTCATCAACTGGAGACTGACACCTCCGCAGTCAAATGCATTCATCAACGGCCTTATCCAACTCACGCTCGACAAGCCACGAAAGAAGACCGCGGGAAGACGCAACGGCCAGAAAGACGTCCGACCCCTACTCCGTCCCATAATTTGTATTTGTAACGATCTCTACGCTCCCTCCCTCCGTTCCCTACGCCAGCACGCAAGACTCGTTCGGGTAAGGGCACCAACCCCGATCATGCTGACAAACCGACTACGAGATGTCTGCGAGACTGAGGGACTCAAAGCGGATAATCGTGCGCTGAGCGCGCTTGTTGGCGTGACCAAGGGGGATATTCGGAGTTGTCTGAATACACTTCAGGTGGGCGCTACTGTTCTCGTATATCGCGATTGCACTGATTGTACGCGAAAGTTCATCCGCGCACGAACCGTCGAGGTCACAGAGACCGTTGTGCGGAGCGCTACGGTCGGTATGAAGGACTCGGAGATGTCAACCCAACAAGTCTGGGACGATATCTTCCTACCTCTTTCAAAGAAGCGCATACGGCAGCTGGGGCTTACCGATGCTGAAGAATCGAAGTATGTTGCTCGTCTCAACTTTGAGGTAGAAGCCACGGATGAGGTAGATCGGGTTATGCAAGGTCCGTCCTTTTGTGTGGCTCACAAAGCGGATTTTCACACTATTTCAAGGGTGTTTTGATCACTACCCCAAAGCACGACTACGCGATGCCCCCTGGGCGATATTCGAGAAAGCACACGCATGGTTGGACGCTTTCGACCTCTTTACCGGCACGTTCAAGGGCGGTGATGACCCGATCTGGGCACTGCGGGAATACCGCTCTTACTTTGCGGTCGCTTTCCGGCCGCTCTTTATCAACCCTGGGAATCCAAAGGCTGAATTCCCGCAGGCGGACTATGAGGTACATAGTACGCAACACAGGTTGTTCGAACTAACGTTGTTATAGGCGTACTTGACTGCAAAAGCAAACGAAGAGATTTATGCCACGTTTGCGAAGGAGTTGTCGACAGAGGTCACGAAGTCTTTCACTAAGGAGATGTTACCAACCGAGCTGCTCCCTCTGCTGAATCGCATCATTTCTCCCCCTCTGAAGACAGTAAGCCCAATCAACGTTTGTCAATTCTGCGCCTGACGTCTTCTAGGTTAACCACCAGGTTATCAAAGCCGACGAGCGGGCGATGCTGAACCGGGTCGTCCAATTGATGGCAGACACAAAGATGAGGTTCGTACAGGAGAAGACGGAAGAAGGACAGCTAGTGTACCGGCTTGACCCGTGCGTCTTATTTCCAAAGTGCTTCCCAAGTATTTACCTTGCGTAGCGCGATTGACGTGTTCATCACATATGATGGAAAGCGGTCTGCAGATGTAGGCGCTTCCCGGTTCGGACTGAGACAGGTCATCTCAAAACAGGTAAGCTAGCGCTCCTCGTTCTTGCCTCCAACTGAGCGCATCGATAGGTGGACGCGGAGCTCGAGAAGCGTGCTGCAGACGTAGTTGAGCGAGGCAAAGGAGTCAGGACAGCGTCGTTCTTTGGGGGGAATATGGAAGGACCTATCCAGGGTGTGAACTTCATGCCGAATTCGAAGAGCCACTCTGCCGGTAACGGGACGACAGATCCTTCAGATAGGGTGGGTATTCCCCCGTGCGCTTCAGACCATGTCACTGACAACCTGCAGCCTCCTTTGGACTTCTTCGGCCGGCCGATGGCGCCCTCAAGTAAATCCAAGCTGACTGCTCCCAGCGTGCGTCTGCCTACGCTTCCGGCGACGATCCAGAAGTTCCGGGTTGCGTACAAGTTTCATGAGGGGAATAGTGCGGCTGTCCGGAGGCCTATCAAGATGTCGTCTCTGTTGTAACGTGTATGCTATGAATATGGAATCACCAATCGCGTTCATGTATAGATTGCGGCATGAAACAGAGAGGGAGTGACTAGGTTCTTAAAGAAGCCTGTTGCAGGGATTACAAAGCCGACGAAGCTATCGGCGTTAAGTCCGTTTGGTATTCGTAATTGCTGATATATTCAGCTCTCCTGGCTTGTAACCGCACCCTCATCCTCTCTTCTTCAAACGTACCTAAGCTTAACTCTTCCATACTCTCCCATCATGGCATCCCCTCTCCGTCTCCGGTCTCCTAAAGGCGTATCAACAATCAGCGCCAACCTCGCCGATCCTGCAACAGTAGGCGATCTGCTTTCCATAATAGCACACGAGTCCGGCATCCCCGTAGGACAGCAGCAACGTATGTCATTCTCTCTATCATGTAGTGGCAGAGACTAAAAGTGTGATACGGACAGTCAAGGTTGGCTACCCACCCCGGACTCTGACGCTTATCCCCGACCTGCCTATCTCCAGTCTCGGTCTGCAAAGGGGCGACCAGCTAATAGTCAACATCAGTGCCAACACCCCTGCCCCCCGCACGGTCCCAGCCCCTGTCGCGCCCGCACAACCCGATATCACAGTACACGTCCCTAGTCATCATCCCGTACCCCCTCCCACGCAAGCCTTTTGGGACGAGTACGCGCCTGAGCCCCAGACGGATGACAAAGAGTCCGTGCCGTGTGAAGAGCAGTTATTAGTTGTCCGGGTATGTTGAGCTGTCTTCTTGCTGGTTGTTGTTCACTTCGACTCTAGAACGCACCAGACGACAACTCGTGTTTGTTCCATTCCCTCTCTTACGTGCTTCCTGCCCTCCCCTCAACACCTAACGAGCGCCCTACGCCCACCTTCCTCCGCTCCCTCGCAGCGCGGACCATCCTCGCCGATCTAGTAACATATGACGACGCCACCCTCGGCCAGTCGCCTGCCTCCTATGCAGAGGCGATCCAGCGTCCGTCTACATGGGGTGGAGCCATCGAGCTGGCACTGTTCAGCGCCGCGTTTGGAGTAGAGATCTGGAGCTGGGACGTGGAGAGCGGGCAGCTGTACCGCTTCGGACAGGGATCGGGATGGGACAACAGGGTACTGCTGGTGTACTCTGGCATCCGTAAGTCGCCTTATATGCTGCTTGGCATTTACTGATCAAAGTAGACTACGACGCCATGTCACTCTCTCCTACCCGTGGAGCACCAGAAGACTTCCACACAACGACGTTTCCCGTTCCGTTCCCTGGCAGGCGGGACCCCATAGCAGACTCGGCTGTCACGCTCGTCGGTAAGCTGAGGGCTAAGAAGAAGTTTACGAATACAGCGACGTTTGACTTGAAGTGCGAGGTGAGTGATCCCTGGCTTGGCTTGGCTTGGGTGATGAGCGGGTGTTGATGGGTGTTGGATAGGTGTGTGAGGCGGGTTTGAAGGGGGAGAAAGAGGCGAGGGAACATGCGAGTAGTACGGGGCATACGGAGTTTGGGGAGTACTGAGTGGTTGGTGGTTTGTTGTTGTATAACAACATCTATATATCAATTATTATTATCGGACATAAACGTTCGTGCACTATCGCCGACACATATGCTCTCGTCCAAACTCGCACACTAGCGCACACTCTTTCTGCAACCACCATGTCAACCCCAGTCCGACGCACAAAACTCTCATTTAAAGGGGACAAACCACTAAAGAAAAAGAAAGCCCATCAGAAAGAAGGAAATGCACGAAACGGCGAGGAGGGCGATCCGCAAGGTCTGCTGCTCCCTCTTTGGTGAACGAACGATGACTAACGTTCTCCAGACTGGGTATTCCCTGACGTCTCCGAGCAGATCCTTGGGCCTACATTCGTTCTATCTCCTTCTTCCTCCTCGCCCTACTGCCTAGCGTACGACTCCACCCGAGCGCGCCTACAGCTCTCCCAGCTCTCAGACGACGCGCCCCCCGACCGGCCAACAGAAGTCGCCCAAGTCTGGGTAGCGACACACGTTGCTGGCACTGCGTCCGTGAACCTCCGAACTCCGGACGGGAGGTTCTTGAGCTGTGACAAGTTTGGGGTTGTGGGCGCTGATAGTGAGGCTCGGGGGCCGCAGGAGGAGTGGGTAGCTGAGCGCGTTTCGCCAGAGGGGGAGGTCAAACTGGAGGAAGGGGAGGACAAGCCTGCAAATTCGTTGGGAAAGGAAATGTACTTTGGGTTTAAGAGCGTGCATGGGGGTTGGTTGGGGCTGGACGAGCTTGCGGGGGGTAAGGTGGGCGTGAGAGGGGACGCGGAGAAGCCCGAACCGTGGATCGTCAGAGTCCAAAGAGAGTGGAAGGTCAAAGCCGGGGAGGAGGAGCGAAAGAGGAACGATGTCGAAAATCCCGGGAAGAGGAAAATTGATGAAGTTGAGACCAAGTGAGTCGGTTTGTAGATGGGATGGATAAGCGGGGCTGATGCTGCGTTAGTCATGAGTACCAAGCATGGGGTGCGGGGAGATCGGTCGTCTCACAGGACGATACGCGAGACGTGAGCTCGTTTACTGTGGTTTGGAAGCTGTACTGACTTGGAGTAGCTCAAGAAGGCACGAAAGGATGGTCGGCTGTCGGAAGCGATGCTGGACCGGAGAGCGAAGCTGAAGAGGTGCGTTTGAATGCTGGATGTGGTGCCGTTGCTGATGCTTTTTAGTGATCGATTCTGTTAAAAGGCATGCACGGCGAGGGCTGGATGCATCTTTTGTATTGATGTAATATCCTAGCACTTTCCAGACGATATTTCTATAAGAATATGCATTTGTCGTGCAACTCGGGCAGGAATTGCCTTGCCCCTCAAGACCTGTTTATCGCCTCACTCTACATGGTCCCAGATTTTCTCAGCACAATCGTCCCATCCAAATCAGATGCATCTCATAACTTGGAAGTCCATTCAGTCTTTCGCGCTAGGAGTGGGTTGCCATCTCCAAGTCAACGGGGACAAGCCAAGAGTCATCCCTTGTCAGGGACATCTCACCTTGTTTCCACCATGTTAATCGATTTTGAACGATGTATATCAACACCCGCCCTTCAGAGTCCTTAACCATACCTTTACCTCCACCTCTTTTAGCTTTCCGTTTGATTCCCAAAAGACAAAAATAGGATGTCAACCCCACACCAAGCACACAATATCCCATGGTCGTTGCTCGTCTCCAACCTTGCGTTCATACGTCCATCCCCTCAGCGGCCAGAACAAAACGTCGCGGAAATCTCCGCTCTTCGCAAAGCGAACCAAGCGTCCGATATCGGTCATTTCGCACGTAGATTCGCCGCTGCCATACGTGAGTTCGCAGCGACAGACCGAGGGAAATACCCGGAGAAGATCAAGTTGGCGGAATTGGAGGACGGGAAGGTCCTCCCGGATTCGTTCCTCGACAAGTCACTCGGCTACAGAAGCACCATCACCCCCGAAGTCCAGACTGTCGTGTACTGGGACGAGTTGGGCAAACATGACCGAGTCCCTGATGAGGGCGGCCATTCCGACCTGCTCAAAACCCTCTACTTGCCCAAGCACCCTTATATCACCAACCTGCTTTTCCTTGCTCAGTCCTCCAGCGGAGTACTCCGCAAGCTACGTCATGTCACGTACTCGAACTTTTTCCACTATGGTACCGATCGGGTATACCAAAATGCCCTGATGGCGTACATCCTGCTCAACGTGTCGATATCCATGGACCTCTATGGGAGCAAGTTCGAGCCCTCGAACGCGTTCCTGCGCACGAAGGGATTCGTCACTGGGATCCAGGACTATGACGCCGAGATGGCCCCTCATCAAGCTTTTTTAGGGCCCGGGAACGATCGGCTACAGGATCTGCCGAGGTTTAAGCAGTACTTGAAGGACTGCTTTTGGCAGCTGTATGTGTGCGAGATGATATTGAGAGAGATGGACGGGAAGAAGGCGAGAGAGGAGAAGAGAGAGCCGAAGGGATTAGATTGGGAGAAGGAGGTGATGGAATGCTTGTCTAGCATGTTTACGGGGATTGACTGGCCGCCATTAGAGGATTGAATACGAGAGTCGATGGTGGGCTTCCTCCCGTATTTCTTATCTAATTGTCTCTCACCCTGGCCAGTGTACTGAATCCTATACGGACTATCATGTGGAAGACTTCCGAGACAAATCTATCATCTATATACGAATCAAATCAATGGGATAAAAACGCTCAGAGTTTGGCTAATGGACGACCGACAAGCTCTTCCCTCATTTCCTTCCAGTGTGAATTCTCAGAGGACTGCGACAAGAACTCCAGCGCATACAATGTCCACGGCTGGATTCCCGTTTCAGGGCGAGGCACAAACTCCTCCGAGCCCAGCAGCTTGCACCCCACATGCAAGTACTTCTCCACGTTTTCCGCCCGGGTCGCTGTGCCCAGCAGACGCTTGCCTTGACGCAGTGCACGGAGGAGCACAGGCGAAGTCAGTTTGCCCGCAACGCCGTGGTTGTGCCAGTCCGGCCTGACGTACAGGCATCGAAGATAATACGAGTCCTTGACCGTATGCCCAGTTTCCGCTAGCGACCGTGCCCACATTTGACCGATTCTTGGAGAATACTGTTGCTTCTCAGCTGAGGATCTCAAACGGCATTCCTGGGACGCACATAACTGAAGTACCAATGCTCTTGCTCCTTATCCAGTAGAAGGCCAAAGTCTTCCCATCGAACCGCCCGTCTTTGTCGGCCGCTACCCATAAATGGCGTACCCGGTCGGAACCATAGGGCCATACCAATGATCTCTCCCCCGCCTTCCGTATCTGGCCGTTCGCTCTCCGCAACCCAAAGCTCACCCTCGCTCTCGAACAGCGCTCCCCGGATGAGGCACAGGTTCAAGGCGTCGACTCGCTCGCGAGTAACCTTATCGGCGCCCCCTACAACGGCTAGAACAGTTTGTTCTGGCGGGGCGGCGAGGTACATTGTAGAAATCAACTCAAGGATGTCAGACAGCTCTCGTTCTACCTCCACAGGAATTATCATTCGGATCCTCTCAGCACAGCGATGCTACCCACCAGTGGGATCGAGGAGGCGCCGGACTCGAATTTTGCCATTCTTGATAGGAGCAGAGTTCGTTTGCAGGAGATCGTCCATTTGCGCTACCTGAGGCACCTGCCTTTTGATCTCTCGCTTTATATACGACCTCCCCCCACAAGTGCCGGAAGATCATGGCTACATCGACCGCCAATCAGTGCCCATTCCCAGGTCTTTGATTGTCGACAAGGCCAGTCTACACTGCCGATCAATTGCCGTCTTTCCCGTGGCTCGTCTCGCCCATGCCGGGTTTCCGTATCATCAGAAACCTGCCCGCACCATATATTGCGCGATTCCTTTTACCCAGCTCATCTCTAAGTCTGCTCTTATCGGCGTCAGCCTGTACGAAAAAGGGTCGTTGTTGTCCACGTGTCACCACCTGTACCAGAACAACCGGATGAACGAAGAAACGCCTGGATACGCTCCGACAATAATCTCATCACTGCTTACTCTGCAAAGGATATTATATCAAGTCCGCACAGCCAACGGCTCACGCCGTTGAGGGATCCTCCAAAAAAAGCCCGCTGTGGAGGTCTGTGATTGCCCAAATGAAGGTGTGGCGCATCCTACATCCTTCGACTAAAGGATGAGGAGGGTAGCTCGAACGTTGCCGTTAGAGAAATGCACAGCGCATGAGGTGCGCCCCTCGCCGTATCACCCCCTTATACTATGGAGATCCGTCTTCTACGACGTAAGGGTAGGTATGAGAAGGTAGTGGACGTGTCTACTCTGAGAGACCTGAGGACAACCTAGATAAGTTTCAACAGAGATTCTGAGAGATGCTGAGGTACTCCGTTTCCTTTCTGGATCTGTATTACTCGTGTGAGAAGTCTTTACGGCAGAATTTGAAATGATTACGGAAGAGACGACTGGTTCTACGTGGTAATAAAATTCCGGTACTTGTAGAACAGGGGATCTGTCACCCTTCGACCCTTCGATAATTCATGGACACTAACAGACAGAAGCTCCGTTTCCCATTGTCGTAACAAGTTTTCAGACACCAGAACTCGCGGGCATCGGCCCACTCCTTGCCAGCTGTGACCCACAGCACTCTGCTGGCGAGGATACGAGACATCGACGATGACAAGGATGGGGTCGAAACGACTCCTTGGAACATCGCCTCAGCGAGACGGATGCGCACATGTAAAAATAATGCCATGTTAATTGCCCACTCCACACTCCCCTGCCTGCTGCTCGTAGCAATACCCATGCTTCTTCCCTACTTGGGCAAGACTGTCATCAATCTTCCTTAGGGACCCGACTGCCGTTTTGGAACAAAGATCCTTAGGAAATGGCGATCAGAGGTTGGACGAAATACTGGAGAATTATCAATGATGTTCCGGCGGAAAGCATCTAATCTTTGTTGATCCGCTGATGTCGGGTGCTTCTTCCTCTTTCAAGGTCCCGCATTGCTGATGCTTGTCGTTCACGAGGGCCCTGCACTGAAATGGTTTTGCAAGAGGACAATCCTGACTGCGCAGTTCATCTGTTGGGTGTCAAGGAAGCCTTATGCTGTGGGCATTCTTCTAGCCATGTTGCCTCATCCAAAGCGTTACACATGACGGGTTGGTATCCTTTTTTGCGCGGCCAGGTCGAAAGCAGATTCTTGATTTCGTTCATCAGATCCTAGTCATCGATAATTACATATTGGACATAGGAGCTCCTCGGAGAGGTAGAGCGCGCCACATCATGGATATCGTTGCCGAAAAAATCGCTCCCTCGGCGTCTCACAGTGACGCGATTGGGGGGCGAGGCAGCTCCATACACCAGAACATATACTTTTTGTCCTCATACTTGCTTTCGAACTCTTCCTCGCCCCTTATCTCTGCTCCCCAGCTCTTGTACATCGCAGGACCGTTAGGGTTTGCCGTCTCCCAGACGAGACGCTCTCCACTCGCGAGGGCTTTCCTGGCACCGATTTCGAACAAAGCTCGGCCGATGCCTTGTCGTTGGTGTGATGGCACGACACAAAGGATTTGGAGTCCCCACGCATCGTTAAGTACGGTCGCACCTCCGAATGACTGTGCACAGAAAGCGCCACCCTCGGGTATGAACTGTGCATGTTATACGTTTAGTTTGGCATTTCTCTAATAGCGCGACTCACGCTACTCATGATCCACTCCGCAAGCCCAGGCTCAAGCATCACGAGATACTCATCCCATTTCGCTACCTCGCGCTGCTTCTCGCTGCTCATGAACTCTACTCCGGGCGGCCACCAGATTGACGCGCCGACCATCTTGCCCTCTAATTCTGCGATCCATACGAGTCCCTCCACGCACCCTGCATTGACGAAGCAACTAGTGAGCTTTTCATATAACGGGAGGTTGGACAGCTGCCCGCCGGAGATGGCGGAGACGTGAGGGTCTTGGGCATAGGCTTCCATGACTACCTGAGTCAATGTGCTCCGCTCCGCCGCTGGAAGACACGGTCAGCCGTACACTTAGTATGCGCAAGAAGAGTATGCGCACGCGTAGCATCGACCAATTGGCGGATCTTGAACTTGCTGGGCAACATGTTGGGACAGGAGCACTAGGTGGGCCCATCCAATGCTCCTTGGGTTTATGAACCCGGCGAGTCGTTTGTCACGGAGGCCGCATGTAAGCACTGTTCGCCTAGCGTTGACATCCGAATGACTTATCAACTCGTTTGACCACAAGGCTTTAGGTATGGGCCGCCGCAGGACGCGTCGGAAGTACTAAGCATGAAGCCCAACACAAGCCCAGCCATCAAAGCCCAGCATATTCAGCTGTGCGGACCCTGCTTAGCCATCCTCGCCGGTTTCAAGCCGAATATGTCTCTCCCTGTACGTCTAATCGTGTGCTTCGCCCATGACGAAAGAGACGGGGTAATTTCGGTGGTTTGTTGCGCGCACCATAATATGGCCGAGTGAGACGTCGGGGAGCGGAGGTGATATCCGTCAGCAGATATTCGTCAACACTATTATTGAATATCAATCCACTTAATTTCATGCTTTACCACAAGATCCATTGCGCACCATTGAGCAATATGTACTCTTGAGTATCAATGGCACTCCCGGTCCCAATCCGTCTCCTGATGACGCTTGTGCCATGAGACGGCCACCGATCTTTCGTTTCAGGTGAAAATCACTCCTCGCAGCTTGCGGACAACCCCCATGCATTTTCTCTCCGTCCTTGGTTGTCAACCTCGCATATATCGCCCGCACCTGCTCGTGTTCCACGGGCGCAAGCCATGCGAGGCACGCGAGTGTCGATTCCATTCATGACAACATACTGGAGGTATAGCCCTTGATATGCTGATATATATCAGACAAGTTGTTCAACAAGTTGATGCCATTGAGCTATAGGAACATGAATAGCAGGGATGCAGACAGCTTGAGCGCATCATCTGAGCAAGTCAGCAGAGTTAAAGTCGGTGATAAGGCTGAGCGGAGTTAGGGTAACGGAACCAGAATGAGCGCTCTCTCAACAGCCGCCGCCCTTGAACGGTGTTCATAATCCTCAAAGCATTGACGAAGTTGCACAATGGATCTTCCCAATCCCTTCTTCCCACCACCACCTTCCGTCGACCACCACCACATGAATGAAGAGATTATTATAGTCGACGAGCCGGGCCATTCTCCACCCCCTCTCCCATTCCCACCCGCACCTCTCCTCTCGCCAACCAACCGTCCGCTTCGCCTGCGACACAGGCCCCAACCCCGAGCAGCGCCTTTCGAGCCAGCAGCTGGACCCTCTGGTCGAGTGACGCGCGCGTCCACTCATGCTGCTCATGCTGCTGCCCGAGCACCCAAAAAACTCAAGGTTCGCCTAGGCACTACCGCCCAACAACAACAAGCGACCAACTCCGTCTATTCTGCTGGCAATAGTTTCCTAGGGCCTTATGATCGGGAACTGGATAGCAGCGACGAGGATTTGACATTCGAGGAGCAGTTTATTCTCAGAGTACCAGAGGAGGGTGGGTTGGCGGAAGAGATGAGGAAGAGGGTGCAGAGGAAGGATGTGGGGGAGGACGTGTGGTTCCGATTCAAAGGTATGCCCTCGCATTATCCCGTAACAATCAAGGGTATTCTGACATTGGTACAAAGATTCTCGAAGAGCAATGTTTCATCTCGGTACTCAAACCTACCCAGCCAAACTCGTGGATCTGCCAAGTATTATCGAGTCGCAGAAAACCCTTAACAGCAGACAACTCTACAAGACTGCAGACATCTGTCAGATGCTTCTCGTCGAACCCCAAGCACTTGATTCTACCAACCTCGGGACAGGTGCGGGAGGAGGAGGCGAGAAAAGCTTCAATCTGGAAGAATTTATTTACCCACACGGGATCACCCCACCATTGAAGTGGGTGCGGAAAAGGAGATTTAGGAAGCGAATCAACCGGATGACGATCGAGAGTGTGGAGCAGGAAGTGGAGAGGCTACTCGAGGTAGACGCGAAGGCCCTGGAAGTCGAATTTGGTACGTGTTCCCCAAATGTGCGCGCCGCACCACAGGACATGTATGCTGACATATATTAGATATTCTGGAGAACGTAGATCCAGATATGTCAGACTCTGAATTCGAACCTCGTGCGATGGATGCAGCCACCCCCGGCTCTGCGATGGGCGAGGATGGGTATGCAGAGTCAGGAACCGGCCGGCCGGGCGAGGACGGGGAGGAGGAAGAAGAGGACGAGATGGATATGGAGCTCGCAGCGGAGATCGATCGTGCCTTTGAGGAAGAGGCTGCGTCTGATTCTGAAGAGGAAGTTGGGGGACAGAGGGAAGTTGGCGAGAGCGAGTCAGAAACGGGAAGCGAGGAAGAATCTGAGGAGGAGGAGTATGAGTCGGACGAGTCGGGAGAAGAAGACGAAGAGGAAGAAGAGGCTGAGGAAGCTGATGCTGGTGGAGAACGGCAGAGGCGGCGGTTGCTCGCCGAAGAGATCGCAGACCTGGAGCGTGCTTGCGAGCGGAAAGCGGCCGAGGTTGCGCGTGCAGGAAATCCTGTAATCAAGAAGCGACTCGAGGACGTGTTAGGCAAGTTGACACGAGATCTGGAGATGAGGAGAGCACAGAGGGAGGAGATGAGACGAGGCAGAGAGGAACGGAGGAGGGTTAGACGCGAGGTAAAGAAAGCGGCAGAGGAGGAGGAAAGGGAGGAGCAGGAGAGAGAGGAGAGGGAGAGGGGCGAGAGGGAGCCTGTGAGCAGTCCTGTGCTGGCTGCTAGCGCCGCGGGAGAGCAGCAGACCGGGGAGTTGACCGCGCCTGTGGTTGTGGTTCCCCCACCAGCACCTGCTGCGTGAGTTGTCTAATTTGTTGGAGTACTTATACTGTTGTATTAGCCCAAGTAATTCGGAGTTGTTCCTGCTTTTCCAGTGAACGAATCGTGATTGTGCTCCAGACAACACGTTGTACAAAAGACACCGTGCAGAAGAATAGAAGACGCACCTGGCCCTGCTGGTTATACCTCTCCTTCTTTCCCTGACCTTCCTTAAAAGGGAGAGCAGGTCCAAAGGCCAATTCAAGAATCAGGGCTGATGATTCTCAGAAATCGTCTGCGGTCGCTGAGGAGACTCGCTTATAACGGGGTCGTTCACTATCAGGAGCGTCGATGTTCCCCTCTCCCTCCCGACAACATCAAGGTGACTATGGCAACTTCCAAGAATTCACTGCTCCATATCCGGCGGCTTGTTAACCCTACAGGTTGGCTACGTTGCCTTCTGCTGTGTTGCGTCTCGCTAACCCAGTTCACAGAGGCCGAACTCGCCGGTGTCCTCCGGGTGATGCGCCTCGCCTTCTGTACCGACCCCATCATCTCCCTCGTCCTGGCACATGACCTCTCCAAGGAACGACTCGATGCCCTGCATAAAGGCTTTGTGACTCCCGCATTGGCAGAGGGAGAGGGGGAGGTGTGGGTCGCTGAGAGGGAAGTGGTAGTTGGAGCGTCGCATGGGGAAACAAGGAGGGAAAGGGAGATTGTGGGACAGGTCGCGTGGTATTTGCCTGGGAATCATATAGGGGAAGATGACGAACACTGGCGTGAGCTCGTACGACTGCTAGGCAAAGAACAAGGCGATTGGTTCCTTCAACATGTGTGCATTGTCACTTCCTCGAGGGAGTTGCTGACATTGAATACACAGTTCATACCTCTCCTCGACAAGGGGTGGGATCCGATCCTGCCCAATAAAGGCAACAAGTTGGAAGACGCATATCATGTTCTGATTCTATCTGTCCTCCCTGGATTTCAGAACCGTGGCCTTTTCGCCGCCCTCACCTTGCCCGTGATATCGCGCGCTCTTGCGGAGGGCAGGCGGGTGCTGGGGGAAGCGACGAGTGCGGAGAACATGAGCAAATATGCGCATATGGGGGCCAAGAACCTTGCTGTGGAAGTGGTCGAAAGGACCTGGGAAGACGGGAGGGTCGAAAGCACGAATTTATTCCCCTTCGAGATCGTACCAGAGGCGATTAGGGGCAATCCATATTGGAGCAGAGGGGTAAAGTTCGCCAAGTTATGAACGGCGTCTAGAGCCCCTCTGTTGACCTGCCACACATTCTGCTGTGTGAATGCTGTAGGCATATATCCCTCTGTGAAAGGCGTCGATCTTTGTACCTCTAATTGAGCAGGTATCCCAGTACAGACCGTGCCATTCCATCAATCTATTATGATGACAAAGAACTCGGAACTGCGGCTCCGAGGCTTAAAAGTCCCCCGTGTTTAAGATGAGACTGAACATCAGGGAAAAGTATCAGCACCTTGAGCCAACTCTGCGCGCACTATGCGTCACCCCCCAACGCTGGTACATCTCCTCCTCCTCTTCCTACCTCTCCTTGTCAAGTCCCAGTCTCAGCGTGCGCTCAAGCACCTCACCGATGGCCAGCTTCGCACACTCGCAAAGCCCGACGCTATCACCCAGCTCGACCCAAAGAACGCGAATGGTCATCTGGCAAAGGTGTTGATCCCACGACCGCGTGCGCTCTCTCCTCCTCAGTGTTTCTTCGTTTCTGCTGCTTACTTAGTGCAGCGGACACGGCGAATAACACCTTGGTACGGAATTACATCGTTCAGCATTTCCGGACGCTGCAGTGGGACGTCGAAGAGGATACATTTAGGGACAACACGCCGTACGGAGAGAAACAGTTCACGAACATCATCGCGACGAAGGACAAGTACGCTGCAGGCAGGCTCCTTCTAACTGCGCACTTTGACTCCAAGTTTTTCCCCTCGTTCCCGCAAAACCAGGTACGTCACGAGTCCTGCCTTGTGCTTGAGCAGAACCTGATGTGTTGCAGTTCGTTGGAGCGACGGACTCTGCTGCTCCGTGCGCGATCCTACTGGACCTCGTCTCCGTTCTCAACCCCTACTTCCCCACGCCATCCAATAAACCCCATTCAGGCACTACCCTCCAAGTAGTGTTCTTCGACGGGGAAGAAGCGTACAAAGAATGGACCGCGACCGACTCAACGTACGGCTCGCGGCACCTAGCGGAAAAATGGAGCGAAACTTACGTCCAGACTCCGTCCGCGTTTGTCCCTGCTGAGAACGTACTAAGTACGATCGAGCACCTCGTTTTGCTTGACCTGCTCGGTGCGGCCAGCCCGCTCATCTCCTCTTACTTTCCCGACACAGCCTGGCTATTCGACGCGCTCGTCTCCTCCCAGACACGGCTCGCCGAGCATGGGCTTTTAGACACCCCCGAGCTCGTGGGGGGGGACAAGAACAAGGGGAAATGGGGAGACTGGGACAGCTTTTTCGTTCCTCGGAGCAATGCCATACCCTGGCATATAGAGGACGACCATATCCCATTCCTGAAGAGGGGTGTGCCAATATTGCATGTCATCGCGAGCCCGTTCCCGAGGGTATGGCATACGCTTTCGGTGCGTTTGCGCAATGTATGCTTTCCTCCTCGTGAGGCGCTGACGAGCGTAGGACGACGCTTCTGCCCTCGACCTCCCGACACTTAAGAGATGGAACCTCATCTTCCGGGTATTCACGGCTGAGTATCTGGGGCTTGCGATACCTGAACAGGGAAGGCATGAGGAGCTCGTGAGTCCTTTTTCTTGAGTTCGGGGGCGGAGATAGACTGAACTAGTGAAAGCGCGCTTAGGGCGAAGGTGCCACCTGGGAAACGGGGGTGGAGGGGTGATGATGGGATTGGGGGATTTGTATAACATCTGAACTGGCGGAGACAGGCTGGTAGAAATGAAGTGGAGAGCTTGGCTCAGTAGATACCTCGGCAAAGTTACCCTTTCTCATATCAGCATCTGCTGCGGTCCCAAAAAGGATCGGTCACTGCATCAATCGCAAGTGGCATCATCTGAGAAGATCAAGTTAGCGTCCACCCAGCGTCGCGCCCAATCAACTTCCTGCTAATCACGGTTCCAGAATCTTCGTCAGAAGCTGATTATCTGGGAGTACCGAGTATCACCCAGGCGGGCATAACGAGAGATGGGTGATTAACTCTGCAAGTGAACATCAACTAGCTTTCTGTCATTCATTATTCACGCGATCCTTCCCATGCTCTTCACCGCAATGGACAACCACAATCCCCACTTTGTCAATAGGAGCTACTGATATGCTGCGGAATCGTACTGGCATCGTCTGGGCTACAAAGTGTCGGCAACGAGCATCGTAATTTCTCCGTGGTTTCGAGGACCTCAAGCTAGAAATGGCACCTCCCAAGGATCCCCGCTCCATATCCGACGACTCATCAACCCCTCTGGTTCGTCCCGCTTTACTGTTATCCTTTCTGTTCCTGAACCCAACATTCAGATGCGGAAATCGCTGCGGTCCTCCGGGACATGCGCCTCGCCTTCCAAGCAGACCCCATCGTTTCCCTCGTCCTGGCGAATGACCTCTCCCCAGAGCGAGTCGATGCCATGCATATGGGGTTTATTACCCCTGCATTGGTAGAGGGAGACGGGGAGGTGTGGGTAGCTGAAAGGGATGTGGTGGTTCAAGGTGTGCACAAAGAGGCACGAACGGAGAGGGAGATCGTGGCACAGGCGGTGTGGTATCTGCCCGGGAATCGTATCGGGGAGAAGGGAGAGGGAGAAGGATGGGAAGTTTTCCTTGGGCTGTTGGGACGAGAGCAGGCAGATTGGTTCCTCCATTATGTGCGAATTTGCGCCCTCTTTGCATAGATCTCTCTCTCATCAAACGCAGTTCATGTCTCTACTTGAGAAGATGTGGGATCCAATCCTTCCGAACAAAAGCGACAGAATGGAAGATGCCTATCACTGCCAGATCATTTCCGTCCTCCCTGGACTTCACAACCGCGGTCTGCTAGCCGCCCTCACGTCGTCCGTGATCGCGCGCGCCCTATCAGAAGGCAAGCGTGTTCTGGGGGAAGCTACAAGCGAGGAGAACTTGAGCAAGTACATCCATATGGGGGGAAGGAAACTGGGAATGCAAGATTTTGAGAGGAAATGGCCAGACGGGAGGATCGGGAGAGCAAAGCTATTTCCATTCGAGGTCATCCCAGAGGAATTCACCAAAAACCCATATTGGACCAGAGGAAAGAAGGCACTCACCAAGTTGTGATCAGATAACAAATTGACATTCATGTACCATGCTGTGCTGGATACCACCACTGATTCGAGGCAGGACGTTACGCAGAGACTGTGTTTCTATTGCCTGCCAACACCGGTCAGTAGCACGCCTTCGTTATCAGAACGTAACGTCTCCCTCTGGCTTTCGCAAATCCATGGTCCGGATCTCGAATTCCTTCCCTTCTGCTTCTCCAGTCCCCTCATACTTATCTTTCCCCAGGGACTTCGCTCCCGACTTCCCATACTTGGCTATATTAACTGCATTACTCTAATGGAGTCCTCCACTTGTTCCGCTGCATAATGATCAGCATGAGAGCCGCTGTGTACGATGGATACGTACGAGTTGGGTTGGACAAATGCCTGACGGGATAGGTGGTGGATGGCATTCAACCCTAGTGCAGCAAGGTGATAGAGATAGGACAGATAAAACAACATCAATATGAGCTGTTTGCACGCATTATCATAGGGCCATCGTTATCAACTGCGCAAGTACAGCACCACGGCTTAGCGTCGCCCAGCAAGTTCCAGTCGGGCATTCCATTTGATAACAGCCTGAGAGCAACAGTTGCACCATGAGACGGTTAACCGGAGCAAGGGAGATATTGACTCCAGCAGTTAATGGCGATGATAACAATCAATACTTTTCTTCGACATCGAAAGACACGAGGAGATCTATATCTTGAACATGGGCAACGATGGATGGGGACGAGAAGGGATCAAGCGCTGTTTCTATCAGTCAGCATACCACATGGGGAGTCGGCCGGCGGCTGCTTCAGACCATATCGGCAAAGGCTGCATTTCCAGTATATCAAAGAACCTTTTCTAGTACGAGTCGCTCCAATTTGGACATCAGCACTGTAATAACAAACAGAATACAGTTTTTAGTGATCCTTCTTGAATGTCAAGTGAATGAACCGGTCCAAGCAAGTAGATGTGTGACGCGTCGTGGAAAGCGTCCCCACAGACTCTTTCCCACGACACGTCGCCAATTGGCGCCCATGTCATCTATATCTCGCTTAAAGTCGTTCTTCAAGCCATCTGCAGGGAACGACAAACATGTTGCACGACTGCAGCGGCGAAAACGTATCTATACATCCATAGGGCGCGTCTCACCATACCTGCAGTGAGTCCGCTCAAGAGTGCTAGGGAGGCATTCTGACTTTCGTGTAGACTGGCATGCTACCTGATTGGCATACTATGGATCTTCGCTATTCCTTTGACTGAGCTTGGGAAGGGAACATATGTGGATGAGAACGCGCTGCAGCCTGGGCAGGTCAGCACATATTGGGATTGGGCGGAGGTGCATGCTGCGGATCGGTTTTTGGTGGTGCTTGAGGGCATGAGAGAAGCAAATGCTAGCCATCAGGAGTGCGTTCCCAACATCGGAGTGCAAACCAAATACTAATAATTTACCAACAGGAGGGCGGCATGGTTGAAGACCAAGTTCCTGGAACTGGGAATATCAACCGACACGCAGGCATATACATTTAGCACGTCTTTTGGCGTTCGTCGACGTTGCTCATTTACAAGGAAACTCCTCTGACGATGCAATAGGAAGTGCATGGCGTGAACACATATGCTTTTCATTCATCACCACGTACCTCTGGAGCGGAGGCGATGATCATTGCTGCGTCTTGGACGAGCCTTACTGGGGATCCCAACTTGCGAGGCGTGGCAACTGTGCTAGCTTTAGCGGGTTTCCTCACACGTATGCACTACAAACGCTCCTGAACAACTAGGATGAATACTGATGGTCAGCAGGTTACACCCACTGGGCAAAAGATCTCGTGTTCGTCATTTCCGATGGTTACCAGGATGGCATGGAAGCCTTCCTCTCGACGTACTATGGTCATGAGCCAAAAACGCTGTCCGTCCAACCCCTCACCTTCGACAGTGAAGTAGTCTGGACGGCACTCTCTATCGACTATCCCGGGCATTCGTTTTCGCATCTCGGGCTGTTCTTCGAGGGTCTGAATGGCCGCCTGCCCAACCAAGACCTCTTTGTATGCGCACAAGTCATCGCACGCTGGACTGGTGGTGTACCCGTGATACTACACAACACCCTGGATGAGCTGCGTCCGGACATACCTATGCCCGATTGGCTGCAGTGGTCGGGCGCCGCGGGCAATTGGGTGTGGAGGGAGATCGTCAACAGACGAGCGCTCAAGGAGTGGGAGTATAGGGCAGGAAACGTGGCAGAACAAGCAGGATGGATGGCCACTGGACGGGCGAGTGGAGTGCATGGCGTGTTTCATCAGTATGTGTGCCGAATTGTCAGTCGATCCGATCTGATCACCTGCTATAGATTCAGAGTCGACGCGATTACCCTATTTGCCAGGCCTGCGACGGGTCCTCACGGTTTCCACTCATTGGGAAAGTGCGTATGATCGACTCCATAGTAGAGGACTTTATTCATGGAAATCCAGACTGACGGAATCTCTCCTGCGAACAATGAACAACTTGCTTGAGCGACTTCACGCATCATTCTTCTTCTATCTTCTATCCTCACCGTCAACATTCCTGAAGATCGGCTCCTACCTACCGTGCTCGGTACTCATCGGTGTAGGGTGTATGATTGGTGGTCTCCGTGGGTATGTCGATCTCGGATGGGAACGGTGGTACTCTCAAAAAGCCAACGATACGAAATGGCTGAAGCGGCCACGGCGCTTGATGGAAGGCGTTGGTGCTCTCTCTGCAGTCGCCTCCGTCGGTGCAGTAGCATACCTCCACGCGAGCAGCAGATTATTCGCCCCAATGCTTGCCGCTACCTCCCCTCTCCCCCTTCTGCCAGTGATCCTCACCTTCTCGCTGCTTCCCCCTTTCATCGTCCTTCTCCGACCCGACTCAAAAGCAACCGCTCCACTGGCTCCGATGGTCAAGACATGTCTTCTGTTCTCCCTCGCCTTGCTCATCGCACCGCTAAGCATGCTCAACTTCCCTCTATCGCTCTTCTTCGCCCTCCTCGCAATCCCACTCTCCCTCATAAATCCCTCGTCTGGGCTCCTGCCCTTTCTCCTACTCGCACTGCTAAATCCCGCTATGCTGCTGCTATTCCAGAACGGACGAGACGCGATTCGAATAGCTGTTTGGGACTGGCAGGTATTAGGCGCATATGCGCTTCCTCTCGCTTGCCTGATCTGGATGCCTCTGGTTTGGGTTGCACAGGCCGTTTGTATAATTCAAGAATAGATTGGTCAAACTTCCTGGATGTCCTTTTATGTTGTCTCTTCTTTGCTGGCTAAATCATCCGAGGATCAGATCCTATTCCCAAGTGCGAGAGTCGCCAACACGACAGTCCTTCGCAACTGTATGGATCAGAATCAGACCTTCCACATACAGTTCAGGAACAGATTCGAGTCCTGGCGTATCATCACGAATTTATCCACAAATTGCGATGAGTCCGACCCTCACATATCAGTTTCCCTGGCCGAACAATGCGTCATTATCACTGTCATCATATCACCTTCGAACACTTCAGACGCTCGTGGATCGTTCTATAACCCTTGCCGTTACCAGCTGAGTCATATAGAAAGACAGAAGCTTTAGATTTCGGCGGTGATATTACATCAGATGTGCTGATTGTCGCATACTTTCTCGGAGCACCAACGATGGCAGTTCTTCCTTGAAGAATGTCCCTTGTAACTTCATAGGTTATCTATCATACGCGGGCGAGAACGGGGACATCGCTCATCTGGCGTCGATGCTGTGCGGCGCCGGTTCATCTCGTTCTCCTGTTTGCTCAATCACGAGCACAGAAGGCATCTGGAACAGCACCCGAACCATTACAAAGCTGATGTGATTCCTTTTTTACCCAGACATTGATCAATGGCATTTGATAGTGACAAGGTACAATGCACATATGGATCCAAAACTCTCGGCTGTCTTAATGCTTGTCGAGCAACTTTAGTAAAGTGCTGAGGCTCGGCAGTGGAAAAGCTGCGGCCCGCTGGAATGTCAGTTATTCTCTATCCATTCCTTTTTATAGCTCTCAATACACCATAAGTGGTCTTTCTTTGGCTTAACAGCCGTCGATATACACCGCCGTCCTCCGATAAAGAGCATTTTGCGAGAATCTCGGATCGAAAGCCGTTGCATATCCCAACGACCATTGAACCCGAGGTGGAGGCCTTCCGCACAAACAGAAGCCCTGCCTTTCTGAGCTTACTGCGCTAGTTTTGACGACCCATGAAGGGTAAAGAAATCCCGCGAAGCGATCTATTGTCGTGAAAAGGGAAGCTCTGGATACGAGCTACATTGTGGGCATTTAGAGAGATCGAACACCACGGGAACGGTGACAACCCTTTGCGCAGACCCGAGCTAAAGAGCGAAGTTTCGTCTTCTGATCATGATCTTCTCTAGCGTATCCTCAAGATGCGATTTTTTCCCATCACGCTGAGTTTTCCATGTACCTTATTTGCTGATTGATTTGACCAATATTGTTGATCATTGTCGGGTGTTCCAGCTTGGATCTGCATGACCGGTACTGTGCATAGTCAGGCATGCATGCCCTATACATGGGATTCGCACGTCATTTTCACCTCGAAGTGAAACGCGGAACATTTTGTGCTGAACAGACTGACAGTGACTTGACGGAAGTTGAAGTGAAGCCGGCATATGGGGTTTTACGTTCGAGTTTACAAAGCCAAAAGACCCGTTTTGGGCTGTGTTCATCAATCCAGATCCGGGATTGGACGAGACCAACGCGAGTTGCCATAAGCGTAATGTATGTCGCGTGAGAAACAGGAATGTTTGGAATTCATTGTCGTTTGTCGTTACGGCATCAATGTGTCACTCCTCGTTTCATATTGTTATCGCCAGGGTCCGGTCAACCGGATGACTATAACTGGGAAGTTCGAACATTGGTGGATAGGCTTGGTGGCAAGAGGGGCGCAGCCTCAGTGTTGGGAAGCATGATGGAGGCGAGGGCGTACCTCAGGCACCAGAGAAAGCACGCATGTGCCAAGCGACTGCATCAGCACAGCGCAGGAGGAAGGGAAGTGTAAGCAGGTGGCAACGGTTGTCGGGTTCTAGTGGAAAGCCATCGAGGGAATTTGAGGAGCGGAAGAACTTCCCTTACGATGGCAGATGATGGTAAGCCAGGGTGGAAGGGGAAAAGATACAAATACCTCTTGGATTGCTCTGCGAATCCTCGAGGAGCAGGAGCATCTCACACGCACAGATCGTCGAGATATTCAGTTCACAATGTCGTCGGTTCCTTCTGTCGAGGCCGCCTCGTCCTCCTCGACTCCCGCATCAGTACCCGAGCCGGAGATCTCCATCCGCCGACTTCTCTCCCCTACGCCTTCTGAAGTGCAAGCAGCACTCGAAGTCCTCCGTATCTCCTTCTCCAAGAGTGCCTTCTTTGCTGCCATCTTGGGAGGAAATGTGAGCCCAGAACGGATGGCAGCAGCGCACGAGCTCTTCCTACGAGCTGCGTTGGTGAGGGGTGAAGGAGAGGTCTGGATTGCCGAGTCGTTCTTCCCCGAAGAGCCGGAGAAGAAAGAGGTCGTCGGTGCCGTGCTGTGGTTCTTGCCTGGGACGGAGTTCTTAGCGACTGAGAAGCAGAGGAAAGCTGCAAGATGGGAGGAGTTTGCACGCATGCTGGGCGTCCAATCGCGTTGGTTGACAGACTACGTTCGTCCTCACACCATGATGGACCATTGTTTTCGTGCTGATAGCGTAACAGTACCTTCCGCGAATAGACGCCTTCTGGACACGCGCCCTCCCGTACGGCCCTTCGCACCTCGAATCCTACGAACTATGCAAGCTCGCTGTCCTCCCCAACTCGCACAACGCGGGTATCGCCTCCCTTCTCGTTTGGCCTGTCCTCTCCCGCGCAGTGCGAGAGGGTAAAAGAGTGGTAGGGGAGACGACGAGCGAGGGGAACGTTAGCAAGTACCTGCGTGTCGGAGGTCAGCAGGTGGGAGAAGAACGTTTTTACGCATTTGACGCGCGTGGGCGGCCGACGGAAGAAGGAGAGCCGGCATTCCGCATTTGGGGATTGGAATTCCAGCTTGGACAAGTTGGGAATGGACATTGGAGTAGGACGAACGAGAGAGATGAGCAGAATGAGAAGGGAATAACGAGGGCATGTCTGTGAGTGAGGAGGGGAGTATACTTTATTTTACAGAAGGAAAGTAGCAGACGATATATACACGCATATTTATCAACATTCTTCTCATTCAATTTCCGAGACCAACCGCAAGAGAACGAACCAAGGCAAGTATGAAAGAGAGACATTCAGTTGTTCCGCAATATCTTCTTCTTGATACCTACTATGGTACCGCGTGGAATGACCGAAGAACGCCGGAGCGCAGCTCTAAGCTATACAGTTGATCAGAGAGTCATCGTGTGCCAAAGGGACGTCTATCCGCAGTTCTCTCGCTGTCCAGTTTGTGGGATTGGAATTACTTGCTACACTAGGAAAGGATGTCACGCCCCACATATCCGGTTAGACATCTATCCAACCCTACTCGTACGCACTGCAGTGTGCTGCACGTCTGGTGCTGACTGTGATGTAGCTGAACAAACGGAGGAGTCAATCCGGTTGTCGATGGACGCCTTTCGAGGTGGTGCGTCCTCAAGCCCCTGTGCTTCTCAACGTTGACTGAGGTCATTGCCCAGATTCCTTCCTCCGAACCACACTAGGAGGTCAGGAGGCAGACGAAAACCTCTTCTACCGGTTCATGCGCGCACATGTTGTCGGCGCAGTAGTCGACGGCCAGCTCTGGGTCGCCGAGGACCTAGCCTCAGAGGAACCAAAGATCGTCGGCGTGGCTCTCTGGTTTCCCCCTGGGACGGAATTCCTAGGTACGGAGGAGGGGAGGAAGGAGGCGGGGATGGATAAGGTCATTGGGAGTTTGAGCGAGAGCATGCAACGGTGGTGGTATGATTATGTGCGTCCCTGCCTTCTGTTTCAAGTTCTGTACCTCTGTATGCTCATGCTCGTACTTGCAGTTCATCCCCGGAGGAGCGAAACAAGCGAACACCTACCTCGGTCCTTCCGCAAAACACGACGCCTACCACATGCTCATGCTAGCCGTCCTTCCCTCCTACCACTCGAAAGGCATCGGACGTACGCTTCTCTTCGCCCAAGCCAGGGGCGCATTCGAGCAGGGCAAACGTGTCTGTTGGGAAGCGAGTAACGAGGTTAATGTTGAGAAGTATGGGAGGTGGGGAGGGAGGCCGAGGGGGAAGGAGAGGTATGATGGGGATTCGGGGGAAGGGGGAGGAGAGAGGGGATTTGATATGTGGACGATGGAGTTGCCCAAGCCGGAGACGGGGTTGCTGTGATGGGAGTGTTTGGTGCTGTAGTTGTACGTGATGGAATATGGGGTCTGTGGTTCAAGTGGTAGATTTAGACAACTTGTGGGGTGGATTGAACACTTAACATCGTGAAGAATGTATGGAATGTCTGTGCAGACTGCCGTTCCTCTGTATCCTCACAATGATGGTACACTTCAGGCGGGAAGGACGAGTCGTATGGTAGCAATGAGCTGCGTCCAGCACAAGATGAACGCAAGGAGCATTCAAACTGCGGTGACACTCATGTCGAAATGCGTTTGTTTACATAGTACTATGACCCAAAATAACAAGATTCAATCTTCATTCTCCCCAACTACACCCACCCACATCTCGTGACAATCAATGTCATAACAGATCTTGAGCTAGCGTGTGCGGATAAGAATGCTACGAAGGTATGCAATGCAGTGCAGTGATGCGATAGAGATGCAACAGACAAAGACAGGCGGCACGGCCGGCTGGTTCCTAGCCATATATATGCTGGACACGAATGCCCGTGCGCATGCGCATAGGGCAGATACTCCTCTGGGGAGCTTTCCGAGTAAACCAAGAGAAACGAAAGATGAGAGGTGCAAGAATGCGGGTTATGCAGAAGACACGCAATCGATGCGCTCTTCAGATGCCAATCGAAACTTCGAAGGATGGGCTCAGTTCTTGAAGAACTCGTGCCGGGCCTTGACCGCTCCCTGCCCACCGTCAGATGGGTGCCAACCGCGGCGAGTGTAGCCGGCAGGACGTCGTTGTGTAGGGAGGACGGGTTTAGGCGCACGCTTAGAGGGAGGCGCAGAGGGCTCAGCCTCGCACTCGTCGCCCGAGTCATCCGTCGAGGATGGGTCGGCGGTGGCAGTGGGTGCGGGGTCCGTGCTGGTAGGCGTCGGCACATCGGTTGGCGAGACAACCTCAGAGTCGGTGGACGAGGACGGGGACGAGGTTGGCGATGCAGTCGCAGAGGCGGTGGAGGAGGCCGAGGACGAGGTTGGCGTGGCAACCGCAGAGTCGGTGGACGCGGACGAGGTTGCCGCAGCGGCGAGCGCCTGACCATTGGGAACGGAGCCAGTGCTGGTATCCGTGGAGGAGGCAGCGCTGCTCGTGCTCGTCGAGACGACCACGGTGACAAAGCCGGAAGATGTGGAGGGATCAGTGCCGGAGGAGACTGAGCTTGTGGGCGCAACATCTTCAGTGCTGGAGGAGGCTGAGCTGGTGGGCACAGCGCCATCAGTGCTGGAGCCTGAGCTGGTAGGCGCAACGGAACCAGTGCTCAAGGAAATGGAACTGGAAGGGGACGAAGGGTCAGCGGCGACGTTCCCTGCGGGCTGGGTGGGAGCGGCCATGGAGGCGCTCGAGGTGGGAGTAACGTTGTCACCAACCACGGGGGCTGTAACAACGACAGTGACAGCAGGTTGGGTGAATGTGGACGTAACGGTGCTCGTCACGGTGTTGATAACAGTAGAAGTAACTGTGGCCATAACGGTAGAAGTGACGGTGGAAGCGTCGCAACCCGGAGACCCAGCAACGTTCCCAGCGCCGTTGTCGCCAGAGCCGTTGTCGCCATTGCCAGAGCTAGGGTCGGAGCTTAACGGAGCATCAGGGGTCTGGGTAGGCGGGGTGAGGAAGAGCGTCGTGCGCGAGCCGGAACCAGGGGCATTAGCGGCGGCAGCAGCAGCGGTGGCAGTCACAACAGGGGCACTCGAGTCAGTAGTTGGGGAGGCAGAGCCAGAGTCATCCGAGTCGTCGTCACCCGCACCCTCATCATCGTCACCATCGTCCTCACCATCATTATCATCGTCGTCGTCATCACCATCATTGCCCTCGTCGTCACCTGGGCACTCTGGCGTTGCACCAGCAGCATCAGCGCTCGAAGTGGCACTGGCCATGCTCGAAGTGGCGCTGGCCGTGCTCGTGTTGACGAAGTTGGAGGACGCGGATACAGAGCTGCTCCCATCGTCGTCGTCGCAGTCATCATCATCGCCACTGTCGTCCGTTACTGCTGGGGGATCAGTGCGAGTTGCACTGGCAGAGCTGGATGTAGAGCTCGACGTAGAATTCGTGGACGTCGCGGTAGCGGTGGCAATGGCGACATCAGCAGAATCAGTCAAGCTAGAAGAGCTTGAAGTGGATGATGAGGATGAAGACGAGCTGCTGTCGGTTGCGCTAGCAGTTGAGGCAGAGTCGGTTGCCGTGCTGTTCACAGAATCGGTGGGAGCAGGGGTGAAGGTGCCCGCATCGATGCCAGTAACGGTGACGTCCGTGCTAGCGCTAGTGACGGGGCCGGTAGGGTCGGCAGCGATATCGGCAGCAGCGGTAGGAGTAGAAGAGCTAGAGTCGGTGGACGAGCTGGAGTCGGTGCTGGCAGAATCGGTGGACGCGTTGGAGTCGGTGCTAGCGGAATCGGTGCTCGTCGGCGTGGTCGTAGGGGCTGCGTCAGTGGATGTGGGTGCCGCATCCGTGGAGGTGGGGTTGTACGTGGTTGAGCTGCTCGAAGAGGAAACACCGGCACCATTAGGGCAGAAGGTGACAACAAGGTTGACGTCTTGGTTGGTGGAACACTGAACCTGGGAAGAGAAGTCGGTAGGTTTGGAGAACGCGTGGTTCGGGCCGCAATCAGCACTGTCGCACTCGTTGCCATCGTTCTGGCACTCCTGCACACCGTCGTAGAAGAAACCAGTGGGGACGGAGAACGCGTGGGGTGGGATGAGAGAGACGTCGACGGAGGAAATACCGCCTTGGCCGCCATTGGAGGTAAGCGTGAACTCGAGAAGGGAGCAGTTCTCGCCGTTGAAGTTGCAGTTTCCCGTCTGGAGATAGGCGATACCGCTCATCGAGCCCTGAGAAGTGAATGGGTCGCCGGTGGAGGCGACCTGCCCATTCAGGATCAGCGTTGGTGTACCAAAACCGCAGCTGAATGCATGTTAGCAGGTGTCAGAGAGGGAAGGGCGTGGCGCACTTGTTCTGGAAAGAAAGGGTATGCGATTCGGCGCGTGCAACGCGCGCAAGGAGCGGGATAGACAACACGGATAAGAGAGCGAACATCTTGAAATCGACGTTTGTTTACTCGGTGGATGCTGGATGCAGTCGATGCGTTTGTGGATGCTAGAAGCAGATTCGAAGCAGGAGCAGAAGCAAGTGTGCGTGGAGTTGATTTGGAATGAATGTGCAGTCAAAGACAGTGAGATGGAAGGAGTGCAGATGCCTAGGTAGGCGTGTTTGGGGCGTCGAGAACGACGAGAGTACTAGTGATAGTGAGAGAGGATGAAGAGGACGAAGCGAGCAGAGGCCGCTGCCTGTCTAGAGAGTGGTGGGAGAGTTTGGGGGGGAGCGGAAAGGCTAGTACTCGTTGCGACCGTGTGAGCCTTAAGAGGCCGTTCCCATTGAGAACAGACTGAATAGACAGACACATGCTTCACTTGATGATCCCTCCTATGTTCAAGCGTGTGTGCGCCCAAAGATAGTCCATTTTGTGTTGTTGGAATGCAATTGAACGGCAGTCGTCATAGCGTTGTCAAGTCATCAATAAATTCCATATATTCGCTTCCGCTCACGCGTCGTTCAACTTCTCACCACATCGCCGCCCTCTTTCGGATTCGTCAACAGCGGATTACAATAATCGAACGCTGTCATGTTTATCATCTCAAAGTCCTCTGGCATTAACAACTGTCCACAGATCACTCCAATGCCAGTACCCTAGAAGAAAGACATCCTCCTGGATACTTTCACGCGTATCCAACCCCGTCGCCATGGAAGTCAAATTCTCTCTCCGTCGCTTCCGCAATCACGCGCATTTCATATAATCCCCCCCTTTCTTCGACATCCAAACAAAAACGACGCGTTTTCGGCACACCTGGTGCACATCCGACCGATGAAAAGATCGCGGTTCTGCGGTCTGGCCGATGGGCACTGGAAAAGATAACGTGCCTGGCGCCTGGTGTGTGCCTTTCGCTTCAAGTTGTTTCAAGGGCTCCCACGGTCGGAAGGGTAGCGCAGGTGATATAAGTGGGCGACGAGCGAACACGAGTTCCGCTCGCGAGTTGTTCCAGCTTGCTCTACCTGCCCATTGTAGAGCTCCAACACACCGCGGCCAACGGCTGTACTCGATATCCTGAAGCTGAGATTTTGAGCGTGCATTTCCTTCGACCAATTGTCAAACATACGATGTCAAGGCTCGCATCATGTTCGCCTCCTGACTGGCCCTCATGCTCGCGCTCTCCTTCAGATTTCAGTGAAATTCGATTGTGATCTATGAGCCAGGTGGTGATCGAGTAGAAGTCTCTGTAAAAATCGGTGAATTCTCCTTTCGTCGAGATACGACGTCTTCACTTCTGGACAAGATCGTCCATATCCATCGGTATTTGTTGGTGGCAGCACCGGGGTAATACTTCAATACTTCGGTTTTGAACGCGTTGTACGAGGTCCGATCTTCCTTGGCCAATCCTTCATGGATTTGCGTCCATAATTCATAGGTATCGTCGTCCGTGTAAAATCGGGCCCAATCAATTTTCGATGCGCCATCAGTGAGCGCGGGTTCGCTCGCATAGTTCGAATAGTTTTTCCAAAGCCGAAAGGGCAATTATAACATCCTTAAAAGTCTAGCATAAGAAGATAAATATAGCAAGCACCGATGCGGCTTTTGAGCTTTCAATATCTGGCAGATCTAGAAATGGACGTGGAGGAGTCATTGTTGTTTTTAAGTGCATGCGGAGGCAAATCCAGTGGCGGTGAAGAAGCAAGGAGAACTCGCCTGACCATTGAGCGCTTCAAGCCTTCAACACTGTCAATCGCCTTTCTGTCCTCGACCACCATCTTTGCACTCTTTTCAAAATGGGCAGACTCGCGGAGATGCAGCGTAAGCTGCTCGAGCAGATGATGGGTCCGGAAGCAATGGGTCTCGTACCGCAGAACATCACTTGGGACGACGACAAAGTGTGCCGTAACTTCCTGTGTGGCACTTGCCCACACACGCTCTTCACCAACACCAAGATGGACCTTGGGGCATGCCCTAAATCGCATCCCGAGAAACTCAAGACTGAATTCTTGGCTGCACGAGAGAAGGAACCGAACAACCCTATTTTTGAGCGGTTCCAGCGCGAGTACGAGAGCAACATTTTCGCTTTCGTGGATGAGTGCGATAGGCGTATCCGTGCGGCACACAGAAGGCTGGAGAAGACGCCGGAGGAAAACGCGAAGACGACCAACTTGATGAGGGAGATTGGAGAGATCGAGCTTGCTATCCAGGGAGGAACGGACAAGATCGAGCAGCTCGGTGAGTCTGGCGAGGTCGAGAAGTCTATGCAAGAGATGGCAGCGGTGGAAGCTTTGAAAGCTGAAAAGACCGAAAAGGAGGTAAGGATGTCCTCATTAGATTTCTGTGAAGCGGTGAACTAACGCATTATTCAGCGAGAACTCCAACAACTGACCGAGACATCTGGCGCCTCAGGTCATCAAAAGCTCCGTGTCTGCGAAGTCTGCGGTGCATACCTCTCCGTGCTCGACTCTGACCGCCGCCTGGCTGACCATTTCGGCGGGAAGATGCATCTCGGCTATCATGAACTGCGTCAGATGCTCAAGACTGTGGCGGAGGAACGGAGGAACCGTGCGAATGGGGAAGCCCCACCGCCCGCCAATGGTGGTTATGCCGCCCCACCTCAGAATAGCGCTGCTCCACCTCCGCCTGGCCCTGCGCCCCCAGCACCGAACGTCCCAAGATCTGGCGAGAAGACCGACAGAGACTATCGGAGCGAGAGAAATGGGGACTACTCGAACAGCCGTGATCGGGAGAGGGGTGACCGTGACCGTGACTACCGCAGCGGGGATAGGGATCGTGATCGGTACAGAGACGATAGGGAGAGGAGTAACAGGGATGATAGGTATTCATCTTCTCGCCATGAGTATGTCTCTCCCTTTCGTGTCATGGGCTTGGTGTTAACGACTCAAATAGCCGGGACAGAGACAGCGGTCGCAGAGACAGGGAACGTTCCCGTTCTCCAAAGCGTCGTTACTGAGTGTTCTCCTGTCTCTCGCTCTATTCTTTCTAGTCATCGCATGTTGTGGCCCCCTGTAATGCACGTACGATTGAGTCATTATACCTCTACACGTGTAATGGAGCTTGGTTATGATACAAAGTGCCGGATGGCGTTGTAGTATTGTACAATAGCAGGTAGGGGGCAGCAACACAACCCACGAAAATAAGGCCTATGCAACAGCAAATGGAGTGTCACACATCGTACAAGCGGAGACCCCAGCTGGGTTGATGAAGGTGCACGTCGGGCAGTGCAGGCTGTCTTCGAAGTCGGCCAGATCTGTCGGAGCGTTGGAATCCGGCGGCCTTGGAGCGGCGCAGAGAGCTTCTGCGACCGCACAGGCATGCGAGGAATCCATAGAATCAGGTTTATGAGATGCGTTGGTATCAACTGCAGGGGCCGTTGCAGATGCAGGGGGAGGAATGCCGCCGCGGCTGAGAAGAGTGCCGCCAAAAGCAGGTCCCTCCTCTCTACGCTTCTTCTTAGGCCGTCCTCCCTCGTCGTCATCTTCGTCCACAGGCTTTACTTCGAGTACGGAAATCGTATCTTGAGCAAGAATGCCGATATCGGCCACGGTCTTGTCACTCCAGTCTGTGATCTCTCGACCGGCATGAAATAAACGTTGATATATAGTAGGGATATTGAACTGATCAAAGAGCTGAACGACGCATTAGTAAGAGGGCGGACAGTTTATCTGCAGGACCTACCTCCACCTTGATGTCTTTCACGGTATCTCCTTTCCTGATGATTATAGTTCTATTCATACCTCGTTGCTTGGTTGCCCGAAGGCGCTTAGACTTACGAAGACCACCGTCGTAGTTGCCACTAGTGCCGTACACGTAAGCATCCAGAGTGGACTCGGACTTGACAGGGGAAGATTTTCCTGTTTGGGCGGAGACCGAAACGATATCGAGATCATCTGCGTTTGATGCGGAGGGCGCGTTCGGCTGCTCAGAATTTGGCGTATTACCGATGGGAAGCGGGTCCGTTATGTCCATAAAGTACATTGTAACAGGGGCTTCTTCAAATGAACTCTTCCTGCAATTGACTTTCAGTTATCAGTGCAGGAGATTGCTTATAATTTACCTCTCTCGTCGACACTGCTGACAAACCTCTTGATTGCAGATCACGACATTCCGCACTGTTTCGTTTTCATCGATATGAGTTGTTGGTTCTAATCGAATCATCTGGCCTGCCGGATACAGTTGTGCTAGGATATTCCATTCACTCTCTTTGATCACCACCAAGTCCACGTCTTCCATATCAACGGCTTCATTCGAGTCGAAATAGATCTTCTCGTGGGGACAGAAGAATATCGACGTGTCCAATGACGTGGGCCGAGAGTTGGTCAATGGATGTATAAGCCACGACCGCCAAGCTCGAATAAATGCGGATGGGACGACCGCATACACGAAGCCTTCGATAAGCGACACCGGCCGACTGGCCAGTGGATTTATGGAGAGCATGGACCTCAACCTGCTTCGTTCTCGATCCGCAGCTTTCCGTGCATCTGCACGAGCGTCGGATGTCAAGTCTTCCGCTTCTTGGCAGACCACGCAGACTTCAACTGTGTTCGAAAAGGTCTCCCATCCAGGATAGATGGTCCGCAACAGCCGATAAGCCTAAGAAGCATGAGCACAAGTCACGAGAATATTCAGATTCAATTCCAGACCTGAGCAGAGACGAGTTTTCTGTCCTTTTCTGAGATCTTCAATCCTTCATGCTCGCAAACAAGGTCGTTCTTCCATGGTTCTGCATTAGGCGGGGGATCCAATTGACCGTACGCATGCATTTTGGGGCGTGAACTTAGCCAATCTAGATTGGGATGTAGAGATACCCATGAAGAAAGATGTTAAACGTACCCTTGAGCCACTGTTTTGATACCCAATAGGCAACATCCTCAGGGCTGTGAATAATATTCTGATCTTGGAACACCTTGACAAGCTCCGGGTGGCGGATCCCATAAATGCGCTCTATCAAGGTTCGGTCAACGGTGTGATCTTTATTGACGAATAATGCATACCCGACACGACATGTTCGGTGCAATCAGGGCATACGGCGGTATGCGCCAGAGCAGGCTCGAAGATCACGCCAAGAGACAGCAAGCGCATATAAGCAGCTTGGTTGATTCGCTTCAGCGATGTTGCAGGAGGCACAATCAAGCCATGTTCGCAAAGAGAGTCACTGGTTAATGTACCTTGTAACCAGTTCGTCTGTAGAACTGCGGGATTGGCTACAGGGGGTGATGAGACTAGAGTTTTGGAAGAGTCAGCGTCTGATACGATGGGCTCTGGCTCGTTTTCGGGAAGAATGTTCGGCGCGGTCGGAATGATATTCTCCAGCTCTCGGCCACATGGGGGCGGGATTGACGATCTTGGCGTTTCAGAGGATCCAGGAGTGGTTGCTTCCACCCCGCTCTCTGCATTTACCGCCAATGATTCCAGAACCTCAATGTCATTCTCTGTCTCTTTTATAGGCTGCTTTGGCACATCGAGACCTTGCCCAAGCCACTTGGTTAGCTGTTCCGCATTGACTACAACGGAGTCCTATTCAATTTACATCAGATAAGGCGGATAATAGCTTCCCAAAAAGCTCACATCATCATGAGTCTGTATATTCCAGCTGCTGTAAATCTCCTGCTTGACGGCACGAACTTGAGAGAATGTTTCTAGTACAACTTGTTCCCTACCACCCGTCAAAACATGCTTCGAATTTATGACAAGGACATACCTCTTCACATACTCGTCGCACTTGCGGTCGTGCTCCTCATTAAGACGATCTACCTCGCGCTGCGCTGCGAGTGGGACCGGTGGAATAGCAGGTGTGTTGCAGTCCGGCTTAGCGGATGCGCCGGAGGTCCCAGGGAGAGGGCATTCAGGAACATCTGCTGGTGTGATCACGTCTCGGCGAGCATATATGAGCATATATGCGTCTTTCGATCGGAGATATCGCGGAATGCTGTTCGGGGTTGATGAGTCGATCGGATGCTCGGAAGGCTCTGGCTCGACTTCATCATCTAATAGCTCAACGACATGCTCTACCTTCTCCTTGCCTCTGTCCTGTATTGGTACGGGTCTGAGAAGTATTCAGTCACCAAGAAAGCCGACCATTCCGTCGCTACCTACCGTTCATCCTCCTCATCAAACTTCGGCCGGATGCCTCCTTCACTTTCGACGATGCTGGTTATGTTTGTACTCTTGTTCTCCTTAGATGTTTGCGATGATTTGCTGCTTGCCGCTGCAGCAGTTGCCGAATTTCCACCCATCAAACCATCCAGAGGTGAAACCTCCTCATCGTTGAATTGAAACCACTGCCCCTTGCTGACATCATATGCTTGCGCGATATAATGACCATGATATGCACTAAGTCCTCGATGCAGAAGGACACCTCGAAGATCATAAATTTGATCGTCCATGTATGCTCCACCGTTGAGGAAGGGTTTCATATTTAAAGAGAGCGGGAATTGAATGACCTGCTTCGACTTCTTCCGTTCGTACGTTTTGATATCGTAGACGAAGCGCATTAGAGGAAAGTGAAGCACTGGAGGACAGTCTCGTAATTTCACCCAACGAGTAGCGTTCTTTAGCGAGTTGCAGCGGGAGCACATGTACTTGTTGTCATCCGTCAACTCTTCTTTTTGCAAGACTTCAAGTATTCGCTCCTCCAGATGAGATTTTGATCCGAGGTTTAGCTCAAGCTCGAGGAATTCGCTGTCTCGCTCGGATGTGTGACCACAACCCTTGCATGTCGTGCAATAAGTGAGGTGCCCTTCGAACTGATCACGCAGCAGGGTCTTGACAGATGGGGCTTCTTGCAACTTGAATTGCTCCCCAAGAAGATTCATAAATAACTTGCTGAATCTGCACCAATTATCAATATACAGGTAAACGGAGACAGGTGAAGCAACGAACTCAGTGGCATCCTGCTGTTCGGAGGTGCGCAACCCCAAACTCTCCACTAGCTTGATTGGATTATAGATATTTTGCCGACATTGTTGCAGTGCAGCAAAGGTAGCTTGAAGTTGGAACAAAGGAGCATCCTGCCTCAGGTCAGCTATATGCATTACCAGGCTAGAAATGAGTATGTAACTTACCTCCAATTGCTTTCCCTCAGGAGCAGTCGGCTTACACGCGTACACCCCAGCCCGGAAAGCCAAATCTTGAAACCACACCTAGCACGCGTCAGAACATGTCTCTGATCGTGATGCTTCTTTCGTACCTGGATGAAGGCATTGGCATAACAGGTTGCGCCAAGATTCTGTGGTCCAGTCAGTCATGATGAACAGAATAATCAACAAGGTCAACGCACCCGTAGCCCCACTGGAATTTCTGGATCTCTGTTCAACTCCCTTGGGTCATACCCAAGCCTGGCGACTTGGAGGAAAGCTGCGCGTGCCTCGTCTGCATGCATCGACTCATCAGCATCGATCCCTTGACAAACGAAACAAGACGCACCCTCGTCTTCCCAAGCATCCTGACCCAAATAGTTTAAGCAATTGGGATTATCCCGGCATTTCTTTTTGCTGCAAAGTGTTGGCAGCGTTAGATCGATGACCTCCGCCTTTTGACTCTTTCCAGATACGGAGGCATCATAAGCGCCCGTGTCCACGGCTCTGCCCTTGCCTTTCTCATCTCCCTCCTTCACGTCTTTCGACCAAATATTTGGGCATACTGGCAGTCCGCTCTCTTCTGAAAACCCACAGGCCCAGATCATGTGTTTAGGGGTGATCTGTTCCGCCACTTTCCCATCGAGTTTGACCCAACTCCAGCGGGACGGAGGTGTTGGCTCTTCATTATCGGGGTGCTTTCGCTTACGAGCCAAAACTGGACTAAGTGGTCGTGGCTTCGGCGCTCCCTTCCTCTTGCCTTTCGGCGGCATTGTGAAGGGGGAAGAAAGCTCAGGATGTTGTTGAGAGTCGCAACAGAGTATGAGGTTTCGTACGTATAACGGCGATCCCTGTTGTTCATATTTGCATCCGATTCGGGGATAAACAGTCACAAACGAACCACCATGGTTGACGTCCAAGCATCTCTTTTGGTTTGTAAACCCGCAAAATGGTCCTATAAATTAGTAAGCCCGCCTCCAGGGCTTAAAGAAAAGTGTGGTCTGAGGTACTCTACTCTCATCACTCGAATGCTAGCTACCATGGCATGGCATTGCCTTGGTAATCAACAAATTTAGTTGTGTCGTTCAACGTCACACGATCTAGATATTCAAGCATCCCTCTGATCGACTCATGCAACGTCAGCGGTGCGTCGTCACCTCCCCCGCGAGTGCGTACCCAGCCTGGCTCGAGTTGTCAGGTCAAAATCCTTTGTTGAGTGACACTTACCAGGTGACATAGGGACGAGGATGAACCCGTCGTCCTTCAACTCCTGCCCGAACTTGAGAATCGCCATATTGAGCGCTGCTTTCGAGACATTATAGTCGGGGTACCAGGAATCAAGGGGGACCACAGATTTCGGGCTGTGTTGAGTGAGCTCGAAAGACGCTTGCCGTGAAGAGATGAAGAGCACCGTCCTTCGTTGAGCATTCTTCATAAGCGGCAGCAGCGCTTGCAGCAACACAAAGGAAGCCACCGCATTCACTGTCAACGTTTCTATTGCTTTATCCCAGTTTCTGTAAGTGAATTGCGATCGGATGGCACGTTCGTTCTTTGCGACAACGCGCAGTTGCTTACCTCTCCTGGAAGCCCACGCCACGCTGGAACACCGTACCGGCATTAGCAATCAAAACGTCGAGCTTATTCTCGAGGAACTTTGATGATTCCTCTACCACTCTCTCGGAAAATCTAAAATCTGTCACGTCGTATTGCAAAACTAGAAGCCGATCTGACGGGGTGCATCGCTGCAAGGCAGCCAATTCCGGCAAAGCGGTCGGATCGCGCGCCGTTGCAACCACCTTCGTATTTGGCCGAGCGAGCTGCAGCGAAGCTCAGAAGGTCGCGTAAGCCTAGAGCACATTGCATACAAGCTGTGTTACGAATTCCAGTCCGAGTCCGCGGCTTGCGCCTGTAACGAAGTAAGAAACGGAAGACATCCAAAGCGGGAAGAAATGAAAGCCTCGAGGGAGTCGCGTTCAGTCCGGAACTACGATGGAATAACTCGGATAAATTCTATTTATATTGTGCCTAACACGTTGCCTGCTACGGTTTGCCGCAGACTACAACGTGTCAATGACTGATCCACTGCCTCGGATCATATCCTCACGTCTGGTGCATGACTGACCTTTTCGAGTCTTCTTGCCGCACAAGAAGTGAAAACCCCACTGCTGGTACTCGGCTCCGTACATTACAGCCAACCTGCGTTGTTCCGCTGTCCTGAAGGCGTAACTCCGTGGATAGAGCTCTTACCGACCTCCGACACGAGGCCGGGAAATGACTGTATCAGTGCAGAAGCGCCTTGCTATAGTTATTACTCTCCCCGACGTCGACTCCCACCTTGACGGGGCGAGACCTGCGCGGTGCAAGCCGCTGACCATCCAACTTTCTAACCGCATACACGTTGGTGTTCATCAACCCATTCACCAAAACCGCCTGTGTCACCAAAGAAAGCATGTCGTGCCGGTATCATTCTCCAACTTTAATTGGGAAGGCTGGTTCAAGGAGAAAACCCAACGTCCTGGGAGCTGTTCGCCTCGGGCCAGCACAAGGCCAAGCCATTTCTCGGCCCTTGGGCACGGCAGGGATGCACGAATTGCGTGCTCGTCCTTGAAAGGCGGCCTGAGCAAGCAAGACACTTCCCTGAGGGAAAGCACAGGGATGATTGATACGAAGGGTACGCCGTTTGTCTGGGCCGTCCGTATGTACTACTGACGTCGTTTGACAGGTCGGCACCTCCCGAATCGTCACTTCCAGCCACCGACAAGTCATCAACTGCCAAAACCAGTTTCCAACCACCAACCACTCGTCAACAGCCCACGTCCGCCGATCAAGTCTAACATGCCAGTTCGTATCACCCTCAGGGACTGTCGCAGTCCGCATTCGAACAAAACGGCGTGAGAACCATACAGGGCGACAGGCCCTTGACCAGCCAGACATTGTCGCTCTGCAGTGTCGCAGCGACATGCCGGTCGGCGCGCGCGCGCCGTGCGTGCCGGTGATTGTCTTGTCTGGCCTGGTGGCGGGTTCCGAGCTGGCTATTTGGTCTGGATGCGCCGTCTGTGAGACTCTGCACGCCGTTTACCACGTACAGTAGGATGGATGGATCCCGGAGGTCCGAGGCTGACCGCCGGCCTTGCCGGCGAGACACACAAAAACCAGTTTCTCACCGGCACCCGGGCATAACGCGCATGGACGTCGACTTGCAGACTCTTTCTCTCTCGAAGTTAAAGACAGGTTCCCGACAGATAATTCTTCCAGGAGTGGAAGGGCTAGACCCAGACCGGCCCAATGCGGGGTACCGAGGCTGACCACGCACTTTCCTTCCGTCCAAATAAATACCAAACGGGCCAACCCGATCCAACCCCCAACCCAAATCCCAACATCCACAACAACAAAGCCGACAACCCCTCTCCCATCCGTGGACATCGGTCCAGATCATCCCCCTGATAACCCTCAATCCCCAGATCTATCTGACAGGTCAAAAGGCCCGACAAAGCTTAGAAAGATTGCGCCGCTGGGATCGGCATCGGCATCGGGCGCCGGGCGGGGTGGAACGGGTCGTCCCCAAAAAGCCCTGGGATCGACAGGGCGTGAGAAGATGTAATTGAGCGTTTTGCGTGCGGATGGGCGCAACGTAGAGACTTGGGAAGAGGTTAGAGGACGAATGATTAGTTGGGGCAGGAAGGGGGATTTTTTTTTTGATTGTCATTGATCTCGGGACAATGCTATGATTGTGGTATTTATAACACTGATTGGACAGGTTGGATATCAGCTGTTTGAAAGTTTACGATTGGCACGGAGAGATGCGCTGGACGTGTGGGGATTCTGTCTGTCAGAGCGTTCTATCAGAACACAGCCGATGATGGCCCATTTGGTTTGGAAACGAACTTCAAAATTCAATGCACTCCAGGGGCTGATAAACCTTGTGCTTTCCCTTGCCAAACCTGTGGTGCCCCCGGCTCCACCGCTGGGTGGTTGTCCGACATCAACCACCCTTTTCGACTTGCCGACTTGAAAAAAAATCGCCAAGGAGCTCTAGAGAGGAGAAAGCAGTTTTGCAAACCCCAACCCTAACTGCTGGGGAGGTTACCGGCAGACCCCTTGCATTTTTTAAATAACCGGCCAAGACCCCTTCCGGATTTCACAGCCCCCGGCAGACCCTTTCCGACCCAACCCATATGCAACCCAGACCTAGACCTGGAATTTCTCTGAGACCATAGCATCGGGGCGATCGGTAACAAGTTGACGGAGAATATTTGGAAGAATTTCCGAATTCCATCCTGGCCCGCTGTGGCCCGTTTGGGTGCGTCAATTAAGGCACGCGGTGATTACGGATGGAATGCATGGCAGAGTGAAGGGTCTGACAGGTGCATGAGGAAGTTGTTGTTGACACTGGTTTCTGTTGCTCTTACCAACCGACTTGCAGTTTCCGATCGATATTACCAACCACCTTTTGCTGATTTCTCTGCTTTAAGTTCGGTGCATCATAAAGATTTACTTGAGGCAGCACACAGCGAGAAATCTGGTGGCTTGCGAGGACTTGCTCTGGTTAGGCCCTTAGTGGATGGTGGAGGCCTGTGCAAGTCAGACTTGTAGGGAAGGCAGTCCGCTGGTCGGGGCAGGTGCGGTATATAGCAGCTTTTGACTATTAGAACCGCGGATGAATGGAGAGACAAATGCAGTGTTTGAATGCTGCTGAATGGTATTGGGTCACGAGTGCGAGCGGGATACCCTGACAAGTACGTAGAAGTCCAGTGTTTGTGGGGTGTTTCCTGCTTGGACGGCCGAGGTGATGTATAAGCTTAGGATATGGGTGGCCGGAGCGGAAGAAAGGGAAGGGGAGAAGCAAGAATCGACCTTTGCAGATGTACAGTTCGGGCTGATCATACAAGCTGCCTAAGGCTTCTTCAAACTGGTAGGGTTTGGTTCTGATGCCCCGTGCTACGCCGCGGTAGTGTACGCCGTTGTTGCAGTGCTCCGGATCGCTTGTTGTGCAGGTTGTCTGAGGCTGGCTTGACTCTGAGTCATATTCTCGGGCAGCAGCAAAGGCAGGGATGGGAGGTAGGGGCTGTCGGAGGAGGGGAAAGGGTAGGAGGCATTGTGTTATGATAGGCCATTTACGGGAGATGTGCGATGTGCAGGGGGTCTGGATGCGGGATCAATGCGGGCGTGTATGTCATCCCCTTTCCAAGCGGGAGTAAACGCATGCCCGTGTCGTAAGAATTTTGTCTCTGAAGGGGAAGAAGAATAAGAATCTTAACACAGCCACTTAAAGGAGTGAACGAGGCTCAATATCGGACTGGTTTGCTCTCTGTGCGGTGTCCGCCTCGCCTCCCTCTCTCCTCTTGCTGCTTTTTCATTCCCTTTCTCTGTGGTCAGGGTTGCACCGGGACAGACCCATATACGCACACCACACACGCACCTTACACCTCTCTCCTCACTCGGGGGTTATAGACCTCCTTGCTCTCCTTCTCTCTCCCTCTGCGCCCTCTCCCCCCTCCCGCACACACACCTTAGCGCATACGTCCACCTTCTCTCCCCTTCCTCCGCCGCTCAATGTCAACATCAGCATCGCCCCCTTCAATTCATCCAACACCCCATCTCTCCCTCCAGCCTTCCCTCGAACTCCTCAGGAGAGACGACGTCACCGACGAGCTCAGCGGGGCGTTCCAGCACGGCCTCGGCCTCTCCTCTCGCCTAGCGAGCAGCATACACTCTCCCCTAGAGGGAGAGGTGCTCTCAGGCCATGGCGTCGTCAATGGTCAGGATAAGAACGCTGTCAACACATACTTTGATCAGTACGTCCCCTCTCCCTCCTCCCCTTCACATGCTCACAGAGCCCTAGAATGCGAATTAAGCTCGAAGAAGCGCGTCTCGCGATGCTGCAGGGTGACGCCCACCAAGCGCAGAGTATGACCAAAGAGCTCCAGCAAGCAGTTAGCGCCCTCCCCTCACCGACTGTCTTGCCCCCCGTAGATGGCCCTAGCGTCCGCTCTTCAAGATCAGGCAGCGTATCCTCCTACCGGAAACACCATAGTGCTTCCAACTCGATAGATTCGTCTACATCCTCACCGCCGCTCTCATATCCATATCCCTCCTTCTCAGCTCCATCAGTTGACGGGTCCGCGAGGAGTCTCAAGCGCTCAGCAAGCTTTTCAGATTGGGACGAGGACGAAGTGGACTTGGATAGCGGAAGACTGACGAAGAGCATGAGGATGAGCGACTGGTATGATGAGGACGATGAGGATGAAGCTTTTGTTGGAGCAGGACTTCAGAGCCCCCAACAGGGATTGATGAACCTCGTCCAGCCACAACAACAACCAGCACAACAACCACCCCAACAGAACCCCCAAATGCCGCAACTCGTGCACGCTCATTCTTTCCCCTCGATGCACGATCTTCCCTCGCAAACAACCTCAACCATCCACTCGCAACCTCTCGCATCTCCTATCCCTCCTCGCGTACCGACAATCTCAAACGCGACAATCGTCCCCAGCAGCTTCGTAGCCGAGTCCAAGCCAGGTAACCACTCGCTCACGGGCCGCCTCTCCCTCGCACGCCTAAGACATCTCGAGATCGACACTTCCGGCAGTGGGGCCATGGGTGCCTCTGTAGGAGTTCTCGGCGTAGGTTCCGTCCCCGCCTCACCAGTGGACTACGTCCCGCACCCCATGCCCTCCTTCTACCCTATCCAGACATGGGTCGACTCACTAGGTCAGGGCTACCTCCCCCCGTCCTTCGACACTACCACGCCAGCAGAACATTTCCCCAGCTTGGAGGAGTTCGTACCGGAATTTCCACTGGTCGATGGAGTGGGGGATATGCAAACAGGGTACTTTGACATCGCTCCTATGAATGGCGAGTTTTTCCAGAGTCCGGTCGAGTGGCCCCCGATCCAGATTCAGGGCATACCGCTCCCACAGCCTATGAGTGTAGGAACAGGGCTAGAGATGCCTCAGCAGATGGAGGTGGCGAACCATGCGCATACAGCTGGGAACACGAATGGACATCTTAATGGAAACGTCAACGGACATGCTAATGGGCATGCAAATAGGCTCAACTCGATCTCCCCCGAAAGAACGGGAGAGGAACGCGTGCCCGAGCTTGCGAATCTGGGATCGACCCCTGTGGGCGTACAGCTCGTGCAGCCTGTTTTGCAGGCGAACCAGACCCAGCAGCCCCAGCAAGTGCAACATCAACAGCCATCGCCCCCTCAGCAATTAGGGCATCAGCAGCCATCCCCTCCTCAGCAATTAAGGCATCAGCAGCCATCACCTCCCCAGTTGCTTCAGGGCCAAACGACCCTCCCCACCCAACCTCAACCACAACCCCAAATGCAAGTCCAAGCACAACTTCAACCTGCCCAAACACAAGCACAAAGCCAGCCAGCACCAGTGCAAGACAATCGTTCCCTCCCCTCCCTCTCCCGCTCTGCGTCCCGTATCTCGGGCGTGCAGAAACATCCACGGAGGCAGGCGAGCTTGTCTGTTGTTCCCCGCGTCTCTGGTGTTGGGACGGAGAAAGTCGTCTCCCCCGGTAGGAGGAGTGGATTTTCGAGTCCTACCGGTCCTACGGGGATGACGGGGATGACTGGGTTGGGTGGGGGTGGTGGAGTAGGCTCAGGAGGGGAGATTGCACTCCCCGCTCCACCTCTCGCCGGGATCCTCCAGCAACAGCAGGGCCTCCAAGCGCTCCAAATGCAGCAGATGCAGCAGTCCTTCAACTTCTCACTTCTGGACGCCTCTTCCTCCTCCGACTACTCTCCTGCCAAGATCAAGAGCGAAGTTCCCTCTCGCCCTCTGTCTCGCCAGCCTAGTCATCCTTCTCTCCCCAGCCAGCCGAGCTTGACAAGCCTCGCTCAGGTCGCAGCTGGGGGCATGGACCTCTCCGACTTGGGCAGGCGACTCAAGCGGTCCGGCAGGGGGAGGATGAGCCCTGTCAGTTCCGAGGGTGGGGAAGAGGACGCCGACGCGGAGGACGAAGAGGAAGAAGTGGAGGTCTACGTTGGTGGCGGGTCTAGGCGCCCTAGTGCGGGTGAGAATGGCAAGCTTAGCAGGAACAGCAGCAAACGGCGCACTTTTGGAGAACCCCACGTCATCTCACACGCTAATACTGTCCCCTCCGAGCTGAAACAAGATGTCGACCGCGTGTTCTTCGAGTTCCTCAGCCGGCTTTGCTCGAACCTTGACATGACGGACAGTAAGGGCGAGCTGATCCACCAGGCGCTTATGCCGAAGAAGATGCAGAAGCTGGACGAAAGCCCCGATTTTAGGCCGTTCAAGTTCCGCATTCAGGCGTTCACGAATGCCCTTGTGGAAGAACTGAATCGGCAAGGGTTTACCGAAGCCGTGCTGCCGTTGAAGAAAGTCCGGACGTACCTCTGGAGCCAGCCGTACATCTCGCGATATAACGAAGACGGCAGGAAAAGCAAGTCTAAGGGAAACCATATCTGGAATATCCACGCCAAGAAGATGCCCGATGGGCTCGGCTGGGCTTTCAGAGAGTACAAGCGCCGGATCACTGGTACTCCTGCTGGTGTCGCTTACATCGGCTTGGAGTGGCGTTGGAGTCCGAGTATTTGGGATCCCCAGCAGTCGAGGAGCTCGATGCATCCTGTTTTCTCGTCCCCGGCTCTGCCACCCTGGCTCCAGTGGAAGGATAATGAGCTTGTGGGTACGCCCTGTCCTGGCGATATGGGAGGGGAGATCATGGCCGAAGCGGTGTTCCCGAACGATAACGAGCTCAAGGTCACGCATACATTCAAGTTGGAGGTCGTGGAGCTCCCTCCCGGCGAACCGTTATCCCTTCAGAAGACACGTCGGCCTTCGGCAGGCACGGTGAGCAGCGCTGCTCCACCTGTCGCGGGGCGTAATAGGAGCCATACGATGTCTACCGCGTTCACGTCCGAGTCGGACGTGCCGCCTGTGCCTAGGCTTCCGCTCGCGTTCACACAGGCTCAGCAGCAGGAAAATAACCAGATACGCCACGTGCTCGAGATGGCCGCCGCGTACATCGCTCAGGAGGCGACTCAGCCTGTGCCTGCTGGAATGCTTGACGTACGTCAACGACAGGCCAGTCTGGCCAAGCAGCAAGAAGTCCTTTCACGCGCTGTGCAGGCATTTAACTATGTCGCTTTTTCGCTCGAGCCCTTGCCTGTGGACTTTGCAGAGCTCGTCGCTGCTGCTAAGCGCGTGGTTAAAGATGCTGGACGACAGGTCGCTGAGCGCCAGGCGAAGACGGCAGAACAACCGACGTCCGTCAGCACCGTACCGATCAACGACGTAATCCTCGCCACGCGTGCGCTCATCGCCCAAGCTGTATCTGCCGTCGGACTGCAAGCCTCGGAAATAGACATCATGCGCGCCGCCACTGCGCTCATACAACAAAACGGGCCTGGACAGGTGCAGGCACAGCCCATGCCCATGCCTCAACCAGCCATGCCTCAGGGTCAACTGCCGCATCAGGCAATACCTCCGCAGATGATGCCCCCGGTCATCCCCCACCAGCAACAGCAACAGCAACAGCAAGTGCCCATCCCACAGCAGGTCATGCCGCCTCCCGCTCCTCCGCCCGTCGTGATGCCTATGACAATCGATCCTGTCCAGCTCACGGGCGGTATCCCCCCGAATGGAGTCCCGGCCGGATTCCAAAACCTCGCCTCGATCCACCCGGCCCCGGAAATGTTGACATCCCCCAGGGACTTGAGCGCGTTCGTGTTCCTGCAACCCGGAGCTCCGTTCGACGCTCAATCGGCAGGGATGGGTCAACTCCCTCGGCAGCCGCTGACGCACGTGCATCCCCACGCTTCCTCCAACCCGCAGTAGTTCTCGTTCTAATCGGCTTCCTAAATCTGGGCACAAGAGTCGTTTCTCATTATTATTCGGTGATTATCTCGGAAAAACCGAGCTTTCTATTCCTGTCTTACTATTCTAGATCAACTTCATGCTGTTGTCACTCGTTTAACACACACAACCTGTCTTTTTAGCCCCCATCTCCATATTACTCCATCCGGTGTTTTATTACGGTCGAGGTTGTGCTTTATCCTCCCGATATGCACAGCCGCTTCTACTTTAACTTTCCCTTTTCGTAGTGTAGCGTTCCTTGGATTATAGATCGGTGCGAACGGGTACATGTACCGATAGACTAGTGTTAATACCTGGCAAACCAAAAATCGAATGGAAATGCTTCGAGAATGACCGCTGTTTCCGCCCTCGAAAGCTGAAGGCGCAATCACATCCGCTCCCGCCCGCGGCGCCGCCGGTGCCACCGGGCGGCCGATCCGGGCGCTTTCGGGAGGCTGCCCTGCCGAAGCTTTTGCGGGGTTATAACACTCTGCGCCCTCTCCTCAATGCTACTTCGCCAGCAAACCCCAATACCTTCATACCAACAGTATCCTGTCATCCAACTAGACTAGTCGTTGTCGATAATAATGCCTGTGGACGAAGAATACGTTATCGGTGCGTTGTTTCGCCAGTCGCCGGTGACCTCAAACGCTGATCGTCTCATAAGAGTACATTTCTCAAGCTAGAGTTGTAGAGGATGGAGAAGGAGGGAAAGAATGGGTACGCCTGCAGGTTTGATTGCTGGAATAACTACTAATGACGACAACAGGTATATAAAGTTCATGTAAGTCGATTTGGATTCATTGAGAAGCAGAATCATGGTTGAGATGCTGGGAATAGTGGGTTGGATTTCCGGAAGATCAAGCCAGGTGATTTCCTGTGTGCTTACGTGTTGCTTCTCAATCTTACGTTTCCAGCCACGAACATGACAATGGCTTCTTCCCGGACCCGTTAAAGGACTTCTGGGAGGCTACCGGCAAGTCGAATAACTGTCATGAGTATGAGCCTGGCGCAATCGTCAAGCCTTCTCCGGAGTACATCGGTAAGGCCCACTTGCCTTCTGTGTTACCTTCGATCCTTGTCAGCTGTGGTATAGACGCCCGGGCGAAGGTGCCAACGCAGGAAACGACAATCGCGTCCGTTCCCTCTTGATGGATTTATTTCCCCTTAGAGTTCGTTGCCTCGCGGTTCGATTGTTATTCTATGATATGTATCATGAGACGTTTTCTGTTGTTATCAATGTAACCCAAGACGAATTGCCAAGCTAAATTCTGCGATCGGCCGAAAGGGTTTATACAGTGCCTCCATTCAGAATTACACGTGTCAAAGTGGGCTTCCCTGAATGCTAAACATGGCGATCTTTTTTGTCCTTTCAACTTCGGGCACATGCATTTCTCTTTGATGAGTCTTTAATTGGAGAAAGAGCTTCGCGGATGCCAAACTGGAGCATGCGAATGTCCACCTTGTTGTTTTGTGCACGACGGAGACGCGCGTCCGATGATCGAATTGGTAACCAAAGCCGAGGCTGGACACTCTGAGATCTTCTGCCGTGTTCCCGCTCAACTCAATCATTCAACACCATGACCTCACGTAAACACGCCCTCTTTTGCTCGGATTGGGACTCATCACGCCGCCAATATCCGCATACCTGTGCTCTTTCTTTCGCCACTTCAACGCTGTGCGTTTCACACCACAAAATTCGCCATATTTCCCTCCTATATATACACTCGCTTTGTACCTACAAAATTTGACACGCACCCTTAGTGGGCTTCTTCTAGGAAATGGAAGACGCCGGCGTCGAAGAAGTTGTCAACGAATCTGAAGCTATTGAGGTTGAGGGCGATCAAGGTGACGATCGTGGATATAAAATAGGCGCGTTGCATGCCGTTCGGCACGCGTCTTAACCTTCCTAACCAATTCCCAGCATACATAATTCATGCCCGAGCCAGTCGCGCGACGACGAGGGAAAGGCGGACTGGGTCTGTTGCAGTTCTTCTATATGTTTTGATAGATACTGACATCTAGTGCTTAGCGATATCTCATACGAGTGAGTCTGTCTTCCTATTTCGGTCGGGCTGAGCTTACGTCTATGCAGTGGGAAGGCTATGAACCTGAGGATGACTCGTGAGTTTCTTCATACTCTGGGACCATGCGTACATCCTCACAAGTCTTCTTGTAGGTATGAGCCTCGAGAATGCATTGAAGATGAACCTGGAGGGAAGGCTTATTTAAATCGATTCTGGAAGTCCACCGGTCGACCTCGGGATGTGCGGCAACATGAGTTTGCGGATGAGATCAAGCCCTCGCAGGAATGGATAAGTATGGTCCTTCTCTCTTCGGGGCTGAAGACTTACTCAACTCCTTCATCAGACGAACAAATGAAGATAGGACAGGCCTCTCCTGCGGCGGAGATCATCGAACTTCTGGACAGCGACGATGATGAGCCGCTGGACGAATATATGCAGAGTGTACGAGAAGAAAAGATCCGTGCGCGAGACAACCAAGACAGAAGAGTCGCTGCGCAAAAGGTGATTGGACGACTGCATTCGACTGAAGTGCCGACATCAACCAGGATCACACCTCAAAAACGCTGGTCATATGCAGACGAGGTAGAAGAGCTCTCCAGTGGTGGCATGTGGACTGGCTGGGCAAAACGACAAAAGGTTAGTCAGAGACGAGGCGTTCTAGAAATATTCTGATGGCAAACGGGGCAGATCTCAGCGAAACAAATGATAGCGTCCGGATTTACTCCTCGTAAAAGAGGTCGGCCTTCAAAGAGTCGGGCAGGAGTATTAACGAGTCCCTACATGAATGCCATCGGACGAAGGGTCGACAACCCAGTAGTTCCTCTTCGAGTCAATACGGAGCCCAATCGACTTCCTTCGACCCAGCGTTCTTCACAGGGCACCAGCTCAGGTAAACGTCGTGCGGTTACTAGCGCTTCAGCCAGAGATCTTACTGATGAAACTTGGACCATACCTGGGAACACGGTAGCGATATTTCCCCATGATTAGACGACGCTTACTCACACCTGTTCCAGTCCCAAGCATCAAAGCCCACGCTCGTTCGTATTCCAGTTAAGCTATGGGGGAAGATTCCACGTGTGTCCGCCGCAAGCCATCCACCCACAGTCAATTCAATCTTGGCATCCGTACCGCTCTCAACTCAAGATAGCTCTGATGGAGGACGAGAGAAGTCCAACAAGTCTTCTGCGAGCAGCGTGGAAACAGTCGATATCGACGAGGCCAGTGACGGAGACGATAACCATGACATGGGATACCTGTTTGGCGACGACAACTCCAACCTTTCGGATAGCGAAGAGGATAGGGATCCCCCTCTCATCCCCTGGAGACATCCGAAACCAAATCGAGGAATGGATCGTAGCAACCGCAATCCAGCATCGCTCAATACCGCAGATCGAACCCTCCCTTCCCTGATAGACCAAGACTCCCGGCCAGGTCTTGGCTTATTCATGGACAATATGACCATCTCTGGTGACGCGGACGTCACTCTGCATACAGCGGCCTCTGTCAGTGAGGAAGGCGACTTTCGTCTCGAATCACCAGATCTCGATCAGATCTCCTTCAACAATGCTTCGCAAGAACCAGCTTCCGGATCCAGAGACACAGGAGATACAAATGTTTCGCCTGCGGATATGTCTGCTTCAGAACAAGTGACTGGAGATCTTTTTGCCGACTTCCTGGAATTCAGCATAGCAGAATTGGGCAAAGAACAACTCTCTACCGTGCAGCAGGATGAGCCCTCGCAACATGAAGGCTTCGACGATCCAGTCCCTTTCCGGATGGGCTGGTGAGGAGGCGACCAATGTGCGAAATGAACCATTCTTGTATGGACTGGAAATTGGAACCGATGATGTCAGTCACGATGTTGCTGAACAAGTGACAGCACCGGATAATTCCCTCCTGTCCTCCAATGCTGATCCCGAAACCACGGCCGGCTCCATGGAAAGCATTCGGACGGACTGTGTGCCTAGCAGCAGGTCCTTGGATGTAGGGCTGATGTTGAAGCAGACGGATTCACGCGTCACTGAGAGCGAAAGCTCGCAGAATGGTCTTACGTTGGATCCGGCGGTTCTCAATCAGTTCAACCAGTTATATGAAGCTCACGAACTGGAGTCCATAACGAACATCCTCGATCTCAGCTCGATATCGTCTAGCCCATATGCATCTCAGTGTCACAGTGACACAACCGTCGACCAGGTTGAGCACGTACAGGAGACTGTAGACTTGACATTTGCCTCACAGTCGAGAGACTCGCAGGCGCCGTCTAACGCAGAACATGAGCACGCGAAGGTCAACAATTCGATGACGGACAGCAACGACATGAAGAATTCAGGTTTTCAACCGTCCTCGGCCCATTCACAATCGCACAGTATTCCCTCGGACAATCGACAACCCCTGAAGGCGTCCGGGTTGAGTCCTGAGAAGAAGTCCACTAGCACAACCAAGGGAAAGTCGGTGCTCAACCAGTATATGCAACGCATTATCAAGAAGCGCAAGTCTTTGGCTTCACTGGTTCGTGTGGCATCAATACAACTTCAACTATCAGACATGTCTCCTATTGGCATTTTTGAAGTTCTACAGTTCCCCTCTCATCCCAAACCAACGAGGCCTCTCTCGACTTCAAAGCAGCCCACGACACTGCACTATTTTCCCTGACAAAATTTATTCCCATAAGCATACTGACATCGTTGCTTTGGAAGCCTTCTGGGGTATCGTCTCCCGGAATTCTCCGGGAAATTGAACAGCAAGATTCTTATATCAACCTTTTGATGCAGCGATTGTCTGGAAACGACGAGGTGCGACAAATTCCCTCTTCTTATGCTGAGTGTGGTTGCTAAACTCGTCTAGATAGCAGTTGCCGAATCAAATCATCCTGTGTATCTGATCGTAACCACCAAGTCTACCGCGGCGGGATGTACGTTCTTGCAAGTGCCCGCGGCCGCTCCTGGAAACACCAATAACGAGGAGTTTCTGGCGTATCTTGTAACATGGGAAACTTACCCCCTCGCCGGGCCAATCTCCGCTCCTCAGCAAGCACCTATTTCCGGCACCGAAAGCGACGAATATTCCATTGGACCCACGGCATTTCAAATTTTCCCTGACCATTTACCATTCCTTGAGACAGATCTCGTCGGTCGCAAGCGAGTGTCATTCTTTGAGCTGCATGAAACGTGGCAGGGCTATGTACTGCGTGAAATTCTGAGGCGACATGATGTCGACATTGTCCAGGCCGATTCGACGAACGTGGACACTGTATTTGTTCACGAAGGGGCTCTTACTCAGCTCCCTTACATGGACCATTTAAAAGCGCTATGCGCATCGACTCGTGTGGATTTTGTGGCATTCGGTCATCAAAATCAAGTTGAATGGAACTTCCGATACTTACTTCCAAAAGAGGGAAGAACTCTGATAACATTTACTTGGGCCGCCCTCACGCAAGATCCTACCCATGTCTTGCGGTGCCTTACCAAAATATTGGCATGCGAGAGAGTCGATGCATACATTCGTCCTGTTGTGTTTGGTGTTCTTTGCAGAATGCAACGTGCGCTCATGCCTAAACACACCCTTGATGGAAAGCTTATCGACGCGATCGAGGGAGTCTGGAGCTTCATCTTACAGGGACGCATTGCCGTTATGTCATCACCTCCTGTGCAGGACATAGAGGCTGCTCAAGACTGGATTAAGGCGCACCAGTGCTTTTCAAAATGGATTAATGAAGAAGACAGAAATCAGCTAAGTTTCAATTGCGAAGATATCGTTCGTCGATGGGAGGAGCGAAAACAACGAGTAGATCTGGTCACAACTGTTGCTAACGATCTCAGGCTCATGATGTCGCAACCGACTGGCTATAACGTGTATAGGCGATTCATTCTTATCGGTGACGAAAAAGAAGTAGAAACCGGCCATGACAATAGGTGGATGGATGTATTGCGAGGAGTACGCACCCACTTTTCGTATTCATCACAATACTAGCTCACTGCTTTTTCCAGATTGAGATGATGACGTTTGATGAGGTTCTGGAACAGCTTACTTGTGAACCCACGGAGCAGACCTGCATTCTTGATGTGCTTGAAGATACCCCCATGTTGGATCATGAACAGTTAGATGATCACAGGAAGGAAGATGGAACTCTGGTCCAGCTACCGGACCGTCTTCTTATTTTTTCCTGAGACAGGCTCGACATTCCCGAACATGACGAAGAACGCGGCAATGGTGATGCTCCACCCAAACCGAAGGCATTTCTCAGTCCAGAGATCCATAGGTGATGATTTCAGTCGCTCCGAATAATAGGCTTGCCTTCTTGCAGGCAAGTCCGCACCCTGATTTAGCTTGATTAGTCTCCTTCCGATCTACTTTTATTGATGGCTTACGTCCTTTTCTATCCCTCTTGATATAATATACTGTGCACATATGTATATTGACAGGAATTGGCGCCTAACGATTTAAGTGGCGGTGCCCCTGTTCTCGTCCCCCCTGGCGCCCCTCGCCTTAATTGGTTTCTGGTTCGGTCTTCGTCACATTAGCTGGCCGTTTCCGCAGCTGTTGCCATGGAAGTTCCTTACAATGCCTCGGGTGCATCTTTCAGAGAACAATACACACTAGCTTCAACCCTCAACTCCTCGGCTTATGTGGACACGGAGGCTCGTAAATCTATCCGTCAAACCTTGACGCGTCTTTCATCCTCAAAGCTGTCTTTTGTCGGTTCTCCTATTTCTAACTACCCTCATCATGCTTAACTGGCAGATAGAAGGAAGTCAAAGAATGCCTTTTATTACTCATGCAGGCGGAGTTGGCCCTGATTCACAAGGGAGTCTCTCTTGAACCAGCCTTGGCACATGCGATCAAGTTGGCGGAAGGCGGTGTCACCCTTGCGGACAAACGTGTTGGATATCTCTTCGTCCAAGAACACATGCGCTCAAATCACCCCGCAGCATTGCTCCTCGTCAATACCATTCGCAAAGTAAAGATCTTATTCTATCATCACGTATTTACTAGAACTATTCCAGGACTTGGAGTCAGGCAACGATGCTCGTGTTGCTCTCGCCTTGTCAGCTCTCATTCATCTTCCAAATGAAGACGTCATTCCAGCAGTTCAGATTCCACTCAAGGATCTATATCGTCATCATTCGTACGTGGCTACAATAATATGTCCACGTCTCCCTTTACCAGCAGTGGCTAGTTCTGCGATCCAACGTCTGGCCTTGGCGGCTGCAGCTTCGTTAGGTAAACTCGACATTTCGGTCCTGGAGGACGTTTTGTCTATTGCTCCGAACTTGATTCAAGGCGATGATGCAATGGTCTTATCATCTCTTATCGACGTTCTGAACGTTGCGGTTGAGGTGGGAGAGTTCATATATTGGCTCGATGCAAAACAATAACCCTTGGTAGTGTTCTTCTTTCAACAACTTGCCCATCGTGGCGAATCTCGTTCTTCAGATGTGGAATACGCGGACAAACGACAATCCTACGGCTGCTGCAACACTTGTTCTTAAGCTCGTGCAAACTACGGGATCTGTGCTTTCACACCCGGATCCACCCGAACGGTACAGACAGTTGTCCAACCATGTAGTCTTATCTAACGTGGAGGCCGAGCAGCGAAAATCTTGATGCATATATTCACCATGTCATGGCTGATTATACCACTCGCGTTGATGTACGAAGCAAAGGCAGGTTGCACAATTGCTTATTTGCTGACACATGCCTGACCTGATTTAGTGCTTGTTCTGCAGTTCTGCCGACACGCCAATTTATCGTTAACTGAAGAGGTACAGGCGATGATATTGAAGCCTATTCGAGCGGTTCTTGCTGAATATCATCCGTCATCAAACGACTTATATTGGGTTCTCACATGTCTCGAGCTGCTTCCAGTGCAGTTCTGGTCCAACACCTTAGACGAGGCAGAGGTAAAGGTTCTTGTCAAAGCCCTAAATGAAGAGGATGAGAGCACTCGTCGAGCTGTATGTAATGTGGATACTGTAGCCCGGCTGAGGATTATTGATTTTGCCTTCAGGCTTTGCGATTGTTCAAGAAGGCAGATCGACAGATACTGAAGGTACACTTTGAGTCACTATGTGAAAGTACCCAATCAGAGCGTGCTATGGAAGCTGCCGGGATTTTGGAAGAAAATGGAGATGGTTATGCCCGGCGCGTGCGACAGATTCTGACGCGAAGAGAGAAGACAGACAGACGGCAAAACAGGAAGAAGGGCGAATCTGCCCAGCCCGCTAAAGTATCAGAGGAGGTCGTGAGCATGGTTCTTACGGCCCTGAGGGACCGTGAGTGCTGCTTTGATTGTTGATGATGTTGTGTTGATGTTGTTTCAGGGGACGATTCTTATCGGTCTGCGTTCACTGGAGCAATCTTGAATTCCATCCAAAACCACACTCCTGGGCCAACACTCGTCCTCATTGCCACCGCCATTTCCTGCGAATACGTCGACGAAGTCCAGATGAAACCAGAAAAAATTGCTGAAATCTTATGTACTTGTCTCCCGCATGCGACTGGTAGTCTCTCCCCCTCTCTGCGAGACAATCCTCTGACGGGCATCCTAGCTGCGATTCAAGAGGCTGTTTTGATCGCAATTCTACGTGTCTGTGCAAATTGCGATGTTATACCTGCGACGATTATTGAGACAGTGGAGAATATTAAACCCTCTGCAGGTCGACACATTCAACGAGTAAGCGTTATTTTCTTGTGCTTTGTGCTTGACATTCATCTCGATTTCAGCGATGTGAACAATTTGCAGCTCTATGTCAGGATCGTTCTACACTGCTTCGACTAGCTAAATCACCTTCGTCAAGGACACTACCTGGATTTATGGCACAAGTTGAGTCGCACTTTCTACCCGCCAGATCTCTACCCCCTTCCCCACCACAGCTCCCGTCATCTCCTGGGGCCACAAGCCGAAAGCTCAGGTACACGCCATATGACTCACCAGATCGCCCACCACTGGACCCATTCCTCCGATCTGGCTCCAATTCTTCTGCTAGGTCCAGATCGCGAACCCCTGAAACAACAGAGCACAATCCTCTAGATCGTACCGTGACGCCAGGTGAACTGGCATTGATGATGCAGGATGCCAATCTCCGATCGGCCTCTCGTTCTCCGGCGCTCGTCACGCGTAAGGATGCGCAATCTGTCAGCACGCCAAGTACGGTGAGTAAACACCGTAAGATAGGGAAACACAGTATGCTGAATATGCTGTCAGTCATACCGATCCGATCTGATCGCCCTGGACTCGCCTGAAAGACCAAATTCGGGGATGGAACCGTTTGACTCGGAGTCTAGCGTGTCAGATACTGTTCTTCCGGAGGTGCCGGCGTCAACCGAAGCTTTCGACGAGCTATGGCGCCAAGTGGGGGTTGCGAAAGAACATGTCATGCGCGGGTGGTGTGGGGACACGCCTCAGGCCATCGTGGAACAGCTTCGATCAAAGGGATTTGATCTTGTTTCTTGGTCAAATGGTGCGTCGTCCTGTTAACTGTGTTTGTGAGGGATATGATGTTAACGATCTTCCAGATACCTCTGCCATTCGGGTCTTTTTGCGTTCTGAACACGCTTATGCAGTGCTTCTTTGTCGCGAAGGAGATGACAGCAGCTGTCTATGGATACTCAAGTCATTGTATCCAGTACTGCGAACAACCATACGAGACGCGTTACAAGACAGTGGCTGAAGCGCCCAATTTGGAAGGGAGAACAATGCCACTCCGGAGCAGGGCTGGAAAGCTTTCCGAAATCCCTTGGGACAGCTTCGGCGGATGATCGAGCGTTATATGGACTTTGGATATACCAATGCAGGTTTGTGCATTGCCTGGGTATGATACGAGATACAAGGTTGGCCGTGGATACAATCTACATCAGTGATATGAATAAGCGCCCAGTACATGCCATTGCATTCTCCCTGGATGGTTCTTCGTTTGAATACAAGGTGTGATAAGAGAAAGTATAAAGCACATAAGGAAGTCCGTAGTCTGGATTTGGCTTGCTAGACGTGGCGAACGGACGTGGAACCTGCGAGTCATCACTGCGCGCTCACTCCGCCTTTTCAGCCCCCTAAGCGCGTACCACCCACCAAGCCCAACCGTCCATCCCTCGGTGCATCTTCCCCCAAAAAATGAGTGATCCGCTGCACAAATATCCTCCTCCTCCTTCGAGAGGAAATGTACAGAGTGCATTCAAGGTCGTAGATGAAGACGACAGCCTTCCCACCCAGGACGAAGGCTATTGGGCATGGGCAACCGCCTCCTGGTTTGTACCACTACCTCACGACCCAAGCTCTGGCAACCTAACTCCTTTGAAGGCTTGGGACCGTTGCAACACCGCTGCTTATATTCCCTCGACTGATACTCTTTATGGCGACACCGCCTAAGGACCTGGTAGCCAGGGATACGTTGACGCATCTGGAGTGGTTTCTATGTGTGCATGTCGCACTCCTGCTACTGGCGCTGGCGCTAGCGCTCATCGTCTCCGTAAGCACGCCCTTTCTCTTATACCAATGCCAGCGCTGGAAAAATATTTAGATTCCAAGCAATCCAATCATTCCCGTTCAACCGATCCCCAACCGTCCCTATATCCCCCAAACACATCCCCTCCTCGTCCCTCTGACACCCGCACTCCTCGTCTCCTCCTTCATCGCGTTCAATACCTCTTCCACCTCTATTGGTGCTCTTGGGATGTTACTCTCTCTCGGGAACGGGTTCACAGGACTGTGGGGCGCGTGGGTTATAGTCTTTGGAGGTCAGGGACATTGGAGCCGGTCGACCGGGGCGGACAAGCGGACGAGCGCGTTCTTGTTTGGGAACAAGAGCAGTGCGTCCCAGATCAAGAAAGCTTGGAAGAAAGAGAGGGAGAAGACCGAGGGGATCGAGCTGAAGAATTTGTGAGCCTTAGAGAGTCTGTTTGAGATGTACGATATGGTAGCATTACAATTGCACTACACGTATGAACCAAGTGATCCGTCCTTGTTGCTCACTACCTTCCCCCACCCATCATCCGCATCATATCCGCCATATTCGGCATTCCTCTCCCACCACCCATTCCAGGCATGCCCCCTCCCATCCCCATTCCTTGCATCATCCTCTGCATCTCCGCCATATCTGGCATCTCCCCTCCAGGCATCATCTGCCGCATCATATCCTGAATCCCACCCATGCCCCCTGATCGCAGCTTCTGCAGCATGCCCGGGGGGAGAGCTTTCTGCATCGCCTGGATCTGCGCAGGAGAAGGCATCCCGTTCGGTCCGCGCCCTTTCCCTCCAGCAGCAGCTTGCATCTTCTGCATCGCTTGGATCCTGGTTACCAGTCAGCACATCTCGGCCCCGTGTACGGCGTAGCATAGACGAACCATCCATTCTTTCCTCCAGCTCCCTTGGCCATATTCGCCATCATCCGATACTGGAAAAGCATCTCCTCCACCTCAGCAACGCTCGTCCCACTGCCCCTAGCCACCCTCTGCGCGCGCCAGTTCACTCCAATCGGCGTCTTCCCGTCCTTCTCCATGTCCACGAAACACAGTCCGTCCGATTCGAGCTCGTAGGCCGTCATCGAGTCAGTCATGTAGATCATTCGCTTAAACTTCGAGGAGATCTCTTCTTCTGAGCCGGCCATGTCGGGTAAGCCGGGGATCATACTAGCAAACTTTGATATTGAACCCCTATACCCACCAAGGTTAGCGCTAATCTAGACAGTAGAAAAGGGTCGCACATGCTCATTACGTTTCCCATCTGCTCTCTCCAATCCTTGATGCTGAACTTGCCCTGCTCTAGGTTCTTCATCACTTCCTTCTGCTTCTCAGGATCACGCTGGGCCATCTCCTGCATCTGCTCTACCAGGCCTTGGATATCACCCATGCCGAGCATCTTGCTGATGAATGGTTCCGGTGCAAAACGTTCCAAGTCGGAGAGATGCTCGCCCGTGCCCAGGAAAATAATGGGTGTTTGTGTTGCTGCCACTCTACACGGTTGAGTCAGTACGGGAACTAGTGGAAGGTAGTTGGAAAGACATACGCAGAGATTGCTCCACCTCCCTTCGCATGTCCATCCATCTTGGTCACGATGATCGCACCAAAGTCAGCAGCCTCCTTGAATGCTCTGCTTTGTGCTTCCGCAGCCTGCCCAATACTGGCATCCAGAACGAGGATGGTCATGTCCGGCTTGACAGCAGCGCTGATCTGCTCCATCTCAGCGAATAGGTCCTTCTCCTGCTTGTGTCGACCCGAGGTATCCACGATGATGATCTCGAACCTCTCCTTACGAAACTTCTCCACACCTTGCGCTGCAATCACTACTGGATCTGTCTCGGTGTACGAGCCGAAGTAGGCAACCTTGGCTTTTGTTGCGGATTGCCGGGTTTGGTCAAATGCACCTGCACGGAACGTATCTGCACAGACGATGCAGGATTTGAACCCACGCTTCTGGTAGTAGACGGCGAGTTTTGTACATGTTGTTGTTTTCCCATTACCCTATACATAGCATCAGCAAACAAGCATATACTCAACTTTTGCTACTCACCTGCAACCCAACAGCCATGATGATGTTCGATTGTCCCTTCTTGGGCTTGTACGGCTCCACCCCCGGGTTGACCAAACTGACAAGCTCGTCAAAGACTGTTTTCTGCACCACATTTCTCCTCTGTGCCTCTTTTGCCTTATCAGCACCTCCCTCTAGAGCAGCCTTGACTTTTGTTCGCACACGAGAACGAAGGGAAGCAACGAGCTTGACGTTAACATCAGATTCGAGAAGGGCGGTGCAGATCTCTTTGAGGGCTGCGTCGAGTTGTTTGTCATCGATTGTTGGAGACCGGTTCAGGGACGATATGGCGCTGTTTATGCGCCGCCCGAGGTCGGCAAGAACCATACTGAAAGGGTCGTGCGGATACTAGTGCAAGCAGGGGTATTTCAGGGGTTGTAAACAGTTGAACTCGTCCAGTAGAACAACAATAGATTTGATCGATGTTGCAATACTGTTGCAATATCGACCAATCTTGAACACTTCAGCAGGTGGTCAGCCAGGTATGGAGTTACAGTCAAAGTAACATAAAGTGTGTAGAGGCACACGAGCGCTTCATTAACACGACATTAGTGGCTATGTCCCAAATTTATTTCCGAGTGGCTGAGCCCTTTTCTCTCGCCAACCAAAGGCGCCCTTGTCCTGAGCGCTGTAGACCACCGACAGCACTCTGTCTGCTACCACCACCTACCTAGCAGGCAATCATGTCCTCTCCTGCACGAGATGAACAGGAAGGCTTGCCCATGGACTCGGAGCTGCATGGAGAGCGTCACGAGGACGAGGAAGGCGAAGAGGAAGAGGAGGGCGAGGACGTGATGGATGACTCTTCTGAGGAGGAAGATGAAGATGAAGAAGAGGCGAGGAAGGTCGCTGAGGGATTCATTGTTGGGGATGAAGAGGAGGAGGAAGAGGAAGAGGAAGGTGAGGAGGGCAGAGGTGAGGACGCTGAGAAGAGTAAAAAGCATCGGCGGAGGCATAAGCACAGGCATCGGAGAAGGCATCGAGGTATGTGAACTTAGGTTTTCGAAGATGACCCGTGTCCTGAAAGCTAGATGATGGAGATGAGGAACCAGATGAGGATTTGGACGGAGAACTGGACGAAGATGATCTTATGCTTGTCGAGGAGAACACGGGCCAGCGGCTCTCGCCCGAACGATTCTCACGCGCTAGGCGGCATCGGTCGCCTTCACCGTCCGCTGAGACAAGAGAGCCTAAGCGTCGAAGGATGAATGACGATGATGGAGATTCCCTTCCTTCCGTCGATGAGCTAGCAAACATCTTCGAGAAAGAGAGGGATGAAGAGGCTGACGAAGACGATTTGGACGACTTCATCGAGGAGGATGAGGAAGAAGAGATGGAGGAGGACCGGGGCCTAAACGAGGAGGAGCGCGAAAAAAGAAGGAAGGAAAGGAGGAAGGAGAAGAGGGAGAGGCGGTTGCTTACAGGAGCGAGACCGGAGTTGGTTGGGATCGACGAAACGTAGGGACCTCTCCTGTCGACAGTGAGCTGGTGACTGACGGTGAGCATATAGTGCATGGGATGACCTCAACCTCGTTTTTGGTGATGGGCATGACTATGATGAATTCCTTGAGGCGGATGAAGAAGCGGAAGCCACGGAGAAAGCGCGTCCTAAGGTTGAGGAGGTCTTCGAGCCTTCTGAAATCAAAGCACGCATGATGACGCACGAAGATGATCTGATCCGGCAGGATGACACGCCTGAGCGTATGTTGCTCTCAGCATCCTCTCTTTGGTCCGGTGCTACCTTTGTCCCCTTTCCCCTGTTCAACCCTGCCGAGCTCTCTGCTGCCTCTCATTGGGTTTCCCTTCGCCTGGGCGAGCGCGTACGCGATGCCTTCTTCCGACCCGATGGGCGACACCATGCACTTCTGCAGCACCTAATCATGGCCGTGCGGACGACGCTCGAGTACATCCTCCGCCAGCGATGGGAAGTGCCCTATATCTGGCACCACAAGCGCGACTACATCTCACATTTCGACTCCGCGGGCACGCGCCAGCGCACCGACCTGCTGACGCTCGACGAGCTTTGGCGCATCCAGGCGCTCGGGTACAAGTACCGCGCTCTAGTAGAGCGTCGCGTTCAGCTGCAAAGAACGTTCGACAGCGTCCAACTGCAGGACGCTTATTTCTCCGGACACATCTGGGACGGCTTGGACGACGTGGAGATGGTCTCGGACGCGATGGAGTGGGTGGGGCTGAAGTATGCCAAAAAGATTCGGGAGGTGCAGGAGCTTGCAGAGCTCAGCGTAGATGGCGCTACCCAGGAGGTGGACGGAGGCAGTCCCCAGAAGCCGGGAAAGATGAAGCGCCCCACAAGACAAAGCGCGTATGAGGTCGCGAGAGCGTCGACAGTTTCTGGGCTGGCTGATGTATGCCCTTTTTCTTTTCCGTTGTAGGACATGACTGATTGACATTGATTGCAGAGCTTCGGTATGCCCCCGGCCGATGCTATCCTGCGTTTCCTAGCCAAGGGTATCCAACCCCCACCCCACGAGCCCGAGATCTCCCCCACCGCTCTAGCCGAGCAGTTTGCCCCTTCAAGCTTCACCGGCCAGCCAGAAGAATTGCTCGAGAAGGCCCGGTTCATTCTGGCAACTGAGTTTGGTCGTGACCCTCTTTTGAGGCAAGCGGTCAGGCAGAAATACGAGAAGGACGCTGTTGTCAGCACCAGGCCGACGGAGCAGGGGATCGTCAAGATAGACGAATACCATCCTTATTTCGTGAGTGTTCCTCTTGGACCCTGAATGACAGCCGCGCTCACATACTTTCAGCGAATCAAATATATGAACAAAAAGCCTATTCATAGGCTCACGACGAACACGCTTTTCCTGCAAGTGCTTGCAGCGGAGCAAGCTGGCCTTCTCACCATCGACATCTCCTTGCCTCCTCCGGTACTTAATGAGTTCCAGAACGATCTGTACAAGGCTTATGCCTCAGACCGGTTCTCCGAAGTTGCGCTCGCGTGGAACGAGCTAAGGAGGATGGTCATCGACGAGGCCATGAAGAAGTATTTGATGCCGTGTGGGGTTAAGTGGATGAGGGAGTGGCTGAGGGAGGAGGAGGAGGATAACCTTTCTGAGGCAGTTACGGAGATGCTGGAACGGGTGAGTTACCGTGCTATCCCTTGCGGAAACAGCGATTGATGCTTGACACAGAGATTGGATGCTGCACCGTATAAGACCAAGTATATGGAGGATGGCGATACGCCCTCGGTTATCGCAGTCTCCATTGGCAAGGGCGAAGCGCAGGACGCCGTTGTCGCTGTGTACTTGGACGACGATGGCCGGATGCGCGAGTCTACCAAGTTTGACAACCTGCGCGATGAGAGCTGCCAAGAGGAGTTCAGACAGTTCGTCAAGCGCCGTAAGCCCGATGCGATTGGTGTCGCTGGATTTAGCACGCACACCCGCAGGCGCATGGAGGAGGTGCAGAAGCTGGTAGGTGATCCGGCGCTGCTCAAGACCGAGGACGGACCTGACGGACCCGGCGCCGGCGGAAGCAACTTCGCCCAAGGTGGTGCTGAAAGCAGCGGTGTCAGCCAAAATAACGCTGCCGGCAGTCGTGGCGGTTACGGTTCAGGCGCCAACTCGGGGTGGAGTGGGAACGACCACGGCTGGGAGGGCAGAGCCAGCACGAACGGAACGAACGGTGCTGGCGGAAAAGATGACGAAGAGCGGTATCCCGATATCATCTATGTCCCCGATGAGGTTGCGCGGATATATCAGAACTCGGCGCGAGCCGCTCAGGAGTTTGGTGGTCTCTCGGTCATCGCAAGATACTGCGTCGCCTTAGCGCGGTATGTCCAAAATCCCTTGAACGAGTTCGCAGCACTTGGCGAGGATATCGCCATTGTCAAGTTGGATGATGACCAAAAGCTTGTATGTGATGTTTCCTACCCGCTACTGTTGGTCGTGCTGATTTGTCCATAGCTGCCTAAACCTAAACTCTTCAGTGCGATGGAGCGCGCTTTGGTCACCGTGGTTAACAAAGTCGGTGTGGATATCATGCGATGTGTCCATGACGCGTACTACCAGCATCTCCTGCGCTTCGTTTGTGGTATGGGTCCTCGCAAGGCTCAAGGCATTGTTGCCAAACTCGTAAAAAAGGGAGGATCCGTCGAGAATCGGGCCCGGTTCATCAAAGACGATATGCTCGGTTGGCACGTATTCGTCAATGCCGCTGCGTTCTTGTTTATCCCTCAGGAATCGGGTAGGATAAGCCGCAAAGCGAAGGAAATCGACGATCAGCCTGATCCTCTTGATGAGACTCGAATTCATCCCGAAGACTACGAACTTGCACGGAAGATGGCTACGGACGCTTTGGACTTGGATGAAGAAGATTTTGTCAATGACCATCCGTCTGCTGTGGTTGCTCAGCTCATGCAGGATGATGATGCTGCCAAGAAGCTGGATGATCTCAGCTTGGATGACTTCGCAATCAACCTGCTTGAGCGTCTGCAAGACCGGAAACGGTACACACTCGACATGTTGAAGGAAGAATTACTTCATCCTTACGGAGAGAAGCGCGCCCCTTTCGCGGTTCCGGATGACTGGCAGATCATGACCATGCTTACTGGCGAGACAAGACGAACGTTGTATATTGGGCGCCCGGTGCAAGCTATTGTCTACCGTCTCAAGCAGCATCTCGCATTCGCCCGCCTCGACTCAGGCATTGAAGCACTCATCAATCAGAGCTATCTGTCCGATGATACGAGTAAACGAATCGATGACCTCCTATCTAAAGGCCAAGCCATTAACGGCATGGTTATCGGCATCACCCCTTCACAACTTCATGTCGAGCTCGCGACAAAGCAGTCTGCCCTTGAAGAAGCCCATCCGTTGTACCCCAAGAACTTGATCGAGGACTTTGATCTTGCCCAGCATCAGCACGATCAGGAGGCGTTGCAGCGTAAAAAGCGCCGTGAGATCAATGCCACGCGCAGGATCATCAAGCATCCGCTCTTTAGCAAGTTCAACGCCGGTCAGGCTGAGCAGGCCCTCGCCAACCGACCCAATGGGGATGTGATTATTCGACCATCAAGTAAGGGTCCTGATCACCTGGTCGTAACGTGGAAGGTAGAAAACGGGCTCTTCCAGCACATTGGTACGTCTCCACTATTTCTATTTGATTTGTGTTTGACCTTTTGTAAGATGTCTGGGATCCCGATGGCAGCAATGATCAGAGCGGGGTCGGCCATCGTCTTGTGGTCGGGGAATACGTCTATACTGATCTAGATGAGCTACTCGTCAGCCACGTGGGCGCCATGGCGAAGCGCGTCAGCGATCTCATGGAGCATGAAAAGTTCTTTAAAGGCAGCAGTCCTGACCGAGTTGATGCAGAGCGACGCCAGTATCTCACTGATTTCGTCATGGCCAATCCCAACAAAAGCATATACACTTTTGGCCTGGATCGTCAACATCCGGGATACTTCGTCGTAGACTTCATGGTCAACAAGAACATCCCGATGCAGACATGGGTAAGCGATGCACGTGGGATACAATCACAGAGATTAACTGCCCTTTTAGCCTATCAAGGTGACACCCCGTGGGTACCGACTGCTGGATGGTGGTGAAGTGCCTTCGGTACCTGAACTTTGTAACGCCTTCAAGATGCGGTATGTGCAGCAATCTAGCCAAGTTGGCACTGGTAGGCCCTCTGGGGGCAGGACTCCGTACGGAGCCGGCACTACGCCCTACGGCGCTGGTGGGCTCACCCCTTCGGCTCGAACACCTGGCTATCGTACCTCCTCACATCTTCCAGTTGGGCGAACGCCGAATCCTTATGGTGGTACCTCTCATACACCAAACCCGTACGGTCAGACCCCACGAGCTGTGCCGCCCGCTGGGGGCTATGCATATGACCCTCGGGCGGGAGGTCATACACCTGCTGGCGGGGGATGGACTCAGGCTCAAGAACCGGCGACCGATGGGTGGGGTGCTGGTGCCGGCGGCTGGTAGATGATCTTGTGGTGTCTTGATATGTCATTAGGAGACGCGGTCATTTAATGATCATCGATTGTATTATTGAATCATGATAAACTAATGTGAACATTGGATCATCCCCAACACTCACGCTCCCACACCCCGTTTGCCCCTCCTCTCCTTCCTTTTCTTCCCAATCAGACCACCCAAGCTCTTTCCAAAGGAGGTATTGCGTGGGGCCTTCTGGGGGGAAAACTGTTCTTCCTGCTGGCTGGATTTAGACGGGCGTTTCCCCTCAATATGCTTGGACGATGGTTTTGATGGAGCATTGCCGGTTTTCGGGCGTTTTCGTGGACGCTCATCTGCGTCACCCCCTTCGGATTCGGTCTAGATACAATAATTAGCATGGGTCACTGTCGGGTGAGGAGGGATTGCTTACCATCCTATTCCGAGCTTTCTCCCGACTGTTCTCCACCATCTCTTTCCTCCGCTTAACAACCTGGACGTTTTCGATCGAGAACTCCATGATGAGGCCTCTTTCCTCCTTGTTTTTGGTTAAGGTCTTGGCTTTCGCAGCGCCTTCCTCGAGCACTTTGACCCTCTCCTTGATCTTCTTGATCCGATCATTGAGTTCCTCTTTTTTCTCCCCTTCCTTCTCCGCCTTCATCTGTTCCCCCAGTTTCTTCAGGTTCTCCTCCAGCTCCTCCTTCCACCAGCTGGACATGGTTGGTCCCACCTCCGGATTATTGTTCGCCCAACGAAGGACACGGAGGGCATCCGCATGAGTGCGCAGCTCGAGGAACCCGTAGCCCTTACTCCTGCCTTTACCGGACAAGGGATCACTTCGCTCAGCCTGGCGGACAATCTTGGCCTGGACGACAGCAGTCTGTCGCTCACCGCGTTTCTTCTTGCTTCCAGAAGAAGATGTGGTGTCGTCTTCGAGCTCGTCTCTAGTTAAACCAGTCCGATCGCCTGCCTTCGCTTCTTCTTCGAACGCACGCACGGCATGGATGGCGAGTCGCTTCACCGTGCGGTCTGTGGCGAATGTCGGGATCTGCCTCACGGACAAACGCGTTTTAGATATGTATAACGAAGGATTTGAGCGTAGGAGGGCACGGCGCGTGTTGAATGATGCCACTCGGCGGTCGAGTTCGGCGGAAGGGATGGTAGCTGCTGCTGGGGTATTGGGGAATATGACTATTCTTCCATCAGTCCCAGACATCAGCAAGATGGCAAAAGTGCATACCTCCTTCCCGCATCAAATACAGATTCCTTTTATCCTCCTTCTCCCTTCTTTTCTCCCCCTCTTCCTTGAGTTTCGTCGCTTCGTCCCTCGCTACTGCGCGGGTAACACTCAACGTTCTCCCCTGCAAGACCAGTCCCCTCGCCAAGCTCGAACTAGGGTCCGGAGCAAGCAGAGACTGCATAGCAAACGGGTTGATCCTCTTTCCCTTCTCTTTCTGTTCTACAGGATTGGAAGTTCCCGTCTCAGCGGCGAGAAGTTCAGCGGCAGTGATAGCGGAGTCTGCGTGTGACTTGTCCCAGAAACAGACGAAGCCGGTTCCCCTCGAACGGCCCGATTCGGGGTCCAGAGTAATACGAGCGTAGCGGAGGGGGCCAAAGGTACGGAAACTGTGAGAAATATTAGTGTGCGCGCAGCGAGAAAGGAGATATTGAACGTACGTGGTTCGGAGATCTTCTTCGGTTGCTTCGAAGGGGATGTTACGGACGAAGAGGGTCGTGCCAACGTCCGTCTGAGGGAGCATAGGACGCGTTGTTGGGGCGTCATCATCGTCCCCATCATCTTCCTCATCCTCGCTGCCGGTATCCTCACCCTCTTCATCAACGTCTTCCCCTACATCTTCTTCATCTTCGTTTTCGTCCCCATCTTCTTCATCCATATCATCATCATCTCCTTCTCCTTCTCCATCTCCATCTTCATCTTCATCTTCTCCATTATCCTCTTCAGCATCGTCCATCTGCGCGTCCTCACCGTCACCATCCTCCGCAGCCTCCACCTCCTTCTCCCACCTCTCCTTACTCAACGCCCAATCCACCGCAACCGTCCGCCCCTCCTTCCCCTCCTTCGCACCAAACACTCTCCCATTGACGCCCTCCAGCGCCTTCTGGGCATCCGCCTTACTCAACATCCAGACAAACGCGAACCCGCGCTTCCTTTCCTTTCCCTTGCGTTTTTTGCCATCTTCCTCCGTTTCGCCTCCCAAAGAAGGAAGCGTAGGGATCTCGATACTGTAGAGCGGACCGTAGGGGAGAAACGCAGCGCGCAAATCTTGCTCCGTGATAGAGAATGGCAAGTTGCGGACAATAAGCCTTCCAGCGCGATTCGGGGCTGCTTTGCCCTTGCCCTTCTCCGACACTTCCGTACTCTCTGCCCCATCCACAGCAGCAGGCACGGGAAGCTTGAGAGACGAGTCCAGCCGCTTTTTGAGCACGACATTCAAGAGACATCCCTTAAACGTATGGGCATGCAAAGCTTGCACAGCATTCTGTGCGTTGGCAGGCGTGTCATATACCACCCAAGCAACGCCCTCCCCTCCGTCTACAGAGTAGGTAACGGTCTCGGCACCGGTCTGCTTGCGCGCCTTTTTCCAGAGTTCTTTGGAGGATATGCTGTCAGGGAGACCGGAGATGACGAGGGTGCGAATAGCAAGTGGGTCGGGTTTGGACGATTGGGGGGGTTTGGACGGTCCGGGACGAGGGGCCTTCGGCTTAGCAGGGGTGGAATTTCCAGCTTGTTCTTCCTACAGTAACAGGTAAGAAAATGATGGCTGGTATTAATAGGAAACAGACCTTCTTCCCCGGCCACTGCACTTTCACTTTCCGACCCTGGCATTCCACGCCCCTCTCCAGCTCCTTCACTAGCCTCTCTGCATCCTCCCGCACGGCGAAACTGACATACCCGACACCTTTGGAGACCTTTGTCTCCTTATCAAGAACTACAAAGGCCTGACGAACGGGGGCATGGTCGGAGAAGAGCGTCTCGAGGTCGGTTGATGTTAGGGTGTAGGGCAGGGAGGTCACGAAAAGAGTTGAGCTGGGGAACGAGTTAGCAAAGTGCACCTCAATGTAAGGCAATATATTACGTGCCCATGATGTTCCTCGCCAGTATGTTGTACCACAGATTTCTCTTCGCCCTCTCTCTCTTTCCTTTTAATGCCCATCTCGACGACCAAATGCAAAGAAAAGAAATTTCAACAATATCAAGTCGTTGACGGTATCAGGGTCCACTCACTTTTCTCTCCTCTTTCATCTTTCCGTTTTCAGGTGCAGCACAGCCACTTGAACCCTTCGGAAACAGTTTGGGCGACGCGTACACCACCTCGAGCGTCGTGTGTGACGACGCCTTCTCAGTGCTCTACCTTACTCTTCTCTCCTCCCTTCCAAAGACAGTTGCCCATCATGGTATGTTGGAGCGTAGAGGCTATTAAGAAGAATAATGCTGAAAGAATAACAGTCGATAATGGAATACAACGGTGGTTCGGTGGTGGCCATGAAGGGCAAGAACTGTGTCGCGATCGCGTCCGACCTTCGTTTGGGAAACCAAGCAATGACTGTAGCCACAAACTTTGAGAAGGTGCGTAGTTGATTTTGTTCTTTAAGGAAGGGATGCACGCGCTGATATCATGCATGTGGGTAGGTGTTTCCCGTGACGGATAGTTTGTATTGCGGTCTTGCGGGTCTAGCAACGGACGTAATCACCCTGTGAGCATATACCCACTGTCCGCACTTCATGGTTACATTCTGACCACACCCCTTTTGGTAGACGCGAACGCTTCCGTTACCGAGTAAACATGTACACAATCAAGGAAGAGCGCCAAATCGAGCCCGCAACATTCGCCCAGCTCGTCTCTTCCACACTGTACGAGCGCCGTTTCGGGCCCTACTTCGTCGAACCCGTCATCGCCGGTATAAGCAAGAAGACAGGCGAGCCGTTCATCGCAGCCGCGGACCTCATAGGCTGCCTCAACTTCGCAAAGGACTTTGTAGTGTGCGGGACGGCGAGCGATAAGCTGTTTGGTGTGGCGGAGGGACTGTGGGAACCGGATATGGCGGCGGAGGACCTGTTTGAGACGATCTCACAGACACTTATGAACGCGGTTGATCGGGATGCGTTCTCTGGTTGGGGCGCGATCGTGCATGTTATGTAAGCACTTTTTGGGCGTTAGTGAAATGGCGCTGACGACGATACAGAACCCCGGAAAAAGTCATCTCACGGACGCTCAAGGCCCGCATGGACTAGTGCGGTGTAGACTAGGACACGGGAAGATAATGGCATTCTGTTGCATAACCATATGGACGGCTCGTCCTTGAGCCGCGGCCCTGTACCGCGGCAGGTGCGGGCCGTTGGGCAGCATACACTTGTGATCAAAATTATAACTTCTGTTCAGGAGGAAAGGAAGCCTTCGTCGTGCTGTGGTAGCCGTAATCTGTGTTCTTTTGGACACGTACGTAATTGGAAAGGGAGACTACAATGCAGGTTGTTGTCGCCGCATTCTCCACCTCCTGTTACCTCCAGGTTCGTTCCGGTGCAAAAGCCTCATCACCTCGAGTAAAGCACCGTGGCTTGTGGCTTCAAACTGATGCAGTGATAGACGCGTGAGACTGGATTGTTGCCATAGAGTTAGCAAGGAAAATGATTATCGATTACAGCATTAAGCTAGTTGTACCCGGCACAACCAATTAGTTCGACAAGAATTCATGAAACGTCCGCCCAAGAACAGCCCAAATTTCAGACAGCATCATAAATAATGTTGAAGCCACTCGCTCGCTACACCAGCTGATCCGGGTCGACCTTCATCGACCGGATATCCACCAGTTCATCGTCCCCCACGCTGCTGACTTCAATCGTGCGCGCGATAGTGACGCGCTTGAGCTCGAGCTGGTCTCTGGAGCCCATGCCGCGTACGCTGAGTGACCGTGTGTGACTGTTGGGCGTCAGCCCGCTGTTGGTCTTCATCGTCCGGTTCAGGCCGACGCGGACGATGATGAGGGTGAAGACGATGCCCTATCTCATCTCTGTCAGGATTCTAACATCGGTAGGGGATGATAGGACACACGATTATGGGAATCTCCATCGCCAGTACGATATACTGCGCATTAGTCTGGGCGACATAGAGCATGAGCAGAATGAATACTGTGATGCTGTACAGCGCGCCGGATTCGAGGACGATGGCTATGACTGGGCCTAGATTGGAGTGGCCAAACTTGCGCACATCGATGTTTGATCGCCAGATTCGGAGTACGATGAGTGCGGTCGTAAGTCCGTTAGTGGCCATCGTACAGGCACTAGATTCGATCAGATAATGTGATTGTTGCGGGTGTGTGTGGACTTACAAGAAAGCTTCGATCCAGCCGTTTAACTGGCTCGCGAAGATCCCCTCGCCGCCTTGCAGCTCGAACTGCATCACGACGCTGCGTATGCAGGTGACCACAGTGCCGATCCACAGAATTACTGATGGAATGATCGTCCACCCCTTGCGGGCCCAAACGACATAGCAGCGGTAGATGAGGATGCCATCACCGAGTAGAGTGACAAGGCCGTAGATGAGGTCTCTGCATCGCGCGTGAGAAAAGCTCATGAAAAGCTGGGAGAAGCCCACGTTACTGGCTCGGTCCACTGTCGTGTGTCGCTGAGGAACTCCAAGGCCCCAGGTGTAGGCTCGTTGTCCACAAAAGCCTGGAGGACTCTGCGCAGGCAGACTGCTGCATGTGAAGCCAGAAGCAAGAATAGGGATACGGAAGTAGCGAGCAGCGGCCCGTTCACCCGTCCTGTTGTGCGCAACGACAGCGGCCAGAGGATATATACGCTCACGGCGAACAGGACGAGGAAGACGCCGAACAGGAGTGCCTCGCACCATAGGGCAACGATGGTCGCGGTGTCCAGGCCGATGTCTGCCATTGCTGGACCAAGGCACGAACCGACAGTGAAAAAGCCAAGGGTTGGATGGATAATCGTCCTCCCTCCAGAGTTATATGGCCATCCGCTGTTCATACATTGCGTGACCCACACCCGAAGCAAGTAGGAACAGAAGATTAACAGTGGTCAGATTGTTGCAAAAAATTAGCTTTGAAAGCTACGCGTCATGATGCAGACTATCAGAGAGGGGGGTTCCTCCCCGTGTTGAAGAAAGACGGAGAAGAAAGGCTGTGCGGAACGAACTGGGGCGTCTCCGAATGGGGAAGCTCGGTCAGGCTGAAACAACTAATTGCTGGGAATAGCGGACGGGCAAAGCTTGCGTACGCACAGCAAGGAGGATGTATATTGCTTCGCTGACTTGTTGTCATTGTTGGATGATTATCTTCGGCGAGGTTGTGTCGAGTTGATCTGGGGTGATGTGTGCCGACTCCAAGGACGAGTTGTCGGCATGGCATTTACCGTGACCTGTCTGTTGGATCCTGGAATCGGAACAAGGAGCTGCCACTAAAACGTCCGAACTGAAGCGGGTATATAACAGAATCGGGCGGCCTTGATACGGACTCGGAGAGGAGCCAGTTTCTCCCTAGCCGAGGACAGGAGGGTACAGACAAGCACATGACAGCAGGGTGATAATACACAGCCCATACAGTAATGTTGAGATCACAAGGTATAGAGGTCATCTAGAATTGTCGGAGTATTGTGTTTCGCTGTGAAATATTCTGTAGAAAAAATAGTGACAGCGTGGCATCTTGTTGAGCCACAGTCCCTTTTCGAAGATGGGCGGAAGGCAAGAGAACCGCGAATTGGTGGCTTCTCCGAGACCAAATTAGTACTCTGAAGTCAATCCATATATCCAGACGTTAGATTCAATTAACGCAAAGTTACTGCGGGTTTTGCGTATGTCGATTGCACTCTAGTCAAGTGGTGGTCGTAGTTAGACCGGCTGTTCCGCAAAGAGCGCCTCGCGTCTGCGGCACAGGGACTCGGAGGTTGAAAAGGTCGAGGTCGAGGAGCAGTACGACGACCAACAAATATACAACCAACAGACGATGTCGGGCATTACTTCAGGCATTACTGTCTCCGAGGAACTGTCGACGCAGTTCAAGCAGTCGGCGGGAACGAGAGTGATAAAGGTATCCATCGACAATGGTGCGTGTTACCACTCATAGCCGACGACAGCCTGATGCTCACATCTGACCAGAATTGCTTGTCGTTTCCAAGACGCTGCCTTTGACTTCGTCCTTGTCGAGCGATGTGCAGCATATCTCGAGCATTGTGGATGCGGATACTGCGGCGTACTTGCTCGTGCAGCTGGACTCGAAGGGGAAATGGGTACTGGTATCCTACGTACCCGACACTTGCACTGTGCGACAGAAGGTGTGTAGTATATCCATCAGGTCATAATTATAACTAGAATATATGTAGATGTTGTACGCATCGACTCGGAATGCACTCACTCGTGGCCTCGGGGCAGCAGCCTTCGTCGACTCGGCCTTCATCTCCGCCCCGTCCGACCTCGCTTCCACCCTCGTCTCCCGTAGTACGAGCTCAACCGGCGGTGGACCAGCGCGCTCCGCCACTTCCCCCGGGCTCATACCCCTCAGCAACGGGGAAAAAGAGCTCGCCTCTATCCGCGCTGCAGAAGCGGTCGAACTTGCTAGGAGCACCACTCCCAGGAGTCTGCACCAGCGGTCGGACATGCAATTTGAGGAGGATGCGGATGCGGCGATCTCAGAACTTAATGACGGAGAGGGGCAGGTCGTCGTACTCGGGATAAAGACAGGGAAGGAGAAGGACGTGTTTGTGCTCAAGAACAAGGAGGACGTACCTCACGGACAAGGACTGGCAAGCGTTCTCCCGAAGGGCGAACCGTCCTATGTGCTCTACGCGCTGAGCGTCAACGGGAACCGGGTTATACGTGCGTCTTCTCCACGCAGACAGAGGAATATGACTCATTCTCTACTCCAGTGTTCGTCTACTTCTGTCCGAATGACGCATCCGTCAAGGAGAAGATGGTATACTCGACCTCCTTCTGGAACGTAGTGAAGAAAGCAGAAGAACACTCGCTCAACCTGGCGCGCAGGGTGCGCGCTCATCATATCGTACCATTCTAGTACCATTACTGACTGAAGGGGCAGATCGAAGTTTCTGAGCTCTCGGAGCTGACATACGACCACCTCATCTCCGAGCTCAAGAGGGAAGGAGCAGCTCCCACCGGTGCTGGTACCGTAGCTGGCGCCCCTGCGGACCGGGCATCCTCCAGCGTTAGCGCACAGCGTGGGTTCGCCCGACCGACCCGACCAGGGAGGAAGGTCTTCCCTTGAATGAATCCGATGGGTGTGAGAGCTGGGGAAGCAGGAAGGGGTGGACGGTTGTACGAGCGGCAGTTGGAGTCTACAAGAATCCTGTGATACTATTGCTACAGATGAAGATAAGGAAATCAAATGCCCCAGCGGGCTGTCTACCATCCCCCCCGGACTCCCACGTCAACCCCCAGCCTGCCGAACCAACCTCCCCACTTCCTCCCTAATCTCCTCCAAACTCGCGCGTAACGCCCTCGCATCCTCAAACTTCCTCGCAGCAGTAGCCTCGGCCACATACTGATCCAGCAGCGCCTCTTGCTCAAGGAGCGGCTGGAGCCGGTGGGCCAGCTCGGCGTCTGGGTCTGTGGGTGTGTGCAGCCCCGAACCGGGGAGGGAGGAGGAGCGTGATGGGGGTTGGGATTGTGGTTGTGATTTGGACTTCTTGTGCGTGGGAGGTTTGGGCAGGGCCTGCAGAACTAGTTAGTCATGCACTCACTTGACACTTCTGTGGCCGCCTAGGGCAGGTAAAGAGTAAAACGTGGGACGTACAGGCAACCCAGCCATCTCCTTCTGCAACACCCCCCTGCTCCGCATCCACACCGCTCTTTGGACCCTCTCCTCCTCCCCGCCTTTCACACAAGGCAGCCCAAGGATCCTCTTGGCGAGCTTATCGTAATCCGCACACAGGTCGAGTACCAACTTGCGCGTTTCCTGCACAGGGGCTAGGGAGGCCGCGCTCGGCTGGGGAGGGAGCTCGAGCAGCTGGTCCTGGTACGTCGGGATGATGTCTAGGAGCTCGCGTTCGAGCTGCATCAGTACCTGCCCAGCGACCGTTAGCTCAAGAACGAAAGCGTAGGAATAGACGTACGGTATACAGCCTGCTCACGGGCGGGACTCGGGATTTCTCCAGCACATACTGGAGTCTCCTCACGTTCTCCCTACACTCCCTGCACACCCTCACGCCCTTCTCTTCCTTCTCCTCCTTGCCCTCTTTCGCCCCTCCCTTGCCTGTCGGTAAGCTCGCACTGGTACCATCGCGCTTCGTGACGCCATAAGCGATGCCCTCGCTCACGTCCCAGACGCGGCCTGTCCTCCAGTCTGCGGCGATCAAGACTGAACACTGGACATGCCGTGCGGGGTTTGAAGACCGAGGTGCCGGAGGCTGGGAACAGATGATCGTCCCGCATAGGCGGCAATGATGTTTCCTCACGGTGAGGGCGTTGAACGTGGTCCTACATAGTGCAGGGTGTATCCATCAGCACTGCCAACAATTTCTTGCGGGAGAAAGCTGCAGGAAACCGCGGTAAAGAAGAAGATACGCACGAGCACAACCGACATGCTCCAACACTGCTATCCGCTTCCCAAGGGGCGATCTTCTGTTCCGCAGCCCTCACTTCCGCCGCCTCCACAGCAGCTGCGCCCTTAAGCTCGTTAAGCAGGCTCGTAGATCTTGGTAACCCTGGAGGAGGGTCAGGCTTGGGGGCGAAATGCAGTTGGATCAACTACAGTCCGTTGGTGTTGGTCAGCGCGTATGCATTAGGTTAGAGGGGGAAGAGCGCACCTTTTCCAGTCGACGAGACAACCTCCTGTCCTCCCCTTTCCGCTCGTCGCTTAGCCTGTTCCGTTCCAAGAGGAAGTCCTCCGTCCTCAGCCTGTAGAGCGGTTTGGGCTGGAAACCGGCTCGGTAGGGGGTTAGCCTGCTCTGCTGTTGCTGGAAGGAGGTCGCTGTTGCGGGTGCTGAGCCAGGAGGGAGATGTGCTGTCTGTGGTGCGGTGGAGGGAGCGAGCGAGATAGGGCTCGTCGGTCCCGGAGAGGGGGATAGGGCGCGAGCGTTAAGAGAAGGTGAGATCCGAGGGTTGGGAGAAGGGGAAACGGAGCGATAGGGAGAGGGGAACATATGACTTGGTGTAGGTGCAGAACTGGATGGAGGAGGGGAAGGGGAGAGCAGGGTGGTGGATGCAGAACGGCCGAAGGAGATCGGTGCTGGCAGATGCGGACGCGGGGCGTCCTTAGGCGGCGGCGGCGGTGCGGGACGCTGGACGATCGGGGCCTGGCTCACTGGAGTACCTGGCGCAGGGGATGGGGATGGTGAGAGCTGGAAGGATCGGACGGTTGCGGCTGGGCCTGGGGTTGATGGGCTGGGACGGAGAGGTGAGGGTACGTGCTTTCCTCTGAGGGGGACGTGGCGGAATGTGGATACTGGGCGTGGTGCTGGTGACGGACGAGCGGTTGGGGAGGGGAGCGATGAAGGAGGCGGTGAAGGAGAGGAGGTCGACGTCGTCGTCGACTGTGGTGCTGAAGGCGACACTGCTTCCTCTGTGATAGTCGTCGTTGCCGTCGCAGGGGTTGCTGGTGTTGTGCTCTTCCCTTTCTCTCCTTCTCCTTTCTCCTCCTGCTCGTCCACATCGCCTTCCAGCCCATTCCCGTTCACCTGCACCTGTACCTCCACCTGCACTGGCCCAAACGCCTTCTCATCCTCCATGAATACCGGTTCGAACCTCTCTCTCTCCCTCTCCATCCCGCTCCGGATAGATAGCGTCTCCCCAGCTTGTGACAGGCTCAGGGGTGACGTCGCCCGTACTGAAGAAGCCGAGTTGATGGATAGAGAGGAATGGGACCTCGAGTGTCGTTTAGACTGGATTGTTAGTTGTTAATTTGAGTGTAGGTTGATGGTGGTGGTTGAGGACATACCTGGTATGGCCTGTAATTTACTGGGAGTGAATCCATCCCAGTTAGAGGTATAAACGGTACAAAGTAGGAGTAACAGTAACAGCAATTGACGTGTGACTATACCGCAGTTGCTTCCGCACTATCGGTGATAAGCACTTCACTTCCCTTCTTTGTTACTCAGAACATGGACATTGCGTAGCATGACAAATCATATTCATTGCATATGGCGTAGAGCGTGACTAGAATGCGGGTTGGTTGGACTTGGAATTGAATTTGAATGAAGAAAGGAACACTAGACGTCGAATGACCGAAGGACAGAGCGAGAGCAAGAGAACGGGAACGTGAAGTGTGAAAGCATGTATGACAATAGAAGTATACCGAATGGAAGGGCCTGGGATACAGGCCGTCTAGGCCGTATGACCTGAAAGCAGAAGTAAAGTGGAAGTGGAAATCAAGGCATGAAACTTGATGAACATTGAAGGCATTATGACTAACCCGGAACGACGAACAACCGCCAACGACCAACGACCAACGACCACCCCCAAAGACCGGCACCGGCTCACCAACCCTACGCAGCACATCAACCCCCTTCCGACCACCCTAGCGTACGCCATCCCAAGCCCGAGCGCATCAACGCACCAGCGTATCAGAGCACCAGATCAATGCGCATACCTGGCCCTCCCATCCATCCACGCATTGAGCCCTGCCACCTGTTCCCTAACGAACGCATCCATGTCGTCTGCGAATCTCTGCTGTTGCTCTGCAGTCAAAGTCATTCTCGGGGGGACGGGCATGATCCCCTCCCCGCCGGCGCGCTGACGCTCTCGCGCTTGTTCAGGCGCTGAAGGGCCAGCAACAGGAGCAAGAGACCCCGGTGTAAGAGGGCTTGGCGTGCTACCAGGCTTAGGCACGGGCTGCATGGGGAGGGAGATGTTGAGGCCTGTTCTGGAAGGGCCTGCGTCTAGGAGGGCGAAGGGGGGCATTCGGGCTTGAACTGAATTCTGAACTTGTTGGGCTTGCTGGGCTTGTTGAGCAGGAACTTGCTGCTGTTGCTGGGCCTGTTGTTGAGCTTGAGGCTGCTGATATTGCTGCTGTTGGACCTGTTGCTGCTGCTGAGCCTGTTGCTGGTTCCGGGTTTGCAAAAACTGCTGCCGTCTCTGTCTCTGCTCCTGATGCAACATCTCCGCCATTTCCCTCCTGTGCCTCATCATCCTTTCCACCGCCTCGTTCATGTGTTCTTGATCCTCGCGGATTGGAGGGAGAAGGCGCACTGGCTGCACAGGCCCGGGGTGGACTGGTTGAGCGGGTGCTGCTGGTGCGCCCGGTGCCTGCTGTTGCTGTTGCTGATGACGCCGAACCAGTTCCTCTTCGAGCGTCAGAGCCCTTTCTCTCAACTGCGTCTCCCTCATCCGATCTGCCAAACTCCGCCTCGCCGCATCAGGCTCCGCAAGCGGATCAGGAAGCGCTTGCTGTGCTTGCCTCAACCGATCTGCAAAAAGCTGCCTTTGCGCTATGTCCGGTTCTGGGAACTGTTGGCCCTGATTGGGGTTGGGCTGAGGTTGGCCGAGGCGCACAGGCCCTGGCTGTCCACGGAGCACTCCGGGGAACTCGTTGCGCTCCGGGAAGAAGAACTGCATTGGGTCGTTCCTATTGACAGCGGGGTGTTGCGGTGGGAAAAAGCGGATTTCCCGACCTGGAGGAGCCTGAGGTATCGGATATCGGGGGACGTACATCCTCCCAGGGGGGTGATGAGCTGGGTGTGCGATTCGGGGAGGGACGGGAGGTCGTGCAGCTGCAGCTGCGGCTAAAGGGGGAGCAGGAGCTGGGCCTGGGACTGCGTCATCGAGTGGAAAGATACCGTCCCATAGGTCTTCGCTCGGCTTGGTTTCTTCCATCAGATGTCGTCCAGAAAGCAGAATGATCTCCTTCCCCTCCGCAGATTGAAGCAGGGATTTGAGAGTCCAGTTAACCGCTGGCCGTCCCCTGATCACCTTATCGCAATATGGGCAGTGTTTCTCCCTCAGCTCAAGACGGTCCGGCTCCGCTAAGGCCCGGGCCTTGCTCTTCCACATCGAGGCCAGACAAGGTCCGCAAGCCGTATGGCCGCAGGACATCACAAATGGTCTGACGAGGAGTTCATAGCACAGCCCACACTCGAGCTGGTTGGCAAGTGCGTTGATAGCTGCATTGTTGGCCGCTGTAGCGAGTCGATCCGTCTCGCTCGTGTCTAGAACAACGGAGAGTCCGTCGACCGTACTGATAGCGTCTTCGAGTGCTTTGCGAACGTTGCTGGTAGCGGATGTGAGAGATTGCTTGAATCCCTTTGTGCGTTTGCGTGGGAGTGTGGTCTGTTCTGTGTTAGCGCCTGATGACAGCAGGGCAGATGAGTAGGTACCTCGTCATCCGAGTCACTGACGACGTGAGTTCGCTATATACGCATGAGAATGAGAATGAAACTCCAGTGTATATGCACACCTTTGGACCTTTACGTTCTCCCATAACTTGTATCTCCTCATCGGCGTCCATGTCTACTTCTTGTATACTAGGCGCTGGCATGCTGCTGTGCTTTGACTCTGCTTAGTCGTCTCCCGGCGTTGTGGCACTCCGCAGTCCAAGGAGTATATCTGCGCCCCTGTCCAATCGGCCGTCGTGGTGCAGATGACGGAGCAGAAGAGAGAAGCGGGAGGAGGAGGGCCCGAGCGGGGTAAGAGAGAAAAGCGGAATATGGCCCACGCCGCCTTTCTTTGCCCAGCGCGCCTTTGCCTCCGGGTGTCAAGTTACGCACGCTGTCCTGTCCACCTCATGCACCATCACTGTCACCCTCTTCCCCGCATACGCACTGCTGTCCACTCATACAAATGGACATTTCCCTTGCATGTCGGAGCATTTTCTGATCAGCTGTACATGAACGTATACGACATTCACCCGTTCTCCACGGAGCGGACAGAGAAGCGCCGGACATCTTCAGCCTCCGTGCTTTCAGAAGCGCCCGTCAGCCTCAATGTACTTTTTGTCGGTCAGTTCTCGGTCGTGGCTGGAAACATGTAACAGACACGAAACGGTCAGCAGATACAATTTTTTTTATTCTACTAGCACAACAACAGTAAGCCACTGCTATTAGTCACATCATGTGCTCCTATATGAGGGCATCACGCGGCTCGCATGGCTAGCGTTTCCAGAAATTTGTGCAAATCCTCCTTGTTTACCTCCACTACGCTCGTGTCGAACGTCACCTGCCTCGTTCGTGCACCTGACCTGTCGCGCGCTTCCAGGAACGCGAGGTTGAACGTACTGTTCGTGAATAGTTAGCTTTACTCCTCACTTTCAGAATGAACGTACTTGGGTCTGACATCACCCATCTCCCCCGCACCTGTAACGCCAACAACGACAAACGTGCCCGCTTCTTCCTTGGCACAAGCGATCACGAAAGGCAAGAGCCGTTTCTTCCTTCCAACCTGCATACTCTGCACCCAGTTCCTTGTAGCATCCACCAGCCACAGCGCAAGGCGCGAAAGCGTGCTCGGGTGGGCAAATAACGCCAAGTCCGGCCCTTCGCGGATCGTCGCTAGGCGGAAAGACTTCGTCTGCGTTATAGCCCGCTTGGAGATAAGCGCCGTCCCTTGCCGGACTATTGCTCGTTGGAGTGCCATGGCCAAGGGTAATGAATTGCGCAAAAGGTTGATACTACAAATCCGTATTAGTCTATCTTCATGTAGAGGGGAAAAAGACGTACTTCATTCCCAGGGCATCATACGCCGCCCAAAAGTTGCCGACCCACCACTCTTCCTCCTTCTGCTCTCTCTGTTCCTCCTCCGCTTGTTGGGTGCTCTTCTCTCCTTCCTTTGCCGGGGGAGGAGCCAGTGGGCGGTTCTCCTTCCCCTCACTACGAGTGGGCAACTGCCAAGCCTTGCTTCCTCCAAACCACTCCCCACCGCCCCTCCCTCCCTCTAGCTCGACCTCCAGCTTCACCCCCTCAGCCGCCTCTAACAGCGCCCCAACGCCTTCTACTACGTCTGCTGCCGAAAGAGGCTGCAAGCGGAAGCCGAACGAACGCGTGAACGATGCATAGGTGAGCTCGATCAGTCCATACTCTGGCGCGTAGTTGTCCATCTTTGCCCGTAGAGACCTCTTTAGATCTTGGTCCATATGGATAAACGCCTGCTGACACTGTTGTAACGAAAACCTGCGCCCCCACACTTCAGCCACAACCGTCTAGCATACAGGGAAAAATACACACCCCATCTTGGCTAGCATTCCCCCCAGCTGTTTTCGCCCCTTCTCGTTCCACGCCCTCAGCCGACTCATCACATACGCCGAATGGTACATAGCGTCATACAGATTCCAGTGTCTGACGAGCATGAACCGCATCTCCTCGCTCGGTCTTATGCCCGTGTCGTCCGCCGTAAGCTGCTGTTTCGTTCCCGCGTCGTTGATCGTACCAGGCACAGAAACGTTCAACCGGGCGACTTCGTCCGAAAAGACTTCGTACATCTGCTCGTAGGTGCTGCGTTTTATTCGGGCGGAGAGGTACTGGTGTGTCAGGCCTAAGATCGCTAGCCACAGGAGCGCGTTGTCAGCCCGCTCAAGGGCAGTCGCGAGCACGTATATCGTCCCTGCACAGGATTGGCCGTGTGACGTGCCTGCAGTGTAGTACTTGTCGAGTCGTGCAAGGTACTCGTCGCGTTTCTCACGGCGTTCGCGTTTTGCCGCCTGGGACTGTCAGTCTAGCAGACATGGAAGGGGAAATAGACATACCCCGCCATTGAGCTTTCGTTTCTTTCTTGGTGTGCCCTCTCCATCTTCCTCGTCGTCGTCGTCGTCTTCTTCTTCCTCCTCGTCGTCGTCATCCTCGGAATCGCTGTCACTCTCATCAAACATCGTCTCCTCAAATGCCTTCCTCTCCTCAGCCAACTTCGCCACCTCTCCATCATCCCAGACAACGATACACTCCTGACTCTCGCCCACTCCGAACAAATTGGGCAAGCTTCTTGGCCTGCGGGAATCGATCACATGAATTCTCACCCCCTGCCCAAACTCGCCAAACCAGTCCTCGCTCGCAAGGTCAAGCATACTCCCAATGTTGAGCAAAACGAGCGTGTGTAGTTCTTGGGACTTGCTCAGCTGCTCTTTTAGCGCTACGAGTGCTGGATACCCAGCAACAGGCTCTATCCGATGTTGAACGCCGTCTCGCGTCAGGAGCGACGCTAGCATCCGGCACGCGCAGAGGGAGTCCACTTCCAGCGCAGCAAGTAGGACGACAGCGGACGGGGTGTTGGCTCGCGTTCGTCTGTTGGCAAGTATCTCGCGGTAGGCGGTGAGGTAGGTGCGGGTGGCATCGTGTGACGATGTAGGGGGTGAGAGGTAGACCATCGTAGTAGAGGTCGAGGAGCAGTAGCAGCAACGTGACGAGGACGCGTCGAATATTCATTGCACACGCGACTCGGCGTTAGTATCACGAGCTCAGGGTCCTACTCCTATCACCGAGGAATGGAATGGACCCTTATCGACCGTCTCTCTCCCAACAAAGGGAACAACTCTATCCCATGCCTTGACGCCCTCCTCCTGATCCTCCTATTCGATACTCCTTCACCCGCAAGGATGTACCCCCTCGAATCTTCCCAGCGGCATATTCTGCAGCAACACCGGATACCCCTTGCTCTGGCAGTATTCGATCTCACAGTACTCGTCTTCCCTATCACACTAGTCGTTTCACCGTGCTTAGCGGTGCTCACGTTCTTCAGCAGCGTCATGGGCTCGCTGGAACAAGAACCGGTATGGTTAAGCCTCAGTATGTAGTTCTCTCGCGATGCTCTGCCGGAGGGCTGAAATCGCTTAGTGCACACGGCGGTGATAGTCCAGATGCCATTAGTGATCGCATGCACGATCGAGAACCGCTTTATCCAGTACGTGCCTCCCCTCCTTTACATACCTAGACATCAAGGGAGTCTAATCGTGTTCCCAGACAACAAAAGGACCGGAGCTCGATCCTGAGTGTTTCCCGCGTCCGCCAGAACCTGATCTATCTCGTCACATCCCTCTGGCTGCTCACGCTACTCAGCTCCCTCCTCGCTCATCCGAGTTGTGCTGAAGGCGCACCATGGAAGGAGAGCTTGCGGCCTAAAACTGTGACACCCGAAGGGGGGACTGTGGAGAAGGTGATGGAGGAGAACTGTACTGAGAGCTTGATGGCAGTGGGCTTGAGTGGTGTGAATGCCCTCCTCTGTGAGTTGGCGTAAAGCGTTACAGTCATAGCGTGTTGACCGCATACAGGCTTGTGTCCCGTTGTGTGCACCCTGGTGGTGAAGACGACGCTGTGGAGGATTATGAGGAAAGACACGATGGGTCGGGGGACCTCCAATGCTGCATATGAGGCGTTGGCTCAGCAGGCGTGCGAGGGCGACAGTTAAGGATGTATAGAGCTGTTCTGTCCTGTATTCTTCTTTGGGTTCTTCGCGAGAATAGGGATATTGATATAACAAAACATGAAATACACGGGACGGGATCCAAACTACAACAGATATAGGCGACAAATGTGGGTCTACTGTTCCAGACGCTGCATGTCCTCTTCCACACGGGTGATATTCGACACTTTCTCCAATAGTTCGGGTACTTTCTGCGCCAGAGTTCAGCGTGAGCAACGGTGACAACGAGAGACGTCAACGAACCTTTTGAAAGTCCCCAAAATAAGCCAGCGTCTCCCGATGTGCCTTTTCCATCTCCCCGACATCCGGCAGTGTCACTGTACCTCATCAGTATCCCCCCTCCGATCCTACAAAAAGCACTCACAATCTGCCTCCATATCCTCCTCATCCTGATCCAAGATTTCCTCCTCCACTCTCTGCCGAACCAATAGATCTTCGACAAGCTTCTGGATTTGTACAGGCTTGACGCGTCTCGAGTCCGCCAGTGTCTTGTCCCATATGAGCTTCTCGTCGTGGTTTGCCCATATCTGGCGATCGAGCGCTTCGTCGAATGGCTCCGTTTCTGCCAGATTCTCATTTGATCACGTCCAGTGATTGGGAAATAAGCACATACCATCGGCCTCCTTGGTATGATCCTCGTAATTTATTCCATTCACCCTCAGATTAGGCTTTGCGATCTCGAACGTCCTATCCCTCCACTATCATGTATTGGCACCATACCACCAAGACCTCAATTCAACTCACAGCCATCAGGTGTGCGCGGATCGCTTCCCCCTCCCCCCCTAGGCTGCTTGAGGAAAGTTTCTCATCAAGGAGCGCGAGCATTTGACGGGTGAAACCAGCCTTGATTCGTTCCAGATCGTCGAACGTGTCAACTCCAATGCGTGGCATATCTTCTCGGTCCATGTTGCCAGCCGTCAAGTTAAGGAGCTAGCACAAGTACAGGGATAGCAAGCTAAGAAGTGGATGCGTGGGGGAAGTGGTGGTCGGCGTTAGGGTGAGATCACGCGCCAAAATCAGTCGCGTCGCGTATCAATGAAGCGACGCGTTTGCTTCCGCTTTATGGATCTTTCCTTTTGGGAGGTTGTGAACAAGCGCTGATACCACCTTACAAGGCTTCCTCTGATCTGGATGTTGGAGAGATGGTAGGTGGAAGTAAGGCCGTGCCTCTTTTGAGTGGGAATGGTATGATGGAGAAGGAGAGAGAGATTCAAGGTGTGCTCGTTGAACCAGTCACCAGCACCGTGCTGACCAACACTCAAAGAGCTGGAGAAAAAGGTACATCAGGTCCCGTGATGGACCAGTCACGTAGTAACCTGGGTTCACAGACCAACTATCTACGAAAGCAAAACGATGATCTACTGAAGAGGAACTTTGAGCTGGAGAACAGCAATCGTTGGTTGTCTGAAAGGCTTGGGTTCCGAACTGCGCAAGATGCCGAGACGCAACTTGGTGATAACGATATCACCTTCCTCCAACTGCACGTCGAATATGAAAACGCACAAGTGCGCATCCGGGACTTGGAACAAGATGGTCTTGTCCAATCGGAGGCGTTGAACACTCTGCGTAGGGAACACGCGACTGCCCTGAAGACTATCGACGACCTCAAGGAAGACCTCAAAGAGCTCGACTGGAGCCGGCAGTGGCAGCAGAGCGAGACGGAAAGCCAGATCGCTCAGCTTACGCTTCAGCTACATGACCGAGAGGGAAGGATCGCTGAACTCAACGCGAAATCTCGGCCGCTCAGATCCCGGGTTCTCTCACCCTCCTCCGGGAAGGAGAACACTCCGACTCCACTGCCTACCTCATCATTCGTCCCCTCGTCCCCCAAGACTCCTGTGATGCCCTCAACGTCAACCCCGAAGAAAGACGCTCACGTTTCTGCTGCATTTTTGCAAGCTCAACTTTCAGACATACAAGAACGATACGACAGTCTGCTCCGCATATATCGAGAAAACGTGCAGCAACGGACAAAGGAACGAAAGCACTGGAAGGAGTTCAAGGACGCATGGATGGCGAACAAAGACAGAATCCAGCGGAAGAGGGCGCGTGAGGCAGGAGGGGCGAAAGAAACTCCGAGAAAGCGGAGGCGGATGGTCTCAGAGACCGGACTGGCAGACACGCCAAAGCGAGCCACACCGAGAAAACAACCCACCGCTCCGGAGTCACAGACTCAGTATGAGGATGACATGGTACCGTCCTCTCAGCCCTCTCCCCCAGAAGATCGACCTGCGCAAACGGCCATCGCATCCAAGAGTCAAGTGCTCGTGCCTGCATCATCGGAAACAGATCTCGAAGGTGAACAAGGATGGTACGTACAGCATTTCCATAATTCTGCTGCATATTCTGACTCTTCTTAGTGATCCGCCGACCGCACCCCCTCGCTACTCCAGCAAGCACGACGGAATTATCTCCCCTGCCACATCACACATCGTGGTCACCCCGCAACCTGTCCTGCCCAGAGCAGCCTCATCTTTCTCGGAGCAAGCATACCGAAAGCGTCAAATGGTCAACGAAGCAGAAGACGATACTTCGTCGCCAGGTGCGGCAGGAAAGATGAAAGCACCAGCATCGCCAATCCCGGGTCATCGCAAGCGGTTGTCAGAGGACCCTGCTGGGACCCCTCTTGCGCAGTTACCGGCGGATCGGGATGAGAGAGCCAAAGCTTTGAAGGAGCTTAATAAGCTACCTCGGGAGCAGTATGTGGACCAGTACAAGGTGTTCAAGGGCCACGGACGATATTCTGGCAACCTTCCGCGGTATGTTGTCTTGCCCCATTGAATCGACACAAGCTCTGACGCGCATATGATAGACCAGATGAAGAAGGTATCAACGCACGATTTGAGATTGACAAGAGCCGAAATGACGGTATGAACTACCAATACGACTCGGTGGTTCGAAACAAGAACGCAAGAAGACAATTACATGGCGATGACTGCGAGTGTTGTCGAAGATACTACGAAGATGTTGGACCGTTGCCCCCGCGTCTCGAAGCACCGCTCTGGAGGTCGCCACCACATCGAGATTTCCAAAATGCCGTCTTGCCATGTCCTCGAGACTCTGCAGCAAAAGACCCTCAGATGTCGCGAGCTCATGTACAGGCTCATAAACAAGAGGTGTCAAGACATCGCCAGGCATGGCAGCGGTCACATACCCCTCCAGACTATTGGAAGATTGGGTTTCCATCCACACAAGAGGCGCAACAGATCAACAAGAAAGCTGAGGAGATGCATAGGGAAAAGGCGCGCCAGATAGAACTCGAGGCGGAACGGGGAGGGAAGTACAGGCGGAGGAGTTAGTCTAAGGTCATGCCTTTCTTCAGGAACCATGATTCGGGTTGATCCATTGTACAGTATCTGCACACTGCTTATTCATATTCATATCACATTTGTTGCTCGACAAAATCATCATTACTCACTTTCAACTGGATGACGGCAAGATTGACTCTGTTATCCGATGATTCCCCGTTAGTATGCGGACGTCTTGACCAGATCGGGCGGTTGGTGCTTGGTCAATGCCCTGGTTGACATTACGTGGTGTGTAACCGACCTTTGTACAGTCACATTCCAGAGCTAACCACGCTTATCCAGGTTGTCTGGGCCCCGTATTTCAATGTCTTGGTCATCTATTTCTCTGGATTCTGACTGGATATAGGCGTGCACGAGGTTGTATGCGCTTTCTAACGCGACGATGCAGTCAGTTATTAACCCAGGACAAAGTGACAGACCCTGACATGACCGATCTCCCCGCAGGCTCTAGCGCCGAGGCTGGTTCTCTGCCGGTAATTCGGTAATGTGCCATCCGGCATTTGGTTCTTGACCGACCTTGCCGCATCCTGGGAACGACGGTCAAGTATCACATGATGGGCCCATAGAATCGAGAGTAAGTCGTAAGTCCTTTCGTTCGTGGATCTGCTTGAATCCCCTGGTGGGTGCTCACCTCATGCGGCAGACTGTTGAGAAGCCCGACCGATTTGGAAGTTGCCAAATTTGGATGGCTCTGGTCTCGCAGAACTGCCTACACGCCAGTGGGGCGAACATGTCTTTGCATTTGGATATAAAAAGACGGTTGAAATGGACAGTCAACTGCCTGCTGCTGTGTTCACAGGTGGATCCCAGCTCTCCCTATAAGAATGTCTGAACCAATCCCGTCGCCGCCATCCTATCCCATCATCGGGCATGCAGGTACTGGTGTCTATGACCCAGTCGCGAGCGCCAAATCCCGTCGTCAGCTCAGGGAGAAGTACGGCAGCATCTATCGTCTCAATTTTTTCGGTCGCGAGATCATCTTCTGCTCCTCTCAGGAGATTGTGAATGAGCTGTGTGACGAGTCGAGGTTCCAGAAGGAAGTTGCTGGAGGTCCCCTCGAAGAAGTTAGGAATGGGATTCACGACGGTCTCTTCACGGCGTTTGGTACTGAAGAGAACTGGGGCATCGCTCGTACGCTCATGCTCTCACATACTGTCAGATCTTAACTTCGGGTAGATCGAGTCCTTCTTCCTGGATTCGGGCCTGCTCAAATCCAAGGCATGTTCCTCGCGATGCTTGATATCAACGCCCAGCTCCTGCTCAAATGGGAGCGGTTCGGCCCCGACCACGTCATCACCCCAACGGAGGACTTCACCCGTCTTGCCTTCGACACCATCGCGCTAAGCATGATGTCGCACCGGTTCAACTCGTTCTACATGGAGGAGATGCCGCCTTTCTGTCAAGCGATGACGCGGTTCTTGATTGAGAGCGGAGTTAGGAACCAGCGACCGAGCATGATTCAGAATCTCATGAGGGCTGAGAATGCTCAGTATGAGGCTGATATTAAGTTCATGGCAGACGTTTGTGATCAGCGTAAGCACTCTCGTGAAAAACGTGGAAAGAGTCTCATGGTACTCGTAGTCGTTCAGAACCGGAAGAGTCACCCGACGAGCAAGAAAGATCTCCTCACGCTGATGCTAGAAGGCAGAGATCCCAAGACTGGTGAGTGTATCGTTTCACCAGAATGCATAAGCTGACGGGATTGGTAAGGACGTGGTATGAGCGAAGCGAATATTCGCAATAACCTCATTACGATGCTCATTGCCGGCCATGAGACGACTTCCGGTCTTCTATCCTACACGCTGTTTCACCTCCTTTCCAACCCATCTACGTACTCAAAACTGCAGGCGGAGGTTGACGCCATTGTTGGGAAGGACGCGCTGCAGTTGGCTCACGTCCCCAAACTGGAATACACCCAAGCCGTTCTGCGGGAAAGTATTCGTCTGAATCCTCCTGCAGGGATGATCTCCGTTTCACCGGTCGAGGATACTGTCATTGCTGGAAAGTATGCAGTCAAGAAGGGCGCCATGCTCGCAGTCGATATCGCCGGGCTGCATAGAGATCCCGCAGCTTGGGGGGACGATGTTGAGGAGTTCAAGCCGGAAAGGATGATGAGCCCTCATTTCGAGGCGCTTCCGGTAATTTTCCTAGTCTGTGTTCCTCCCGATCGTCACTTACGTGGCTTTTCCTTCCAGCCAAACTGTTGGAAACCCTTCGGCAACGGCTCTCGCGGGTGTATCGGTCGCCCTCTCGCTTGGCAAGAGTCTGTCATGATGCTCGCCACGCTGTTCCAGCACTTCGACATCAAATTCGACGACCCATCGTACAAGCTCCGCGTAAGTTTTTCCACCATCTTGGAGATTCCAGGCTGACAGGCAGCACAGGTCAAGCAGACGCTCACTACTAAGCCTGAAGGGTTCCAAATTCGTACAATCCCGAGGAAGGATGCTCCGCCTATCGTCGGTGCCGGGGTGGTTGCTTGATCTAACTTTCGAGAAGTATCGGAGACTGCGGAATACATATCACATGAAATCTGTAGAGAAAGCGCAGTTGTTCAATGAATGCCTGGTTTGGTGGTGGCCCGAGCATATTTGGCCGGGCTGTGATGTGGTTGATTAAAGTCTGAACATGCCAGATAGGCCTTCCGCATGGTGCTGCTTTTGGAAACATGGTCATTGAACTGGTCCGTGGTCTTCGGTCCAAAATGAACGTTGGAACGCTTGTGACATTCAGAGAAGCTGATCGGGGACTTAGGTCAGCGCGTCAGCCCATGTTACGGAGGAAACCCTGAAAGTAACCAATCGAAAAAAGGTGTTCTGATTCATTCACACGGTTCATCGCGGGCGCTTCTATTGCCACACGCGGACTCCTCTCTCAAGAACGACCACCTCATCTGTTACTGAATACTGCTCTGTTTCATTGACCTTCCGCTTTGGCATATGGGCTTGGAAATGCCTCATGTGAACGAGATGACCAAGACCTCCCGTCAGGAATACAATGGTCAAGGAATGGTCGAGACAAATGCCCGAATTCGGCTCATTAACCTTATTGTACCGGGTCGCTACCTCAAGCATCTGACGTCTTCTACACGCCAAGAAGATAGACTATCCTAGTCTGGGTCCTGGTCAGCGGAGTGCCTCGTGGACGGGGACGACTGGGTCAGCCACCTAGGGTACTACTTAAGACCACCAGCATCGAGGATCCGAGCACTCCAGCCCTCTTACAGGTGTTACCCTCAACCACCACCTCATGCCTGACCCCATCCCTTCCCCACCTTCATACCCCGTAGTAGGGCATGCCCTGACGGGAGTTATTGACCCCGTCACTCCGACTCTGTCTTACCGCCTCCTGCGGGAGAAGTACGGACGGATCTACGAACTCAACTTCTATGGACGTCCTCTCATCGTCGTCTCCTCTCAGAAGCTTGTCAACGAGCTCTGCGACGAAACTCGTTTCCACAAGAACGTATCTGGCGCACTGGAGGAAGTGCGTCATGGTGCCGGAGACGGACTATTCACTGCATACCATGGAGAAGAAAGTTGGGGTATCGCCCGTTTGTCCATCCCTCTTTCTGCATATACTTGGTCTGATTAGAACCAGACCGTATCCTGATGCCCGCATTCGGACCCCAACAAACCTTGGGCATGTTCAACGATATGCTCGATATCAACTCCCAGCTTCTGTTCAAATGGGAGCGCTTCGGCCCCGATCACCCCATAGATCCGACGGACGACTTCACAAGGCTGGCATTCGACACCGTCTCGCTCTGTGCGATGTCTTATCGAGTGAATTCATTCTATCAAGAGGAGCTCCCAGCCTTCGTTAGAGCCATGGGAGGATTCTTGGTCGAGAGCGGGAGACGGGCGCAAACACCTCACATGATGCAGGGATTTATGCACAAGAGCAACACGCAGTACGAAGCCGATATAAAGCTCATGGTCGATCTCTGCGATAAGAGTGTGTCTACCCTATACTTAGCATCGCGTCCGATGACTGATATGCCGTAGTCATTGCACAACGCAAAGCGCATCCTGAAGGAGCGAAGAACGATCTACTCAATCGGATGCTCGAGGGCAAAGACCCCAAGACAGGTCGGGGCCTGAGCGACGCCAACATCCGCAATCAGCTCATCACGTTCCTCATCGCCGGACACGAGACGACTTCTGGTCTCCTGTCGTTCACTTGCTACCATCTCCTTGCCAACCCGTCCACCTACACCAAGATTCAGGCAGAGATCGATGAGGTGCTGGGGAACGACCCGATCCAGCTCTCGCATCTCCCCAAGCTGGTGTACACGAACGCCGTTCTGCGGGAAAGTATCCGACTCAATGCCCCGCTTGGGATGCTCAATGTCACACCGAACGAAGACACCATCATCGGTGGTCGGTGGGAGATCAAGAAAGATACTCGATGCGTTGTCGAAATCAATGGTCTCCAGAGGGATCCAGAGGTTTGGGGAGACGATGCGGAAGAGTTCCGCCCTGAGAGGATGCTGGATGGGAAGTTTGAAGCTCTCCCTGTGAGTGCAGATCTGATCGTTAAATTCGCCGAAATTCGGAGTTCTCATAGCGCATATATTTAGCCTAACTCGTGGAAACCGTTTGGAAATGGAGCAAGGGCTTGTATCGGCCGCCCGTTCGCTTGGCAGGAAGCAACGATGATGATGGCCACCATGTTGCAGAGGTTTGATCTTCGCTTCGACGATCCTTCGTATCATCTGCATGTACGTGCCTCGGATCCTCATCTGGTATTGAACTGACAGCGGGACGGATGTGTAGCTGAAGCAGACGTTGACGACCAAGCCCAAGGACTTCAAGATGCATGCTATTCCTCGCCGAGGCGCACGTCCCATTGTCGGCCCTGGCTCTCTGGCTGGGCCCCAGACTACATCGCCTGAAACAGCTGAAAAGCACGACGCAAGACCCGCAGAAGTCCCAGTCGGTACTGGTATTCCCATGTACGTTTACTTCGGTAGCAATACCGGAAGCTGCGAGTCATTCGCACAGAACGTCGTTAGCGACGCCCTCGCCCATGGATTCAGGGCGGTCATCGCTACACTCGATTCTATCGATGAGCTAGCCAAGGTGCACTACGACGGCCCGATGATCATTCTCACTGCGTCGTACGAAGGCCAACCGGCTGACAACGCAGCTCACTTCGTGGAAGGCCTGCAGCGTTTGGCTCCTGAGAAACGTCCTCTTACCAACCTCAAATACGCGGTTTTCGGTGCTGGCAATCGTGACTGGGCGATGACTTACCAGAGGATCCCTACTCTAATCGACAGCAAGATGGAGCAGCTCGGTGCTGAGAGATTGATGGAACGAGGGCGAGCGGATGCCGGCGGGGCTGATTTCTTCGGCGAGTTCGATAAGTGGGAAAAGAACCTATGGGAAACCCTGAATAAAGTCAGTCTATCATTCGTTAGAAATGTCCTTCCTCAACCCTGCTTTAGGTGTACACCCCTAGCACCATTGAGCAGCCCACCGAAGTTCCGGAAGAGGAAGAGGAATTCGTCGTTACCGTCACTGGCACAGCGCGCCAGATCCGTTTGCGACAGCCCGATCTACGCGATAGCAAGGTTTTGGAGAACCGCCTCTTGACTAAACCGGGTGCCCCCGAGAAGAGACACATCCAGTTCCAGCTTCCTGAAGGGATGGAATATGCTGCTGGTGATTACCTGGCAATCCTGCCAAAGAATCCTGATGTCTCAGTTAGACGAGTGTTGAAACATTTCAATCTGCAACCAGATACCAAGGTAAGCTTTCCCGTTTGCTCTCCGTATTTCGCATCTGAATAATGCAACAGATTGAGATCAAAACCAAAGCATCAACTACCCTGCCGACGGATGAACCAATCAGACTTCACGATCTCTTCAGTGAATACGTTGAACTCGCACAGCCAGTTACGCAGCGTGTTTTGGATCAACTTTTGCAGTTCGCTCCTAAGGACAACGTGCGTCTCCGTGACCTGTTAACGGATACCAAGACTGCGGTGTTCGACAAGCGTCTTAGTGCACTCGATCTTATCGAAATGTATCCTGACATCAATATTCCGCCAACGAAGTTCGTGAAGTTACTTCCATCTATGCGAATCCGGCAATACTCAATTTCATCGTCCCCGGTTGCCAAGCCAGGAGAATGTAGCCTCACGGTCTCAATTGTGCGTGCCCCGTCTCTCGGTGGGCATGGAGAATTTGTTGGAGTAGCTTCCAACTATCTCGCCCATCTCGAAGTGGGAGATACGGTATGCGTCGCTGTACGCCCTAGTGCGGCCAAATTCCATCTGCCGGCGGACACGACCAAGCCGATCGTCATGTTCTGTGCCGGATCTGGGTTTGCTCCGATGAGAGGTTTCATCGAGGATCGAGCGGAGCAACTCGCCGTCGGCCGCGAGGTTGGAAAGACGCTGCTCTTTGTTGGATGCAGAGCTCCCGACGAAGACCTTCTGTACAAGGACAAGGAGTTGAAGAAGTGGCAAGAATCCGGCGCGGTTGATGTTCGTCCCGCGTTCTCGAGGGCATCTGATGCTTCATATGGATGCAAGTATACTCAGGAGTACGTTCTCTATCTATCCCTGTGTCAAAATGTTATATCTGACGTCGTTGCCAGCCGTGTTTGGAATGACAGGGCTGATGTGAAAGCCTTGTACAGGGAAGGTGCTCGGTTTTACACTTGTGGAATGTCTGGCATGTCGAACGCATGCCGGGAGAAATGTGTCGACATGATTATGGAAGAGATGAACTGCACGCAGGATGCAGCTTCCCAGAAGTTTCAAGATATTGCTGGGGAGAGGTATTCGATCGATGTCTTTGGTTGAGGGGCTGAAGGCAAGCTCAAACAGGTGGGTGTTGCAAATCAGGGAATTATGGTTGAATCAGAAATCAAAGTCCATGATGATCATTGTGAAGTACACGCTGGGGTGCTTCTGTCCCCTGATCTACTCAGTACAAGCGTTTCAATCAATGTCCGATCCGAGCGGCGATCATGGCGCTCCCGCCTTCGATTCAAACCCCCGTCGTTCTCACACGCAGAAGGTGATCTCCACCCCCACCTTTTGCGAGTTACAAGTCAGCAATATACCAGATGACAGGTTTTTGCACGTACGTTGGGGTCGTGGCAAGGAGGTGCAATGGGATGGCTACCGACAGCACACTGATCTGTGGGGCCTATGGCAAAGATTAACCATCGCCAACGCGGAGACGTAGGATTGAAACTGACAAGAAACACACTCGCCCACGCATCCATTGGTGAAACACCAGTCAAAGGTAGGGGTGAGGGTGAACGGAGGGCTGATGTCAATGTCCACCATTGACCCGTTGCAGCCGGAATCGCCATCGTTGCAGAGAGATACCAGTTCGATGATCGAGCAGCCTTCGCCGTCACTTCCACAACCCCCAGCCTGGAGAAATGCGACCGCGTTGTTCAGAGGGCCTCCTGACGTGTACGGCTCTCCGGTGGACAGGACATTTCCATCTTGAACTAGAGTGGGAGTTCCGTACCCACACCTGGATCAGTGGTCAACCTGGTAACATTTTTTGCGGAAATCATTCGTCTTACAGATTGGTGAACGTGATGGTATGACTCTCAGCGCGGGCCAGAAGGACGAAAGCAGACAGGCCGAACAGCGAGTCGATAGGCTTCATGGCTTGACTGCTCTGAAGGCGTTCGGATCGAGTGCGCAGGTGCTTGCCTTTTCCTCCCCATTGAAAGCCAGTATTTAAGTTCGAATACCTGCAGACAGAGACCAAAAATAGAGCCGGATCTCCGTGTTCATCGGAGTTGCTTTCGGAATGAAAGGGCGGAGGGGGAAAGATGATCGCGATCCCCGCTCAGAAGGGTGTGCACACAATGAAGGAATCCTTGGAGCCATGGGCGTATGACTACATCTCGGTGCTCCAATGCGTCCCACAGGCAGTTTGATCATTCACATCACTGATCCATCTGGCATAATCCAGTGTTCATGTATCCCCGCTTACACAAAAGATGTTCGATTTTAATTGACCATATTCCCTTTCTGATGCACCGTAGTATGTTTACAATGAGCCGTAACGTTAACAGGCGTGACACATTGGAAAGTGAACACACTACATACTACGAACAGCAACTCAGTCTTAATCACAGAAGGTGACCGCAAGGTTGACCTGACGTTCATTAGAATGTCATCTGACATTGATTCAAGAAATTCCTTACGTTGTCCACAGTGCATTGCCTCTGCGCTTGATAGTCGGTAGGCGTGCAGAACGCGCCGTCAGGGCAGCAGCCAGACCACGTGCCTGGGCACAGATATAACAGTGTGAAATGACAAAGAAAGCACGGACGTACAGTCGTTGCCAACGCCATCGCAGCCGTTGTAGAAACCGAAGCCGGAGGTCACCGAGAACGCATGGGGTGGGATGAGGGTGACGTCCGCGGAGGAGATCATGCCGCCGTTGGTGTCGGGGTTGTACAGGCTGAGCTCGACCATAGTGCATCCCTCGCCATTGAAACCGCACCCGCCGGTTTGGAGGTAGGCAATGGCAGCACCAAGAGGTCCATTCGAGGTGTAATCACCGCCGGTAGAGAGGACGTTGCCGCCCTGGATCAAGGTGGGAGTGCCATAGCCGCAACTGATGACGTAGCATAAGTGACGTGGGAGATGTGAAAGATGGCATTTACGAACAGGTTAGTGAAGTGCACGGTGTGCGACTCGGCGAGGACGCCAACGACAACGGCGGTAACAGTCAATAGGGTGGCAATCGCGCTCTTCATGGTGATGTTCAACGAAGGTACTGTGATCTTGGTGGAGAGGAGCGGACAAGTAATCTCTCATCTAAAAACCAGAGTATATATACACATCTCAAACGAGCCAACGATATTCTTCTGTGTCCTTGCAAAGGAGATGTGACCCGCGGAATGGATAGAATAAGGTCGCCCAAAGCAGCCAAGTTCCTGTTCTATTTTCAGCTCGCATTCAGAAACTAATGAGATTGAGCCATGTACAGACTAACCGCTCATTATTGAGGATCGCCGTGTCCGAGATCCGCCGGAATGACTGGATGAAACGATCCGGGATGTGCGGACGTTCTGGGCCAGACAATGTCATGGAGAAAGTGTTCCACGTCGGACGAAGCTACAGATGCTTCTAACCGTCCGAATCGGCTTGTAAATGCCATCAGCAATGAACGTCCATGTGCATGCTATGGGGTAGTCTTGAGCAGGACGGGTATGAGTGTCTGTTTGTCTTCGACTCAGTAGCGAACAAGCCCAGGGAGAGGGAGATGTAGCTTACGGCGAGTGTCTGCCGTGATGTGCGTTTGGGCGCAACGAGGATCAATCCAAAGACGAACAAAGTATCAGAAGGACCTGCAATGCGAAACTGCTTCTCGTGAGGACATCAGCAGGCAGTCGAGTCTGTGCGGAGCACCGCTCGAAGCGGTCCATGAGAAGTGTGGTGGATGACGGGCATGAATAGACCCAGCTAACAGCTTTCAAATGGGAAGCCTCCCCGTGATGTCCAGTTGCGTACTGTCCATTCAAATGGGAATGAGAGGTTTGTTGGCGGACGCAGTTATTGTTCGGACTACTCGGAGAGTACAGCCAGAGCATAAGGTGAAGAAGACAACGCAGATCCGGTCGCGGGAGCAACGAGGACCGCCCACGGCTACGGGATCGCCCATCTCCACGTGATCCGACTATGCGTCAGAAGCCCCAACATTCTTTGAGACAATGGGCGTTGCCGACGGCAGTACTGCCGCTTCGTCACGTAAATTTCTTCCGATGGTTGAGTATACATGTGCAAACTGGAGTTAAGTCTGTCATCTTCACGTCTGCAAGGGGTAACGCGCGGGGAACCCAGTCGGCCCGATGCTACGTGACCGAACGCTAGGATGGAGAAAGCATCTTCCAGCGAAATGCATGGCTGACATTCTTGGTCCATAAGCAAGGGCGCTCATGACATTTTGGGATGGTGTCTTCGACCGAACTGACGAACGTTTGCACCGCACTTCGAACGTGATCCGCCCGGGGCATAGAAGGTGGGGTCGGAACGGCGGTCTACCACATCAATCGCCGTGATTACACTCCTTTCGAAATTCGTTACGCAAAGAGGACATGTGGTGATCCTCCTTCATACACAAGCAGATCCTGAAGCAATTGGCGGAACTTGGGAAGCAACACCTTATGACTTGGAGTAGCGAGCGGAAGTCCGGTGGGGACGCACTTCCTACACCGTCCAGAGCTGAACGAGGAGACATAAATACCTTTTTTTGCAAAATAAGTTTTACGTCGTCGACCCAGAAGGAAATCAACTCGCCATGTACTCACTCGCAGCTGCAGTCCTCGTCTTCGCAGGTGTCGCCTCGGCCCACTCCTTCACGCTGCACAACAACTGTCCCTACAACGTCCCTGTCTTCGTGTTCGTTCTTTTCATTCCCTTCACGTATATTGATTGACGATGAACGTGGCCAGTGATTCCTGGCCGGGTTCGATTACGTATACCGGTCCTCAGCCAGGAACGCTCGGGCCTGGGGAGTATTACGGCCTGAGTATCCCAAGCGGTTGGAATAGCAGGATCTGCCACAATGCCGATGGGGGCAATTGCTGGGGTGCAGATTCGATGACCGAGTTCAACGTGAGTCGGGCTCGGTTCCGTGTCAAGGATGAGAGCTTGAGCGTTGTTGATTGCAGATGGATGCTGGTGGACTCGCCTATTACGACATCTCGAACATCGAGGCGTTCTCAATTGCCCAGCAAATTGCTCCTGCTGGCGGCGGGTGCCAGACCGTGACATGCACAAGCGCAAACTGCCCCTGCAGCCAAGCCTATCCTCCTGGAGGTATGTGCTTGATGGACGGGTTTACGAACGCATGCTGACAAGAGAAATGCAAAGACGAATCTGGATGCGGAGACGATGCGCCCGTCAAGGCATGTTCCGACCAGGACTTCACGATTACTTACTGCCCTTGAGTAAGCAGGCAGCATCACATAGCATATGACATACCTGCGAGAATATCCAGAGAATCGATTGAAGATAAAGAAATGCAATGGGTTGTTTGACATTGTTCCCGTGCCAAACCTCATGGCGTTGTCCTAAATTATGCATAAGCACGTGGTCGTCACCATGACAATCAGGGGCGTTATATATTCTCTTACCCCTGAAATTGGAACTTGCTCAAGCAATGGAAGACATATCAGACGTATGGTTAACTTGGTATTAGGCACGCGGATACACACGTTCAGCATTCTGATTGTAGCGCATTCGAATGTCATTTGTTCATATACGGGCTACATATTGCGAGCTTTATTTCGGCTTTCGGCACCTGTCTCGTTTGGGGTGACTTTAGTCGCAGAACGTGATCGACAAGTTGACCTGTCAGAGGATGTCAGTGTCTACGGCCGTATTCAGTCCGGTATATGGTCACTCACGTTGTCTTCGTTGCAGTACCTCTGGGCCGTATAGTCGGTAGGGGTGCAGAAGGCATTGTCAGGGCAGCAATTCGCGCTGGTGCCTAGAGTACTCTAAGTTTTCTTCTTCCTCACTGAGTAAATCACTTACAATCCGCTCCAACCCCGGGGCAGACGCCGTAGAATTGGAACCCGGTAGTGACCGAGAACGTATGGGGAGGGATAAGCGTGACATCCGCAGTCGAGGTCTGGCTGTTGATCAGGCTGAGCTCAACCATAGAGCAGCCCTCTCCGTTCAGACCGCAGGAGCCGGTTTGAAGATAGGCGATTGCGCTGGCGAATGGACAATTCGCGGTATAGTCACCGCCCTTGGAGAGGATGTTGCCGCCTTGGACAAGCGTCGGGGTGCCATGCCCGCACCTGGGAGAAATGGGTTAGCACCAGTGACGAAATGGAAGATAGGTACTAACTTGTTGTTGAAAGAAATCGTGTGCGTCTCCGCTGCGACGGTCAAAGCCGCGGCGGCGACAGTAGCGAGGCTAGCGAAGAAACCCTTCATTGTATGAGCAGGTAGAAGTTGGCAGGTGGGACACTTGTGATGGTTGGGGTGCTGCGATTCGTTGCTGGCTTTGCAACAGGCCAAAAACGCTGCCTTTATACGTATATGACGGTCTGAGCAACACGACCAAGAGTCTGCCCTCCTTCCCAATGGTCCCCTCTTTGTAGTTCAAAGAAGGCGCTCCACCGTTGTCAGTGCAGCGTCAACATACACAGGACTGCTCCACAGTATCGCCTGACGTGTATCGGTGGTATAACTGGTCCTTTTCGAAGAATGAGGATGATCATCGGAGACCGCCTACCAGAGTTGCAGAGCATACATCGTTCTTGTAAGAGGCAAAGGATCATCATGCCCCATTCGGCGTGTACGGCTGCGAACATCGTCGTCATTCCCATGCGTTCCACACCTGAGAGGAGTGCAGCTTGTCGAGACGGCGGAGCCGAGCAGCTAATGGGCGCATCGCTCAGCTCGACAGTTCTTAGGCAGAAGCAAGCCAAGCAAGATCTGTGCAAATGACGTCGAGGATCAAAGCAAGCCATTCCAGTGCAGCGATAAGAACAGTTGTGAGGCATTCATCGGATTGAAAAATCTGTACACCAGACCAAAGACTAGGCGCGAGCCTGTTCATCCTTTCAAATCACAGAATGGTGCTAGAGTGACCGCTATTGGAGAAGAACGATGGGCTCAATAACTGTTTGGAGAGAAGAACAGAACTGCACGGAAGCAGTCGCGGCATCAATCACGTAAAGAAGCACGTGATCGCATTCCAAGACCGCACCAGACAAGCTCGCACCACATGTTGTCTTCTCAATCTTACTCTCGTTGCATATGCTTGATTAATCGCCGACGCTATCTCAGTGGAGAAGTGTCCGACAAGGCTGGCGCATTAGCTGCTCAGCCGACTCATAAGGCAACAGAGCGTCACCCCGGTTGCCTGGGATCGGAGAATCAAGAATGAGTAGACTTGCAGTGCTGCCCCACTCGACTTTGATGATCACCGCGTGACCAGAATCCCTTCTATCCCAACAGCCGATCTTCTCTGATGGGTTCTGTGCGACTCGGAGTACAGCTCGCAAGCTACAAAGCGGGAAATTGTACAGTTCTTATTGACGTAAACATACGCAAGTTCTTCGACTTCGACCTATTTTCGCCTTGCCCCTCTGCCTGTGACAATAGCTCCAACAGCTCATGTAGATGCATCTAAAAGACGAACGACGAGAAGCTGTACCTCGGCTCCGACTCGGCACTGTCTCGATCCAAATTCCAACAAATTCCCAATGTCGTCCTTGATTTCCAGCCACCCTGGCGCTCGAAGATCAATCGAGGAGCCCCGCATAGGACAGCACTTTATTGGGCGATTGAGACTATACTTTGTCGGTGCTTGTGGGCGCTTCACACCCGCCTTTGTCGGAATTTAAGCTGGAGACGTCTGCCAGCTTGCTATGTACAACGAGTGAACCTCGCACCCTAATTTGACTCGCTCCAACAGCGCCAAATTATCATCACCCAGCCGAGGAAGAATCCAAGATCATCTGAACAAACCTCCATCGGCGGGACTCTTGAGCATCAGTGGTGGAGCAGTTCTGTGCTGCCTGCCTATTACTAGTTGTTTAGTCTCTACTTCTGGTGAACTCCATGAATCGAGAGGGATGATGGATGGCGCGGAGATGTTCGGTCATCTAGCCTCCTACGGATATATCGACATGACTTGCCAGCACCTAAAGCGGCCGAAGCCCGACGTCACGGAATTGACCTGCGGAGCTCTCGGGTATATAAACCTATTTGAATGATCGGCCTCAGTCCCACAGCACACTGTCCTCAAGGTCAACATGCTTCACACTGTCGTCCCCACCCTCCTTGCTCTCGCAAGCCTCGCCTCGGCGCATACCTTCACCCTGCACAACAACTGCAACTACAATGTGCCCCTTTACGTGTACGTCCAGCTCTTCTCCCCTGTTCCTTTTCTTCGAGCTCATTGAATCACAGCGACTCTTGGCCTGGCAGTGTCGCCTACACTGGTCCCCAGCCTACGCTCTCCCCTGGGCAGTGGCAGTCCATCACCATCCCCACAGGTTGGGACAGCCGGATCTGCCAGAACGCCGATGGGGGGAAGTGCTGGGGGGAGGACTCAATGACCGAATTCACTGTTTGTCTCTTTTTGAGATTGCTCTCCTGTCTATGTGGCTGATAGGGGAAGATGGACTCTGAAGGACTGGCGTACTATGATATCTCGAATATCGAGGCTTTCTTCATCGCCCAGCAGATCGCTCCGGCGGACAGCAGTTGCCAGACGGTGACGTGCACGAGCGCGAACTGCCCTTGCAGCCAGGCGTATCCTGTTGGAGGTGTGTTTTTGGTTCCAATATAGGGTGAGCTCTGACAGAAAGTAGATGAGTCGGGATGTAGGGATGATGCGCCCGTGAAGGCTTGCTTTGGGCAGGACTTTACGATCACGTACTGCCCTTAAGCGTTGCAGGACCGAATAAGGTCAAGCATCAAGAATTAACAGCAAGAAAGGAAACGTTGCAGATAGTCTGAGTCAAACAGTGCAATTGAGCGTTGATCGTGAACTTCCCAGAAGTCTTCAGTCAGGGATAGCCAAAAATGGCACCATTCATTCTTTCCCACCCATAAGCACGATCATGACAATGCTGGGAACTGAACCACCCATCTTCAACCTTACATCGTGACTCTGTGCACAGTTCTCTAGAGTACCAACAGAATATGATTGTCAAAGGTGTGACCATGCTTTGTATCCATGTCCAGATCCTTCTTCACCAAAGTTCTCCTCCAGCCACATATTACCTTTGCACCGTACCAACGCTTTCCCGGCTTACGTGAGGCGCGCTCTTTTCCCTCTTCTCCCTGCATGCAAGCCGTCTCAAAAAGCAAATTTCATGAGCGGAATTGAGGATCAACTACTCATAGTGACATGATACATTGCATTCAGCCAAACACGTCCGTCGAATACCGCTCGATCGCAATCTTCTCGAACATGGCTTCGCTCTCCTCAAGACTATGCGGGCCGGACTCGGCAATGATCTTGATGCATGTATTGCGCACGCCGGCGGACATAGCTGCCATACCGCAGGTGTAGAATCGGGCTCCTTGATCAAAAAGCAGGGACCGGACGATCTTACAATCTTTCCATACGCGGCTATGAGAGGGTATGAGTGACCGGAAGGACTGCATATACAAGAACACACTCACTCCTGCACATACTTGCACCCGCCTGAAAGCTCCGGATGACGAGAGAAGGCCGGCTTGAGCTCGACGGCCCCAAGGTCGCTCCAGGCAGCAAGTTCTTCCTTATAATACAAATAATCTTCAACTGGACCTCTGCAGCCGAAGAATAACAGCGCTTTGCCTACTTCCCTTCCGGCCTTGAGCTGCTCCACACGATCCTGCAGGAACCCGCGCATGGGAGCCAATCCGGATCCAGCACAGAACATCACGATAGGCTTGGTGACGTCCGCCGGCAGGTGGAAGTTGACTGCACTCTGCCGGATGGCTAGGGAGACTGGGTCCCCGGGCTTAAGATGTGCAAGATAGTTGCTCGCCACACCGACGAACTCGCCCTTGCCAGAAAGAGCCGGACCAGTTATGACAGAGAATGTTAGGGCGCAGTTGCTCGGGTTAAACAGCGGGGAAGAGGAAACCGAGTAACGACGTATGCGCAATGAGGGCAGGAGCTTGATGAACTGGCCGAGGGGAACCTTGATGCTAGGGTATTGCTCAAGCAAGTCGAGCACCGCCATGCGCTTCTCGAAGATCCCCGCTTTCGCGTTGGCTACAAGCGCATCGAGGACCTGTCGTTCGGGGCCGTCCTTGGGCGCATAGCGCATCACATCGTCTAAATTCCTCTGTGTCATCGGTTGCCCGAGTTCGACATACCCAGAGAAGAGGTCTTGCAGGCTAATAGGCAAGTTTGTGGGAAGTGTCGTCGGCCCGTGGCTCTTGATCGCGATCTTCGTCTCGCCGAGCATGTTGAAGTGCGTGAGGACGCGGTGTACAGATTCGGGTGGGTTGAGAGGAAGAATGGCCAGGTAGTCACCAGGGCGGTATTCCATTCCCTGAGGAAGTTGGAACTCTATGTGCCTCTTGACTGGTTGCCCAGGGGCAGTGAGAATATGATTCTCGACGCAGCGACCTTCCGTTAGATCAGGTTGACGGAGGAAGATGTTTCTCGTTGTGCCAGTGACAGTAACAACCAGGTCATCCTCCATCTGGCCCTCCGAAGTTGCAATAGGGGCAGTAGTATCAAACGCTTTGCCAAGTGCTGGCCAAAGTGTCTTCTCCCAAGAATCGAACGAACTGAACAGTTCGTCTCCACCAGCATCACCCTCTCCCCGGGGAACCAGCCGTTCAGCACCGAGCTCCTCCAATCGAGAGTCGACGAGCTTCGGGATGCGGAAGAACGTGCGCGCCCAATCACGGTTGCCTGCACCGAATACGGCATACTTGACTCCTTCGAGTGGCTTCTCTGCAGGAACCATATCAGTGATCCCTTGGACGAAATGTACAGCATTCTCGGGAGGCTGGCCCTCGCGGCTCGAGGTGATGATCACCACTGGTCCATCGCGTGGCAACTTCGTCACATCCTCGACGCTGTCCATGGCCCCCATCTTGGGGTTGAAGCCGTACGATGCTGCGTCAGAAGCGACTTGTTGAGCAAAGCCCTCGCATGTGCTGCTGTCGCTTCCGAAAAGAACAAACAAAGGTGTGCCCTTCCCCTCCCCTGCATGTCCATTCTGTATAGATGGAGGTTCACGCACGCCCGGTGCGAGCTGGGATGGCTGCATGCCAGGAATAGCGAGAATCCTCTTCCCTTCCCGAGGGATCAAGTGTATCCTGAAGTCCTTCGGCTTGACAGTGAGGGTCTGCTTGAGCTGGAGATGGTAACTCGGATCATCCAGTCGGATGTCGAAGCGCTGGAAAAGGTTGGCCAGCATCATGATCGCCTCCTGCCACGCTAGTGGCCGGCCGATGCAAGCCCGTGCGCCGTTGCCGAAAGGCTTCCAGCTATTTGGTGGAAGTGCCTCAAATTTACCGTCAAGCATGCGTTCCGGGCGGAAAGCTTCTGCATCATCCCCCCATACAGCGGGGTCGCGATGCAGTCCCGCGACGTCTATAACGCAATTCCATTCCGAGCGCACCTCGAACTCCCCACCGAGGACTTCGTGGTCGTTCAAGCTAACAAGTCCCATCGCAGGTGCTGGTGGGTTGAGGCGAAGGGCTTCGCGCAGAACGGCAGCGGCATACTTCAGCTTAGGGATATGATCCAGGGTGAGGGGCTCGTCTCTAAGAACTGTGTCAATCTCATGTTGCAGTGCGGCGTACCTCGAGGGGTTGGACAGCAGATGATAAAGTGAGAAAGAGAGCATTCCAGCGGTTGTCTCGTGCCCCGCAATAAGGAAGGTGATGAGCTGATAGCGGATGTTCGCGTCAGAGAGGCCCTGCCCAGTCTTAGGATCTTTGCCTTCCAGCATGAGGGAAAGAAGATCTTTTGCGCCGGCAAGAGGGTGGGCTTTTCGGTGAGCAATAACTGATAGTCTACGCATCAGTCTGACATCTAAGACGCACGGAAAAAAGTTTCTCACGCTCATCAACAACATCTACCATGAGCTTAATATCCTCCTCGTATTGATGATTGGTTTGCCTCATGAAGGACTGCACCATCTTGGGCCTTTGTGTCCTCGACCCGCTCTCGAAGAGGAATCTGGCCATAGCCTGAATGAATGGCGGCATATCCTTCTCATAGAAGCTGTTGAACCGGTAGCTCATCGTGCACAGGGCGACTGTGTCGAAAGCGAGACGCGTTAGGTCTTCCGTCGGATCAAAGGCAACATCTGGTCCAAAGCGTTCCCACTTGGCGAGAATCTGGGAGTTGATATCGAGCATTGCAGGGAACATGCTGAGGACCTTCGAAGGGCCAAAAGCGGGCATTAAGATACGATCTCGAGCGCAGTCAGCGTAGTAGACAACGCCTAACATAGGAAATACTCACGAGCAATGCCCCAGTTTTCCTCCCCGTGGTATGCAGTGAACAGGGCGTCTCCTGCTCCATTCCTGACAACTTCTAAAGGACTCCCATGGACCTGCTTGTGAAAGCGCTTCTCGTCAGACAGCTCGTTGACTATCCGCTGGGATGAGCACATGATCAAGACCTTTCCAAGGAGGTCAAGCTTGTATATTTCTCCATACTTTTCTCGCAGGTTACGCCAAGACTGGACCGAGTGGGCGCGGTCAAATACACCAGTTCCCACGTGCCCTAGGAATGGGATTGTAGGCGGACAGGGTATCGGCTTGAAGCTCATCGTCAGGTATAGCAGCAGTATGAGACTTTCAGATCAGAATCAAGAGGGTGGGGCGGCTTGTGAGCCCTGGATTTTACTTCTTCCACTAGTGCCCGTTGAAGCGGTTATATCCCCTCAGTTGGCCATTGAGCTGACGGTCCGTGTCCTGTCAATTCGGTCATCCCGGGGAGGGTGTACAGGAAACTAATAAGCTGGTCACCGTGCCAATGTAGAGCAATATGTTCCATGAGTGCTAGGAAGAGTCTTGAACACGACATTCGCCGAAGGCGAAGAGTGGCAAGTGGTGAAGGAATGATGAGAGTTGAAAGTCGGAAACACACTGCGGACGAAATGCATCAGTCATCTCAGGTGTCCACGTGCTGACCCTACCGAGTAAGAGGGCATCCAGGTTTTGGGGCACGTCTGGACTCTGGACTCTGGATACAGATGTCAGGGTCCTAAGCTTAGTAATTTAATCCCGCTCCGCGTCAAGCGGGCAGGGCAGGGTGCATTGCTCAGCAATTCAATAGCCGGTGCTGCCTAACACCGAACACGTAAGTGCGATAGATACAATTAGTTAGTCCTCTATCTAGACGTCATGTAATTATGAATTGATACTACCACACAAAAAACAAGAAAAACAAAGGACTCGGAGGACATCACCTGCAAGCCCGTCTATTGTATTTCTATGCAGTCAATTCTCCAATGACTACAGTTCACAGCCCTTTCCTTACTCTCCTTCTTCATCCGACTCCACCCACCAAGCCTGATTGTCCATCTCCACCTCGCCATCCTTCAGACGTCCATCATTCTTCCTCTGGGCACGCAGCCAGAACCTCGCCCATGTACTGCCTGGCCGTTTGCTGAACTGTTTGATGAGCTTCTTCAGGCTGGCGGACTCCAACAACTTGGCATGTTCATACCAAGTTTTGTACCTTCCCTTGAATCCATACACCTCCTTGAAGGCTTGCCCCCAAAGAACATGGCCCAGTGTAGCCTTGTCCGTATAGCTACGGATGTGGGTGATGTCGCACGTGACTTCATTAAAAGTCCGCAACCCAGGCCACATCTTGTCCAGTACCTCCAGGAGCAGAAGTTGGGCAGGGGAGGACAGCAGCTTGACAGTGATGGGCACAGGCTCTGGCGGTGGCAAAGTCAGGTCAATGGTGCCTTCCCAGTCCATTGCCATTGGCGTGGCTGCTGCAACACTGTTGATCATGTCCTCCACATCTGGCAAATCGTTGGCATCAAGTGTAACCACTCTGCTACCCCAGCATGGACACTTAGGGTTGCTCAGCTTGACATCCTCCACCATCCTGGGCCCAGGTTCGGCATTCCTCAGGTGTACGGGAGCCAGGGATCCATTGTTTATGGCCGGTTGTCTTCTCTGGGATGAGCTTCAGGGAGTAGGCATCACAAAGTTACCAATCAGAGGCAACAATGGTGGGAGGAGTGGGGACAGAGTCTGCACCAGGGGACACTTTGATCCTCACTTATGGTCTCAAACTACAACAGGCAGCACCCTGCCCAGTTCTTTGACTACCTGGCCCCCATCCTTGTTCACTCTGCCCAGCAGGCAGATCAATGACTCATCCTTTCTGACCTGCACCAGACCCTCCCTTCCCTGACAGATCCATGTCCCCTGCTGTGATTTGAAGAGCTTTGCATAGGTGATGTTCTCAAACTTCATCCCAAGGTCAGAGCTCAGCTCCAAGCCCACATGACTTGGCCATTGGCTCATCCTTGTCCACAGCTTCCCTGCAGTGGGAGATGCTTGCAGGGAGAACTGATGGACCTGCATCTTACGTGGGAGTTAGAGAAAAGTCATTGGGTTAGTAGTTAGCTGCTTACCAAGGTGAACACGATCAGTCCAAATGCCATCTCTAGCATCTTCTCCATCTCCATCACATGCCATTGGCATTCCAGAGTAGCTGCCCATCCACCATCCATTTCATGGTACAGCCTATGTGGGGATGGACCATGGAAGGCTTGCATCAATGGTCCAGCCATTGCACTGACTTCAACATTCTGCTCAAACACCTTGCTGTGCCCCCCCCTTTTAACCTGCTTGCCCTTCCCTTTTCCTCCTGCTGTCCCACCTGGAGCCGTGACCTGCCCTGCCTGCCCCTGGGCTGACTGATCTGCCATCCCATCCCTCTGCCCAACCTCCAACACTTCATCTTCCATCCCTTCCCTATCTCCTCCATTCTCCCCATCCTCCCATTCATCCAACCCATTGACTTCTCTTGCTTCCCCACCTCCTTCGATCTTTTCTGCCTTAGGCTTGTGGACAGGGCAGCCTGCTGCACTGTGACCAAACTCTTTGGACTTTCTCTCATCCCTGCAGCACTTGGCACACCATTTCTTGCAGCAAGCTTGGCAACCTGGTCCCTTGCAGAGAGGACACTTGGGTCCTCCCTTTTGGGGACCATTTGCCAGTTGACTCAAGCCTACTGGGCTTGAACTCCATTGTGCCTGGGATTTGTCAACCATGTGCTGGAGTTTGATGATGTCATCTGGGTGCAGCCTCTGGGTATGAAATTGGAAGCTCTTTGGGTTATGTTTCCTACACTGCACAAACAATGTCAGTGTAGTTTGAACTACAGGGTGCAGAACTTACAAGGGTGTATACAACCCCATACTTCTCTGGCTTCCCCCCCTTTCTGTCCAAATGCACTAGAGGCACCAGTGCTTCAGTACATCTGGGTTCTGAACACTGGATTGTGGCCCCAATGTGCTTCACCTTCTTCCCTTCTGGCAGTTGGGAATTCCCAAGCTTGATGACATCCCGCATGAGTGATTGGGTGACAAGAGACATAGGCATCTTGACAAAGTGGAAAACTGGGGCAGGGGGCAGGGGGAAAGGGGCACACAGTCACAGATTGTTTCTCAGGTGATGGGGGGGAAAGGTGCAAAACTACATGATGCAAGTATTTATTTAACAGCATGGGAAATTTTGCACATACTGACACATGGGAATGCAGATCTCTTGGCAATCCCAGCAAACTGCTAGCCCAATCATGATCAGCCTAATGGTTCCCAAATTGGGAAACATCATTCACCTATTTACGCAAGTCCAGTTGTCCATCAGTAATACTGTGAGGACATTGAAGGGGACATGCAACCAGGGGGTGCAGATTCACATGCCTGCCAGCAGGCAGGAGACATGGTTGGATGATTCCAGACTGGGGCTGTTTGGCTAGTGGGCATTTCCGGATTGCAGTCATGGCCTTGTGAGGATGTAATATTAGAGGGCAGCTGAGGACAGTGTGGCAAATGCAAGGAATGGCCTGGAGCACTGAGCCCATCAAGGGGGGTCACCATTTGCTTGTTTTCCAGAAGCTGCAGTAATTCATTGAATGTACCAACCAGCTGCATCATGTGAGAGATGTTTGAGTGAAGATCTCCTGTGTCAACCTGGAACTGTTGATTCACCAGGCACTGCACAAACAAGCCATCTGGGAATGTCAGGAAATGGAATTCTTCGAGGTCGCTGGGGATGCTGGGGACATATTTGGGGTTGAAGAATGACATGCTGTAATCCCAGTGATCCAATGCTGGCTCTCTTCTCCATTGAGCCATGGGCAAGGTTCATTGCCAGGTGATCACTTTGCTCAGAAGGCAACCACTTGTCCAATTGCTGAGCCCGTAAGGCATTACAACCTGGTCCAACAGGGCAAACAGAGACTTGTAGTGCCAGAGGTTATGCACAAGGTTTGCACACAATTGATATTGCTGGTGAATCTCCAGGAGAGTGCGATTTTCCTGCTCACAAGCCAGTGCCCCCTGAGCAAGCCAACATCCTGCTATGGGTGAGTAATGACAATCAAGTTGGTAAGGGTGATACTACTCACCCCTGTGAAAACACCACTCCTGAAGATACAGCTGCCAACACAACAGGAACTGAATCCAGGTGAAGCACAAACCAATCGACACTCAAATGCAGTTATTGAATTCAGCCTGCCTTGCCTTCTGCTTGCTGGTGGTAGCTGCACGCCCATGGAATGAGGGCAATGTGTGGACCCAAACACTGTTGAACCAGGTTCTCCATACCATCACCTAAACCTCCAGGGCGATTGTAGCCAGATGGCCACGGGATGGGATTGAATGACAAGGCTTCCATTGCAGCATCCATACTGGGAGGGAGCCAATAATGGTCATGCTCCCAGGGGTGCTGATTTGTAGACAGTGTGTACTGTCTGTGTTTTTTGCCCATGGTGCACATGGCAAACCATTATCTACCCAGATGTAGATGGGGGAGGGATTGGTGGGAGTGCGAGGGGTGGAAGCAGGATCAGTGGATGTTTCATGGGTGTGGGAGGGAGTAGTGGGAGTGGATGGGATGAGCACTGTGTGAGCAGTTTCTCAGTCTTGGCCTGTTGCTGGATGCAAGCACAAGGCTGAGAGCAGGAACTCATGCATTGCTTTGAGACCAAAACACTAACACACAGGAACACACAGGCAAACACTGCTCGAAGGAAGCACGAGGCTGAGAACAGGTACTTGCGATCCAAATGGGCACTTGAGGGAGAGGGTGAGATCGATTTTGAGGTGCAAGGAGGCGCCATCTTGTGTGTGAGCCCACTGAGTGAAGCAACGCATGAGGTTTTGCTTCACTTACTGGCTGAACCTCTCTGAGAGCGGCCCAAGTGAGAAGGGGGCTGAGGGGAGGGGAGGGGAGAAGGTGTCGAGGAGATGAGGGAGGACAGTGAGGACGGTGGGGAGGATGATGAGGATGACAACGGGGATGATGACAGTGGTGGTGGTGGTGGTGGTGGTGGTGGGGAGGAGAGGAAACTGCTCACACAGTACTTGTCCTGTCCACTCCCACTACCCCCTCCCAAACCCCTTAAACGCCCACCTATCTAACCTCCATCCCCATGCTGTATCCAAGCCCATTGAGAATTATGCCGTTTGCCACTGCAGTTACTGGGTTCTGAGATGCTGCAATGCGATTTGGCACATCTCTGGATGAGAAGGGGAAAGAGAGGGCATTAGATGTCAAAGGAGAAGAAGGTATGCACCAATCTGTCTAACATTGCATCCATGCTCACCCTCCGTCCAGATATCGGTTCATCCATGGATATTGTGCTCACAGGGATGTCTGCTGAAGCCACAGAAGAAGGAAATCCAGGTGTGTAACATTCTATTCATACAAACAGAGCTAGTTACTCACTAAGTAAATCAGGCTCATCCTCCAAACCAACACCGCAAATGGTAGATGAACTTCTTGCCTCTCAACCTTGTTTGGCATTGACTGGCAAACCCACCCTCCTGCAGGCACAGAAAGATGGCTTCCACAGCGCTCTGTTGTCCATCGAGATGGTCAGGCTGGCTTGCATAATTGTCCTACCACTGCGTCCCAATGAACAGAAATGCAGGCAACACTGGCTGGAATTGCATCGAGCCTCAATGAGAGGGGAATGCTTGGCCTGGGATGTGGATGAGATCCCCTGGGACGCCAAGCACCATAATGCAGAGCTACGGAGTTGCTTGCAAGAGGATTGGATGGTATATGCCCAGCCATTTGACTGCCTCCACCTGCATTGACCTTACTGCGAAGGTCTGCCAGCATCTCCCCTTAGTGCCAAAGTGCAGTGGGTGGTGCTGATCTGAGAGGTGTTCTCAATGATGGAGCAAACTCCAGGATGTGCTGTCCTTGGACTGGTAAACCCCAGGTGGGTGTCCCACCTGAAGAGACTGCACAAGTACGCATTCGCTGTCACCCATTGCAATCTCTCCACCATGTCTTCTGCTGAACTCCAGCAATACCCTCTGTCTTTGAAGAATTGGCCATTTACCTGCAACTTTGTTGGCATACTTGCAGATACTGTCCCCCCCATGAATTGTGAACAACTTTTTCGAGACAGGGTGCCACTGCTGGAGCCAGATTCCCTGCAGAGGAGGGACAAGTGTCTGACAGACAACTGGGTGAGGGAACACTTGGCAGAAATGTTGGCATCTGCCTCAAACACTGAGCACTGTCAGCATGTGGGTTCAGCTGATCAGGTTCAAACAGCCAATGCATGTATGTGCCAACAAACTAAGGTGTCAACTCCACCAAACTCTCAGAGGTGTAAAGCCACAAAGTCACAACTTGCAGAAGCCAGCAAGCCAGACACAACAGCTGTTGTGTCTGATGTGCCCATGGCGAGCCTGTTTACGGACTGCCAGTCTTGTGCATGAACTGGAGGAAGTCCCACTACCCATATTGGGGAGTCTTGCAAAGCAGTTGGCTGCAGCACAGCGCCCTGCTGATGTGGTTGGCAAGCCCAGCACTTTGCTGGGAAAAGAGGCTGGTGACTTCAACATGCT